TATATGAATAAAAAAAAAGAACGTACTAACAAACGCAGCTGAGAAAGAAAACTACTTCTACGAAAGAGAACAAAAATAAGCTGAAAATAGGTCCTACCTTGGCTTGAGAGCGTCTTGTCTCTGTCACGTTGTAGCACTCCACATTCACTCTTTTTCCTTTCACTTTAAGGTTCGACTTCCTTAATCACTTCTAGTCGCATAAAACGATAACCTTGTAAAAATCACAACACTTATCCCAAAGCCAAATCATCAATTTTTTTTTTTACTTATGAAAATTTCTCATATTCCTGAATCGATGAGTGCACACGGACATTTGTTGCAAATGAGAAAATGTATGGAATTCTGGAGAGGCTTATGGTTAGTAGTCGATTGGAAGTGAAGTGTAGAGATTGCTGTGTGCAGAATGGGAGGGTTGAGAAAATCGTAAGCTGAGATAATAGTGAACAGCACGAAAAACAAAAAGTAACAGTAACAGTAATAGTAGCTGCGAAGGTGAAAATTCAAAAATGCTGCGACTTCCTCCTTGCTGTCGGTGAATAGCTATTTGTCAGGGTCGATAAAAGTGCTTCAACGGGCGTCAACGCCATTTTGCTAGAGTATCAACGGCGCTACTGCTGCTCTCTTGTTCGCGCGCGACAACAGGATTCCTACACACACGCGCGCGCGCGCGCGCGCAGTAATGAAAGAAAAGGTACGCTTAGCAAACACAGCCTCGTTGTTTCTTGATTTTCCAGCTGCAGCGAGGATTTTTCAATGAAACAGAAACCAAAAAATCACTAATCTATCATGATTTCACAATTAATTCGCAATATTCACCTGTTAATTTTTAAGAGAAATGTAACCTACGCGACAAACTTCCTCATTGCTAGGAACGCGTTTGTTTTTGAAGCAATTGCCCAACATATAGCTTTGTTTCTAAATATTAAATACGTAATGTTAGATCACGAAATTAAAAGAGCATGAAAATCATCCGCTAAACCTACTTTATTTATACCTAGAAATGAACTGAGACGTTAGTATAATTGACAAAAGTCGACGTGCGTCAAGCCGAACATTTCCGATTGTTGCCTTTGCTTCCTCCTCCCCCTCCAGCTGAGATCGACTTTCATCGCCCCTCTACGTTATAAACACTATAGCAGTCGTTGCCGCCTTATATCAACGGACAATCCCACTTAGCCACCATATGTCCATTTTACACTCGCTACCCCTTGTATGACCTACGGATTGCAGATTCATAATAAATAAGCACGTGGAGGCGTATTATTGTAACTGTGCGTGACTGATCGATTTTTATCGAGTTTACAAAAACTAAGGTGAATACATATTAATTATAAGGACAAATAGAAAGGTAACTACCTCACCAACGCCTATTATTCGTAATTTCTCTTTAGAGAGGCAAAAAAGTGAAATTAGAGAAATTATTGAAATTATTGAGCGTGAAAATGACAGTATTCATTTCTCTTTATCTGAAGTTTACACTTTTTATTTAAGAATTTGTTCCTCTTCGTAGTTTTATTAAAATACGCAAAAATTATCGTTTTCTTCATCGGACTTTTAATATTCAGCGCTCAATTTGTAATAGTGCCTTTCATTATTTATATTAATATAAACAATTCTTAGTTTACTATATGTAATATTACAATACTATAAATTTTTAATGAGTTAAAAATTATCTGCTTAAAGCTTTTAATATTTAACAAATACATTCTAATATTTTTATTTGAATCCATGCATATTTTATTTTTTAAATTGATGAATAATTTTTGGAATATGTATAGTTATTTAATAAAATGGATTTAATATTAATGTTTTAGACAAAATTAATTAATTACCGTTAGTACCCGCCTAAAAAGCAATACAAAAAAAAATTTTTTTTTTAATTCTTATTTAACATAAAATGTTAATTCATAAATTATATTTAAGTAGTTAAAAATTTATGATTAAGTACAATAAAATCTTAATTTTTTAATGAAATAAACTTGTTTTTTAATAGTAAGTTAAAATTATATTTTATAAACTTGTCTTATATTTAGTAAAAACTATTTGAGAATAACAATTTTAATTATTATTCGTATCGATACGAATTATACTAATAATTAACCAGATGCAATTTATGACATAAGCTACATTTAACGCAATGTATGAACGTGACTTATCAAACATTTAACAGAATACAAATTACCATTGCCGGTGGAAGGGGGGTAGTGTGTCAGCTATGACTTAATTCGTGATTAATTATCTAACTTACAAATCAACAATTTAATACATTTGTCTGCCATCTGAGAACTTGATGTGTATCCACAAGATTAGAGCAGGACTAACTTTGGTTAATAACATTATTAGAGTATCTTGTAAAATGTTATCTGAGATAATATCTAATACGTGCAGCAAAATCACTATCATAATAAAACTACCAGTTGCAAAATAATTTGCCTAATACATAAAATGATCAATAAAATACAGCTTTTACAAACCAATGCTTACTATATAATCTTAGTATAATTTAAATAAATTATATAAAAATGTTTTTTCAATTACTAAATTATGTAGAGGGATCTGCTAACATAATTAATGAAACAGCTAACATTATTGAAAAACATTATCACATACTTAAAGCGTTAAATATTTTGTTTTTCAAAGCATTTTTTATTCATGTAATCAGTTTTAAGTTACATGAACATATAAATAATATAAAAAATTAATTTAGTAAGTTCATAGTCAAAGCATTCTTGAACATAGAAAAAAAGACAAACTTGTTTAAATATTAATTTTAATAGGTCCAAGTATAATACTGTAACACTTCATACAAAGTAATTTTTCAACAATTGTTAAAATAAAATATATGATAATTATAATACAGTTGAAGTAATAATTACTCATATAAACCAACTAAATTTATATTACTATGTATGTATATGCAAAATTGTGTTGATTAAAAAAAATTAAAGAACAAATATGTAAATCAAATTATACAAGTAACTGCTGTGAATCTTTATTTAAACTGGCAACCATTACATTTTGTTGTAAAAACTCATCGCATGAAGATAATGAATTAAAAATTGACAATTGCCTATTAAAATCGATTATATATATAGTCGTAAAAATATAGTTTTTGTTGTTACATTTTCTGCGGCTACTTTATATTTTTTTTACAAAATTTTTTACAAATTATAAAATCCCCTTGTGCTCTTAGAGATTTCAATTATTTAAAGTGTATTAAATATAAATTAATTCAATATCTATGATTTAAATAAACGTAGAATTAAAAAACAGATTTATAATAATAAATCTTAAAAGCAAATATTTGTATCTGTAATAATCAAAACTGATAAATTATTGAAGTTATTAAAAGGTATGTATACAATTGATTTCTTTTGTATAAATTTTTACAATTACAAATAAAAACAATAAAATTATATATTTGCTGATTCTTGAATTGTAATATATTAAGATTGTATTATTTTTATTTTAATTGAATATATTTTTTCATTATCAATTCTAAATTTTTAAACCTTAAATTAAAAAGTGAAGGGTTTAAGAACTTCTATTAATTATAAATTTAATACTGGCAAAAATTGTGACAAAATTATTTACGTTCTTAAGTAGTAAAGTATATTAATTTATATTTAAAATATTTGCAAAATAACAAAATAAAAATGTAAAAAAATAATTAAGCTTACAAAAATATAAATAATTAGTTTTAGAAGATCTTCGATGATTTAAAAAAAATTCAATTCTTACATTTTCTCATTTTTTTATATCATATCTGAAGTTTATAGATTTAAATATTCTAATCAATCCCCTTCTGGTTAATATTAATTATATCCATTTAAATAATATCAACTTCTTTATTTAAATTTGATATATATATTTCTTTTCGATCATAAAATGTACAAAAAAATTTGTTGAATGTATTAACTATACAATACACACAATGTCAAAAATAATTTATTGAAAATGATACTTTATTTTATATTGTGAAACTTAATTTATCTATTAAATATTTTTTAATATTAATAAAATAAAATAAAAAAACTTTTACTTTATATTGTATATAATGTTTTTATTTAAATATACGATTATCGCAATTTTAAAGTATAAATTTTATTTTATGATACTTTAGTACTAAATATAAATATAAAAATTTTATTTAAAAATTTGGTTAAATAATTCTAATACATTCTAGTATGTTTTTTATATTTGAGACAGTAAAATCGGAAAATAAAACTATAAAAAGTATTTATATTATCAATGAATGTATGTTATAAATTGTGATAATAAACAAAGATTTCTAATATACAATTCTTAAATACACAATTCTTTAAGATTTAAAATAGAAATTGTGATGAATTTAACTTGAAAGAAGAGTATTTATTGGTATTTTTAATCAATATTAATTTAACCCAAGATAATAGGGAATGTTTATGGCAAGGGGAAAATAGTAAATATATGCTAATAGAGAAACTAGTGGGAGTGATTACTATTTTTAAATTTTACTCTATCCTTTTGTAATTTTTTTGCAACCCTATAGGTAACAAATGATAACCTTATAAATAATCGAATATGACAAATTAATTAAGTATGGTTGTAAACAAAACTTATAATCTAGATAATTGTTTAAATTCGTTTCCAAACAAATTTATTTTTAACATTAAATTTAAATGTAATTACGTACTGTGTTCAGACATTAATATATTTACGTTCCAAAAAAGTCTTCCCTCAATAAATTTATTGTGTTATTTATTTAGTTTATAATCATGTTGTTAAATAATAAATTCAACTAGCTTATTAATTCGATAAATTTATTCACAACTGAAGTAAGAAAAATCACATTGACTATATATCAAGATCCTAAAGATTAAATTAAAAATTATTGCAGCAAAATAAAACTTAAAATTGTATGCATCAGTATATGATATTTAAAAATCGCTTGTTCAGTAAATCTTATTAGCACTTATTTTTATAATTTCTTATTTCTTTTTCATTTTCTTTTTTTGTATTGGAGATAATGGTGTTTGTGATTTTGAACTTATTTGATTTCTATGTTTTTTGCTTTCCATGTGTCGTCCGAATGTTACTTCAGAGTTTAAAGAAATATTACAAGGTGCACAATAGTACTGTCCTGAAACAAAATAAAATTTTAATTTTAATCAAGCGTCGATACAATTTAATTTAAATATTTTTTACATATCAATTATAAGTAACTTTATTGGAAATAATAATTTTATTATTTCAATGATTTTTCATTGATATGTTCAATTAGAAAAGATTTAACACCTGCTATATTTTCAATTCAAAGTAAAATTTTGTATATACAGTAATATATTCAATATAGTAGTTATTATTCACAAAGTATCATACATTAAATAAACAAATATTATTACTGTTAGAATTACATTTAATTTTTTAACCGAAAACACATCAAAATATATATCAATATCTATTTATTAATTTAAAGGTTCTTCAAATTTCATTAAAGTATTAGGACATAAATTTATATTTTATTCATTAATAATATTTCGTTTTAATATAAACTAAATAGATTTTACTTTTTTTACTGTTACAAAACTGATGTTTTTACGAAATATTTAAGTATAATAAACAAAATTCTTACTAATACTTTAAAACATAAAATATACGAAAAATTCAGTGCAAAAAACATTTCATTAAGAAATAATATAAATTGAATTTATATTACAAGAACATTAAATTGAACAATTATTAATAATTAATAAAATGAAAAATTAGTTATTGACATTAAAATTTAATTTATCTTATAATTAAATAGCATATTTTTTCAGTTTTTCATTATATCCATTTCTGTATATATTATTATTTACTTACAAAAATTAGAATAACAATTAATAAAAATTAATAGAATATGTAATTGATGAAATTAACAAAATAAATATATAGATATAGATATATGAGAATGTTATTTTGTCATAGATAATTATTGAAATTTTATTGCAGTTATATGATAAACATGGTTAGTATTATTTATTGAATTTTTATCTAATATTTTAATATTTTCCATCACTTTTAATTATATTTTTATTCGAAATGGTATCATTACTACTAAGATCATTGTTAGTATTTTAAAATCTTTTATGAAACTCATTCATGTAGTTTTTAACATACATAAGTAATTTGCATTAATTCTTTGATTAATTGAGTTAGTTTATAAATCAATTAATTTCAGTAACATTTTTAAAGAACTATAAACTATACCAATTATTTTTGATACATTAAATATCATACCTGATGGAGTTCTATAAATAGAATAATCTATAGGTTTTGAGATTATAGATACTGCTTCTAAAAATTTGTACATAAAATTTATTTAAAATTATAATGATAATGCATAATATATTTTGTAAAATTTATTTTTTCTGACCTGCATTTGTTAGGGGAAAACCATGAAATTTTAACATTTTTATATGTTTTGTTCCTCGTGTATGCATATCTAATTGATCTTGGCGATTTACAGAAATTCCACAAAGATCACATCGGAGAGGAGTTAAGTAACACTGTGAATATTCTGAAATTGAATTTTGTGTTGAAATTACTACTGAAGGGGTTTCAAGTACTGATAAGCAAGGTAATTGTATTTCAGAATAAGTTAAACCTATTCCAAATTGATCAGTAGAATCTATTGAGATATTAGTTTGAGACTGAACTTTTTTTGATGTTCTAAAAATATATATTGGATTTAATAATTTATTATACTACATTGAGAATAAGTATATTAAATATTCATTGGATTACTTTGTTCGATTTAATCCAAAAGCAACTTTTAAATGTTTTTTACCAGCATAATGTTGAGATGCATCTGTTGGAGATGTAAACCATGTCTTGCATACCTATGCATAAACATAAAAAATATCTTAATATATATGTATGTATGTGTAAGTATGTTTAATAAGAATGAGACCAAATATAATTTGTTTTAAATAAAACATACTTCACAATATATATCCCAATCATTGTCATTTAAATTTGATACTTGACCATCTTCGTGTTTTACTTTTTTTGCACTTTGATTAAGAAACATTGAAACTTTTTTTTGGTGAGGTTTTCCTTGATAATGTAATTTTGCTTGCAAAGTGGAATTCATCTAATATATTAAAAATTTAGGTCTAGTAATTCAAATAATCATTATTTTTAAAATAAAAATAACTTACAATTGCATTACATAAATCACATTTAAGTGATTTCATTAACAATGACAATTCATTTTGTGCATTTGCAACTTTTTCTGTTTGAAAAATTAGTAAATTATTTATTTTTAATTATTTATGATAAGTTTTTAAAATTATAATATTTGAACCTGCATCAATTTTAGCATCGATAACTTCTAATTTTCTTTTAAAATATTTTAATTTTGTTTTATCAGTAGAATCCTTTTCTTGTACAGCTTGTAATGCTGCTTTGTATGCAGATTCATACCATTGAGTATATACATCAGATGTATTAAGACTGGTTGGTATCCACCAAGATTGATTTGCTGAACCTTGTGTGTGTATTGATGGAGGGATGTAATAAGATAATATATTTGGGTAAGATATACTATTACAAGACTTTTTAATTTTTTCAGAAGTATTTACAGTAATCTTTGGAGGTGGTAGAGGTAGAATTTCTTCAAATCCTAAAAATTATTTAATTTCAATGTTTATTTCTATGCGAAGTTGTAAATTAGTGAAAGCGAATTTTTGAAATTTTTTAATTATTGAGATTATAACCAATGTATTTATTGTAATTTAATCTTTTTTTTTCAATTATTAAAATTTTTATTTAAACATTTTAAACAGTTTACCTGGGACATCGGGATTTTTTATTTTATCAAATAATATTGATTTAAACATTTTTTATTTGAAAATGTATCTGTTTTCAATATTATTTATTAGTTTACTATTTTTAAAAGTATTTCTTGAAAATCATTAAATAACATGTTCAATTTTATTTTTCATAGTTTTTAAATTTTACTATAAGATTGTAAACGTACGAATTTTTTCCTCTTTTTGGTTATGATGTCGATATAGCATCAGTCTTCACCAATGCGCATGCGTATAAAATTCCACATCAAGATTATGCTCTATCAACACAATTAAGTACGAAATTATTTAAAAAAATTTAATTACTGTACTATTACGAATTTGAAATGTAACAATTAAAATTTTAACATTTTCAAATATCACGTTTTATTATCAGTTGTATATAGCAAACATTTTTTTTGTAGTAGCATTTAAAATTAAAAAAATTTTTAAATAAAATAAATTAAAATTTTATGAATAGTTAATGAATAAATAATAAGTATGAAAACTAAAATGAATTTCTTATAAATACTATACTTCAGTACAAAACTAATAACAATTTATATCCTTTATTACATTTAATAAAATAAAATATACGTAACATTATACAATTACATTTTTAATAAAAAAACATGTTAATATTATATTTATTAAGAATATTATAATTTAAAAATACAAGATTTTATGACACAATATATCTTCTACATTTCTGTGATTTGTCAATTCTTAAAAAGTAATTCATTTTTAATTTAACATTTAAAGTACTATTATGTGCATAAACAAAGCTAATCATACTTGTAACTAATTTTTTATTTATTTTTTGTTATAGTTCAATGATTATAAATTATTAGATTAATATTAAAATTTAATTTAATAAAATTTAGTAATAGTATATATTATATTTTTTTAAATACACTCATTTAGATTTAATAACAATAATTGTATCAATTCAATAAACTAAAATTAATAATTTATATTAAAAATAATCATCAATGCTTATTGTTTTTTCTGTATCACTGATAGATCCAATTGCATAAGTCAATAGTGATTGAACATTTTGTGGTTCCTTTCCACCAAAAATATAACCATTTGCCTTATCAATGGCATTTTTAACATTTAACAATAAAGCTTTATTTGAAATATCAAGTGGTATAAAGCTTACGAGACTATAGTCTTCAATAAGTGAAATAAATGCCTTATTTAATTTTTTATATCTGTAAACATCAATTCTATATTAAATTAAATAAGATAGTATGTTAAGTAATTAAATAAGCCATACTGTGGTAATTTATTATCTTCGTTTAACTTATCAAGAAGATAACTTAAATCCAAAACTTCTGTATAAAAATTAATATTAAAATCCAGTTCAATTTTGAAACGTTTCATTTCATCCAATTTCGTCATTACGTTTACATGGGGTAACCCCAATTGTAACATAGTTATTGTGCTAACCATTAAAGAAGATAAATATTTTCCTATTGAAAAATTATAGAAAAGAAGGGTTATTATTAATAAATAAAACATAAATAAACATTCTACCTGGGTCACTACAATAATGAGAATCTATCAGCTGCACACTACAAAGTTTTATGAAACTTTCTCCTAATTTGGCAGCAATTTTATTCATTGATTCATAATGTGTATAGAGTTCAACCTAGAAATATATTTTTTATTAAAATTAGTTGAATATATAAATTTTATAAATTTACCTGACCGGGACAATCAATTAATAAATATTGATCTATTAAATTAAGAATTCTTTTCATTAGCCAATCAATATTTTTTTCTAAAAATTCTATACAATATATTAAAGCTCCATTTGGTCCAAGTTTATAAGTTTCCATAACTTCTTTATGTTTTACTAATTCAGAAATATCTATAATTGGTCTATATTTCATATTTTCATTGGCTGGATCTAAAATAAAATAATACATTGAAAATATTATTAAATAAATAAAAATAGTATTTATAATTTATAAGTATTTCGTTAACCAATGTTTATTATAGCTACTTTTCTTCCTAAACTTTCAAGAAACTTTCCCATATTGTTACAATAAGTTGTTTTACCACTACCAGGTGGTCCTATTACTAATTGACCAAAAATTAAACTCATTGGATTTAAAATATCTAAAAATTTAATATTTTAAATTATTTTAATAAATAATTAAAGTTAGATGCACACTAACTTATTCTATATAAATTAATAATTATTTAACTAAATGATTTCGCTTTATAATACATTAGATCATTGAATAAAGTTCAGTAAATAATTCTAAACAACATTCTCAAATACAAAATCTTATATAACATATTTTTAAAAATATTTATATCCACATGTTGAACGCCGTAACGTAACTGATATATAAAAATAATTAAAGGTTATATGCACATTTACATAATTGAACAGGTACGGATAACTAAGTGTGTCATATATGCATAAACTTTAAAATGAACTGTAGTTTCACCGATTTCAATAATTTTTTAGAGTCTCTACAATGATAGCTTATATTAATCAATTGTTGTTTATGCACTTGTTTGAAATTTTCATAAGCAATCATAAGCTACAGCCCATAAGATGTATGAAATAAGATAGAAAGGAAGCATAAGAATTAATGGCACGTAATGACAATTGAAAATTTAACAATGAGTTTTTAGTGAACCATGACTCGTACATAATAATGGATTTGCGAACGTTATTGCAAAGTAAACGTTTAAATGAACTATTATTTTTAGAATATTTAATGCACATTACTGGGTTATGTGCATAATGTTTTTTTTTTTGTTTTTAAAATAGACTACTGTAGACTATATTGAGCTGGTTATAATTCTTGAATAATCATCATAAAATAAAAAATAAAATCATGGCTGTAAGTATACATATAATTTAAAGCTTAAATAACTGCTAAATTATGAGGTCGATATAAAGAAATAAGGTAACACTATAACGGAAATCATTAATAGATGTCAACCTGGGGATGGTAATCACATATATAAGCAGAACTATTATAAAATTTTATATACTTTTAATATACGAATTATATATACATACGGATAACATTATATAATTTTTTCAGTTTATTTTTACGAGATTGCTTTAGATGAAATTTTATATTATTGATATTCTCATCAGATAAATTAGAATTATTTTAACAACTATATATTCTCTAAAGAAAAGTATTTTAATAAGTTTGTTATTAAATAAATTTGTTATGAGAAATTTATTTAGGGTTTTTAAATGATGTAGTTTATAATTTGATACAGTAAATTATTTATCGTTTCAATTAGATATTCGCTTCAACTTACTATTACAACGGAACTATTTAAAAAAATTAAAACCCTTTCATATTCTTTGCAATTAATATTAAAAATGTACATATGAATTAAGAACAAATTGCTTACATTTAAAAAACAGAATTTTTCATAGTAGTGACACTGCTGAATATCCATAGAATTTCATGTACTATTTAATTCAATTTATCGTTTTTTTTTAATTCAGACAATTTATTTGGATTAATAAATAATGATTATTTGCTACTATATTTTTTATTTTATTTATACAATTAATTAATAGGATATTGTTTTGAAAAAAGAATCGTAAAATTTCTATTTTAATGGATAAAATCTGCAAAAATTTTAGAAAGTTATATAAGTAGTTGTAATTGTTAGGATAAATACAAGATCTTAAAGTTTACTGAAATAATCAGAATATTTACTACACCGAAAAACAAATAATTAAACATCTAATGTATGATAGATGTTACAGGTGTATTTTGTTCTAAAAAACTACATGCGGCCTTGATAACTCAAGGACGATTAAAATACAATGTACCCTTATAATAAGCAAATATTTAGATATATTATGTATAAAGATATCATTTTTTTAAATATATTTCAAAAATCAATCAAAAAATTGATTTCAGTAAAAATACTAAATTCTTCAACTAGCTAATGTGTTATATACAATTTGGATTAACTGAATTTGATGAGACTTGAATACAAAATAACTTGATCATGAACATCATCGATTTAAATAAATTATTAGATTATTAATAATATGCAAAATCATACTGACCACGTATTGAGAAGTTCTGCAAAAATCTTAGTAACAAGTTATGATGTTAACCAATACTATTAATGTTACTTCAGTAACAAATTTTTTTAAAAACAGTATAGTACTATCAAAAATAACATGATACTTCATTTAATATTTATATTATCATTATGTTTTTAAAAAAGATGTTTAATCATTAATTTGGTTACAACAAATTGAAAGGATATCAATAAATAAAGAAATATATATAATACATGTATGGTTTAAAAAGTTATGTAAGTTTACACAAAAGAATATAATAATTTGGAATCGGAATGAAAATCTAAAATGCATATAAATGAATATATATATTAAAATAATATGATTTTAATAGAATACGAATTCATAAATGTGTATGGTTTGCATACGATCTTTATATTAAATGAAAATACGATTTATGACAGAAAATCCGTATGGTTGAAATATAAGTGAGGAATTTTTAAACGATACTTATGCCACGTTTAGTTTAATCATACTTGCTACCTCTTTGCGTGTAGATTTGTGATGCAATTATGTAAGGTTATATAGAAGGTGAGAGATTTACTTTCGCTTAAGTACAAGAAGAAAATTCAAATAATAGCTATATAAATCTTCCTAATATGATAATTTCTATTTAGCCTATAATTATTGCAGATTAAAATAAATAACTATCGTTTATTAATTGAACACAATTTTTTAAATAGTATATTCGGTAATATTTTACTAAAAATGAAAAATTTGTATTAACTGAAAGTTAAGAGATTTAATAAATAACGAGCTTTTATTAAGATAAGCATAAAATGAATAAAAGATATTTTTTAATATTCTTTTATAAAACTCAAATAATTAGTAAATTATTTTAAGTTTATTTTTATTTAAAAAAGGATATTAATGTTATATATATATATATATATATATATATTTATTTATTTATTTATTTATGTATTTATAGATGCAGATATATTAATAGATTTTATATTTTTAGAACCACAAGTTATTATTACTTTTATGTTATATTTCATATTTAAAATACGATTATTGAAATTTTATTTTCATAAATTAAAAATAAAATTGATTCTACTATTTTTACTCGTATTTTTTAAAACACTTTATATGACTTTATATTGGAATCATACGTCGCTAATGTAAGAGCCAATAAGGTTAATAACTTTAATTTTAAGTTGAATATATAAGAAATTGATGTATTTTATTTTTAGTGGTATAATATAACATTACTGTATTAAGTGATTCATGTTTACATTAATAATTTGAAAGAAAATGAGGATAAACGAAGGATAGACTGAGAGAGAAAGAGAGAGAGAGAGGGACAGAGAGAAATACTACATTGCCAGTCATTCGCGTTGATTGAAAAGATTAATTGTACGATTTTTTAAATTTGTTTTATAAAATATTATATAACAAAAAAATATGGGATTCGTACGAGTAATTAATGATGATGGCCATTTTCATGGTGAACTAATAAATGCAGGCACAAAGCTTGTTATTGTAGATTTTACTGCTACATGGTAAGTATTTTTATGGTTATTTGTGTTTCAGTATAAAAACTTAGACTAATATTTCTTTTATTGTTTGACAAAAAGTTTTTAATAAACATATATTTATTTAATGCAGTTTAATATTATTATATTAAGTATATGATTATATTGGTTTTGATATAAAATTTAATTTTTGTAATAGGTGTGGCCCGTGTCAAAGGATTGCTCCAGTATTTGAACAATTATCTACAAAATATCCCAATGCTATTTTTTTAAAAGTTGATGTTGATAAATGTGCAGATACTGCAACTGGGCAAGGTGTTAGTAGTATGCCCACTTTTATTTTGTATCGTAATAGAACAAAACTTGATTCTTGTCAAGGTGCTGATCCTACCAGTTTGGAATCAAAAATTCAACACTTTTATGGATCTGGTGATAGTGATGATATTGAGGGATCAGTTGGTGGACACGTATGGAGATCTGATTATCTTTATTATCGTATTTTAAAAATAATTTTTATATTTTTATTTGGAAAAACTTATATAAATATAATAATTGTATTATATTTTAAATAATGTTAAATTTTAGTAACATTTATTAATTAAAATAAAGTTGAAGCCATTGAAGATTAATAATCAATTATACTTATCTAATATATATTGTTCTGTTATTGCCCTGATATATCATTTCAGTGATAAGCTTCAATTAATTACTTTGAAAAAGTTGAATGATTAAATATTTTTATAACAAAAAGTACAATATGTTTATTAAATTTTATAATTGCAATATCAGCTTAAATATTATAATAATCTAGTATATATATGAATTAATTTTATATATATATTTTTCTCAAATAAAATTATAAAATTTATAAAGAATTAAAATATTTTAATAATTTATACATTTGTATTAATATAATTTATTTTATAAAATACTATTATTTTTATTTACAGATTGATTTAAATTCTTTTATAATGCAAGCACAATGTGAATGTTTAAATGAATCAGATGATCATAGTTTTGCTCATTGTTTATCATCACATGGTGGATATTTAGAAAGTGACTGCGATGAACAATTAATAATATCTATAAGTTTCACACAAGCTGTAAAAGTTCATTCTCTAAAAATTAAAGCACCAGTAAATAAAGGTCCAAAGAACTTGAAACTTTTTATTAATCAACCCAGAACAATAGATTTTGATATGGCAGATTCAAATACAAGTGTACAGGATCTTACGTATGTTATTTATTTTAATATTAAAAAAATGTATACAAAATAATTTTTTAATTTAATTAATTAAATTAATTAAATTGTATTACACTTAAAATATTTTTTTAAATATATTAGATTAACAACAAAGGATATAGAAGAAGGGAATCCTGTACAACTGCGATATGTAAAATTTCAAAATGTACAAAATATGCAAATATTTGTCAAAGATAACCAAAATGGAAGTGAAACCACTCAAATTGATCATTTATGTATTATTGGCTCACCAATTTCAACAACTAATATGGGAGACTTCAAAAGAGTAGCAGGCAAGAAAGGAGAAAATCATTGAAATTTTTATTGATAATTACATATTTGTTAAATTTGTTGGTATCAATTTCATTTTTTATAACTTTTATATAGACGTCATTTAGATGAAAAATAAATTCTGTGATACCACATAATCAAAAACACTAATTGAAATACTCATTTTTAAATTAAAAACAATAAAATTAAAAATGTATATTTCAATATGTATATTAACTTCAATTATTATATCATGCAACATTATAATGAAATTATCATATTCAATTCTACTTATTAAACAAATTGAATATTTTCCAATATATTTTTTATTTATACTTGTATCTTTAAAAATTGAAAGTAAAGCATGTAATATATGATATTTGAATGTAAGTTGATATTAAATCTTACACTCACTATAATTTACATGTAAGTTTATGAAAGTTTCAATATGTATTGAATAAAATATTTTGTTATATACCAATAATTATAATAATTTTAAAATTAAATTAATAATATTTTGTTTTGATTTAGTTAAACTTTCGGTGTTACTAATGTGTATTTTTAATCAACATTTTTATATTATTTTACAACGATTTATCAGAATAATTATTCTGTAACATTCGTATTTATAACAAATTAATATAAAGTCTATTTTCTATTGCCTGTTGTCTATTTATATTGATAAATTCATGCAAAAATGGTTATAAGGGAAATCGAATGAAAATAACAAGAAGAGAATGACAAAATGTAAAAGAGTTGATTAATTTATATATAAAAAAAATTAATTATACTTGGGTTTATCAATTTTGTTTGTATGTATAATACAGAAATTGAATGTTATATGAACTATTAATTTTAATGAGAAGCTGTTCACAGACTACACAAGATTAATATCTGACAAGCCTTTAATTTTGTTTACATTGCTTTCTTCAGTTTTACAAAAAATACCGTTTTTAATTAGTGGAACTTCAAACAAAAATAGATATTTTTCAGGATTAAAAAAAAAGGGCTTTGACACACATGTAGCTTAAGTAATAGAATTATGTGAATGTCAAATAAATTATATGCTATATATAAGTTACTGTAACAAAATAGTAGAATAAATGTCATCTTCAGTGTAATATGTTATTAATTAATTCATGGGTATAGCAATTCTACAGCACTGGTTAAGTAAATCTATGTATAAGACAGCGAAAATTCAAATGACAAGTTGAAATAATAAAATTTAACTTTCCTAATTTAAGCACTTAAAGTATGAGACAAATGCAATTAAATAATTTATTTGTAAATTAAAATTTTTATAGATTAAACATCATTGAAAAAAAAAAAATATTTATCATCAAAAGGCATTGATTTATTATTTTGAATTTTTTTTTCTTCATTATATTTTTTCATTTTCGTTTGATAATTGTAAAGATTCTTTGCATTTATTTCTATTGTGAATGCTATTTAGGGTATTTGGCAATTTTAAGAAAATTGAGAAAAGAAAGTAAATTTTCAATTCCAAAATTTATTTACATGTAAAAAACACCGGTTAAATTTATTATATGTATGTATTGTTTATAAATATATTAGGAATTTATTAAAATTTTCATTTTCCTTTATTCGTTTCCAAATTATAATTATCTCATAGAGTATGGGGTTTTTTGAAAACATTTGAATCATGATTAATATACATATAGTATATTTTTATGTAACAAAAAAAACTAAAATTATACACCTAAAATATTTACTATTACAATATAATTTGAATATAAGAAATATAAAATATAATAAGTGAATATAGAGATGACGCTCTTACATATAAAGTAGCGGGCACTCTGAAAAAGTGCGAGAGAGTGAAGGGAAATGTATATTGCAGTAACTCTTAGACTGCGCAGAAGCACATATATTTACAATAAGAAATACGAATTGAATTATTTCTTTTACAATTTCAATAAAACGGTAATAACATTTCAATATTTTTCCACAAAAAAATGATTAATAATAAGTAATGGCTAATAGTGACAAAGTTAGTTATATTTGAAAGAATCATTACATGATCTTAAGAAAAATTTGCATCACTACATATTTATTATTAAAAACTTTATGATTAAAACTCTAGTTAACATAAGTAAAAATTGTGATTATGAATTAATAAAAAAAAGTATTAATTTTATTATATGAGAGTTCTTTGCCATTAATTTTCTTTACATGTAAATTTCAAAGTATGGAAAGAATACTGAATAAGAGAAATTTTCACGTCCTTGGTTACAATATGAACAATGTAAGAACCCTGACACGAAGAATCGAATTCGAGAATGATTTAATAGCATAAAATTACTGACGAGAACCAACGAAATGATATAAATTTAGTACTGTAAGACAATTACGCTGGCTGTCATAGTTATTTTATATTACAAATTATGTATACGAATACAAATAAATTTTGTCTTGTATTTTTTATATTTGGTAAGATAATTAAAACAAATAACCTTCATTTATTGCTTTTTATACAAGCTTGCAACTAGAAATTTATAATTGTATATTAGATCGATTATTAAAAAGAAAAACTTTCACGGTATTGTTAACGTGTTTAACAATAACATTGACAGAAACTTAGATATGTATTGGATAAGTGCTGTAAAGCTTAGCTCTACGATAAGATACGGTCGACATACTAAAAGTAAATGTGCAATAAAAAAACATGAAAAACGACAAATGTTTTGAAATTTTTTTTACAATTAAACATATCTAAAAAGTTCTAATTTCATTTAAAATTTATGAAACTCTTAACATGATATATATATTGAATTGGTATTATTTTTGAAAATTCAATTTTTTTCAAAATTGTAAATGTTTTTGTAACTTTTTGAAAGGTATATCATAAAAATTAGCGTTGTAGCATTCAATTTTATTATTGACATATTTATTCTAACTATTTAGGTATTTTAAGTCAGATTATAACTCATTTAATGTAGGAAATGATTTTGATAACTAAATTACAATTATATATAATAATAATAATAATTAATGTTTAAAAATCAGTTTTCACAAAAATGCACAGAATGAGATTAGCACACAGGTTGAATTTCAAAGATTTTTGTATAAGGTGATGAATATAGTAATATTAATGCAATAATATATGAAATCAATCATTTTTATATTACAAAGGAATTGAATATATATTTAATAACTATTTGGAATGGGTACTCTCTGTTTTTACCATAGCATATGATTCGTTATTATAGCCTCAGTAATTCAAAATGTATTCATAACGAGGCAAGATTTAATGCACTGTGTTGTAATTGCTATCTACGCATCAAATTCTATATGCGCATTTGCACATTTATACATAAGTGTATGTATATATATATATATATATATATATATATATATATATATATGCTTGCAAGTTGCGAATCACCGAAGTATTAAAGTATTAAAAGAATACCAAACATGTTAATAATTTAAATATATGAATAGAATCAACTACTAAATGAATCTTAGTATTATGTGTTTGATACGATTATTAATATATAATCCTGGAATCCTTTACTCATAAATAAATTATGTCTATCTGTTATAATATTTGCAACCATTTTTATTATTCATATATATAAACGCATATCATAAATATTTTTACTATCAATATCAACTAATCAATCATTAGCTGTAATATTCTTTACGAATGATTCTACGTGGTGATGTACATAAATAGTACTGAATCGATGTTCCCTTTTGAAAAACATTTCCGTTGACTACTTTATTCAAATATATTAGTTTAGAATTATTTGTCTTTGACAAATCAATGATGTTATTAATATTAGTTTTTTAATAGTATTAACTGAATATCATGGAACCTTAATTAATAAATTTCAATTAATTATTTGTGATATTTTTATATAAATCATTTGTAAATTTTATTTCTCTCATTTTTTGTGAGTTCAAATGTGGTTTATATAATTTAATTATGAATCATTGATGTTTTCTAAATAGAAGGTTATCATCATGTTTAATATTATATAGGCTCATTTCTGTTATACCCTTTACATTTACCTGATTTTTTATCTACAAGATTGTAATTATATTCATCAATAAATAATCATACTGTTATTTGCAGTACACTGTAATATATGGAATGAATCTACGCAAATTGTTTATGACTTACGTTTATCTTGTCTACTATTTGCAAGGATATTTTTTGATTGATTGTTTTGTATTTATGGAATCAATGATTTTTATTTTTATTCTGTACTCTTATTAACTTTGTTATTATTTTGATGTACATCTAAAAGAACAACTTTCAGTGTGCCTAAATTGTTTAATCTTTCTGCTTGTGTTTTACGATTTTAGCTATTATATCATCTTTGAAACTACATGACAGAATTCTATATTATCATTAATATATATAATTTTGTTAATATCTTAATATATTTCAATTCTTTAGAAATAGTTTTACTTTTCATATTCAATTAGTATTATTTTTTAACAAATATACTTAATCCAATTAAAAATATTTATAATTATAATCGTAGTTAATATAAATATTTTATGAAAACAACAAATTGTGCTTGATATACAACATTATTGTTTCCATTGTTATATTAATAATACTGTTAAATATAAAATTAAATTATATTTTAAAGTTATCTTTAGTAAAAATTATTATAAAATATTAATATTAAAAAAAGTAAGTTTTTTATATGAAATAATCAAATTTTAAAGTTACAGAAAGAGGATATTAACATCTGTGTTAAATCGCAAAAGGAATGAAAATGATAGACTAATAGATTTATGAAGTCAATTTAAAATATTAGAAATTTAACAAAGACAAATAAAAAGATAACACTAAGAACAAAATAAGTTACATTTATATTAAAAAAACAATAAATGGTAGTAAAAAGTCTAAATGATACTGTAAAAGTCTATTGCAGATAATTTATTACATTAAAGTTTCCAATTTCATATTATAAAAATACGTTATGATAATGATAATAATAATTATTATAAAAATATGTTTATGATATAATATATATTGTTAGGAATTAAAATAATAAAGGTCAACTTTGTAAAATACTTTTACAAGAACTTACAAAATTATAATTTTTTATTTAGAAAATCAGTCTTGAACTTTATAGATAATTATAAATTTATTAAAATATAAAAAATAGATGTTACTTATTAAGCTATAATCTGGCTGATCTGATTTGAAACTATATATCAGCTTCGAAATTTATAAATAAATTTAATATGTAAAATATGAACAATTTTTGCAAATGTTCTTAAAAGTGATTAATTTAATGGAAATAATTATTACTTATACTCTAACAGCATTTGATCTATTAAGATAAATTATCATTAAAACTAAATAAAGTTACAGTTCTTTATATACAATACATACACATATTTTAGGTAATATTGTATAAGCGTCCATTTCTATTTTTAATTGTGAAATAATTAATAATACAATATTTTAAAAAATTATTTTTAAATGACTTTATAGGAAATAGCAGATTTAAACTAATAATTACATTATTGTATATATAATTTGTATTATATAATATATATAAATGGCAGTATGAATTATTTGTAGTCCCAATATTAGTAATATATTTATATTATATAAATAATAAATCTTGTTTCTGTTACCAAATCTTTGTTACATAATTATGTATTAAATTAAAATAAATCTACTTTTTTATTATTATATCAATATAAATAATTTAGTTTGTTAAATAAATTCAATAATAAAAGGTTTCAATATTTTCACCATTGTTTACTAAAATAAATATTTAATTTAAAAAATGACTAAATTTTGTATTTTATCAGTTTAATGAGTATGGAAAGAAATTAATATGTCAATGCATGTATTAATTATAATTAAATTACAGTTTTAAATTATTTTTAATTATAGTTTAAATTTAAATTATGGTTGAAAAATTGTATCTATAATTATAAAAATTTTTTATATAAAGGAAAACTTTGTAAAATAACTGAGACTGAAATAAAGTTTTCTGCTTTTCTCATAAAACAATAAATTTTTTTGTAAATAAAAAACCAAATACGCTAATGCATAAACTCTTATTGTATAGATATGCATTTACTATGTACAAAATTAATTTTCTTAAGCACTGAAGATGAAATGACTCCACTTTTAGTATTTAATTTTTTTCTATTTTTTCTAATATGAAAATCCTTTTTAAAACAAAGATAGGAATACAAATATTTAAATCTTTTATTATTTTAATTCATTTTTAACTGTAATCGTAGTATTATCATTTGGTTCTACATCTTCTATCAATGACTTTTCACTTACAGTGATTTTGAAACGATTTTTTAATTTCTTTCGATTCTTTTTTTTTTCATTAAAATTTTTATCATTTTTTTGGGAGATAACCTTGGCCGTATGATTCTTTGAAAAACTTATCTTTCTTTTAGTTAATAAATTTTGCAGCAAAGGATTTGCTAAAAACTGTTCACAACGTTTAGTATGTACTTTCATATTATCATGACGATTAAAACCTTTTTGGCATCCAGGACAATTATATCTATTAATAAATCAAGATATTTAAGTATTGTTTAGAAAGATAAATTCTAATGAGTCAATTTATTATACTAACGTTATATTACTGTGAACAGCCATATGTGCTGCAAGATGAGACTGTTGAGCAAAGGATTTATTACAACTATTACATTTATATTGTCTAATTCCTTGATGTTTCAAAATATGTTCTTTTAATATGTGAGTGCTTTTATATACATTTGGACACATTGGACATTCAAATTTGGCATCAGAATGAACCTAATTAAAGAAAATTAAATAATCTTAAACAATCATTCAAGTGTAATATGTTTTTATATTTTATAAGCAACTTACACTTTCATGATTATGTAATGCTTTTTTTGATTTATAAACCTTATTACAAATTTTACAAATATAATCTTGCATGTGAACGTTCATATAATGTCGTTCCAGAGCTTCTTCATGCAAAACATATGTCGAACAAAGTGTGCACTTAAATGCTTGTTCTTTATTGTGAGTAATTTTGTGAGCTCGCATTCTACCTTTTGAAAAAAAGGCTTTTCCACAGATATCACAAATTATATCCTAAAATAAACAAATAAATAATAATAAACAAAGTAATTACATTTTTATTTTAATCCATTTAAATAACCTTTTTTGATTTATGAATTAATATGTGATGTGCTAACACTTGTTTACTTGTGCTTGCAAATTCACAAAAATTACATTTATAAGGTCGAAAACCAGTATGTATATTGATATGTTCTTCAAGTAATGTTGCTGAATTATAGCACTTATTACATAAATGACATTGAAATGGTTTAATTTTCAAGTGACTTTTTCTAATATGACAACGTATATTGCTTATTGTTAATGTTGAAAAGTCACATGCTTTACATATGTATGGTTTCATATCTAAGTGTCTCCAAATATGAACCTACGATACATAAAAATGAAAAATTATGATATAATTTGTAATTTGTATTATTATGCAGTAACACTAAAAGTAATAATATAATCTCACCTGACATTTATCGAGTCTAGGATAAATTACTTCACAAATTTTACATTTAAATTTACATTTATCAAGAATTATGATATTTTTATCAACTTTCAATTCATCAACTACGGTCATATCAATTCTATAATGGGTTTCAATCTCTCTTTTTTGTTTATCCGTTATTAATTCTGATATCCTTGTAAATTTTCCTTCACTATATCTACGTTCTTTATTAGTAGTAGATAAAGAATGATTCATTTTAAGAACTTCTATACTTTTAGAGAAATCAATAGAATTTTCTTTAGCAGGTAATTGTACTTCAAGTACAATTAGTTCTGTAGAAGCAGTTAATTTTATATTTTCTTCTAAAGTTTGTAGAATTTCAGCTTCACTTTCCAAAGCAGGATTAGTAGTTTTTGACTGATTTGAATTAATTAATTTTGAGTTTTTGGGTTCAGATAACTCACAATTATTAGATATCCAAACTATTTCTTCTGCCTGAACGATTTCACTACCATCTGCCATTAATGCATTATCAAGTTTTAATTCATTTTTATAAGATTCTGCTTTTAATGGCATTATAATAGAAGTATCACCGTGAGAATTAATAACAGTTCCTTCAAATATAACATTTTCTTGCTCAACTTCCTCATTGACATTGATTTTACTTAAAACATTAGCATAATTAGAAATTACATTTTCTTCATTTGTATTTTTTAATTGACTTTGGGATTGAACATTAAAATATTTATCAAATTTTTTACTTTTTCTTGTGATAGATTTATTTATTTTTTTTTTCTTTTCATTTATATCACACTTTAAAGAATGTTCAGTACAGTTATTAAATGTAGTTTCTACATTTGAATTATCATAAAACAAAGTCTTATTTATTTGGCAATTTATAGGATTTACAATTGAATCAAAAACAATTTCATTTTCAGTAATTTGATAGTTAGATTTACAAGTATCCATATTTAAATCATCCTGTGTAATTACAATATTTTTATTATTTATGGGAAGACTAATTACAGTTACAGCATTATTACTTTTCTCTATTGATTGTTCATTTGCAATTTCAGTTTTTTGTGAAACTGTGGTTTCATCTGTCTCTGCAATTTTTGAAATTATTGTTTGTTCTAATTGTAACGATTTCCCTTTACGTTTCCCATATTTGAATGGTAAAACATTTTCTTTGTCAGATTCTGAATCACTTTCAAGTTTATCATTTATCTTTTTAGTTGCTTCCTCCTAGATTAAACATGTTGTACAATTATTTTTTTTTTCATTTAATCATTAGTATATTAAAAATTATAAAGAAAACATTACCACTAGTATTGATTCTAAATCTTTTTGAGTACTATGACACATATGATGAAAATCACATAAAAATTCTAATGTTCCCAAGCATCGCATACATATAATTTGTGGTAGTCCATCATCAGGCTTAATCTAAATATTTAAATATTTTAAGATTATAATTAATAAAATGATAAACTTAGAAAAATAAAATTTGTCCTTAATTGTATATACAGGAAAGGAAGTTATTAAATTCAGTAATAAATAAAAACTAATTTTACATTAAAAAATATTGTACCTTTATTTATTATCACCATGACAAATACTTTAGTACAATTTTTAAAGGTATGAAACTATATTGTCATTTTATATATAAGTTTATATAATTATTTTATTCAATTTGAAGAAACACATTTGATCAAATATATAAAATATAAAATATTATTGCCCTATTATAATCATCACAAAAATAAGATGAATTAATAATATCCCTGCTCAATACTCATTATTATAATGTTACAGCTCGAATACGAGAATATTGTAAATTAATTTGAAAATTATCACCAAACTTTCTTTTGGTTTTAGATTTTAGTATTTCAAAACATAATTTCACTGTCAAATATTTTATCACTTTTTAGAGGCACTTTAATGACTATAATTTATCGCAATAGTGCATATTTTATAAATTTTTAACACGCGAAATTCATATTGTTCTTATAACATAGAATATAATTGTACTTATATGGTATAAAAGTCTTATATACATTCGTAAAAACAGTTATATATACTTTTTAAATGTATATGTAATTTATGTATATATTTTTTGGAAATTTAACGCTTTTACAAAATTTATAAAAATACTTGAAAAATACTTCAATCTTATTCCCAAATTGAGTGACTTGGAAGCCCTTTATATTAATCTGAAAATAATTTTTAGTAAATGGTATTGATTGAGATACCATACAGATTATAGTTATAAATAGTAACAAGTTCAATTTTTCAATCTTTGAGCTTATGCAAAAATGCATATTAATTCAATAGAAATAGTTTTTAATTATAATCTGTAATTATATCAATAAAATGTAATATTTTAATCAAAGAATAATTAAAAAAATTAACTATGCTAATCGTCAGAAATTATTAACACATGGATTATCTCATTGTCATAAGTAGTAAGAAAATTTATTTCTTAATACTAAATAAACAAAACTATCCAATACCGTCACATATAATTTAATATTTTTTAAAAATATTTATTTTTCGTTAGAAATGATTCTATTTTCATTATTTGCAATATTTTTCTGTTTAGTATTAGTTTTTTTGCCACTTGGGATCAGATGTCTTCTTCTGTGAACTTTCATATTATCTCTGCGATTAAACATTTTACCGCATTCAGGGCAGGCATGACTTTTTTCTCCGTGAACATAACGATGAGCAGCTAAATGACTTGCTTGTGCAAATGCAGCTCCACACTTTTGACAAACATGTTTGCGGACTCCTTGATGTTTTAATACATGTTCATTTAAAAAAGCTTTTGATGCATATCTATTTTTACATATATCACATACAAAAGGTTTAGGATTACTATGTTGTAATACATGAGCTTTAAACTTAGAAGCCACTTTGAATGTTTTACTACAAGTTTCACAAGTGTACGTAGTCGTATGACGTGTTTTTATATGTTCATTTAAAACAGATAAACTTGAATACAGATTGTAACAAAATCGGCACCGGAAATTACGTCGATCTTTCATGTGAACACTACCAATATGACTTAGTAATCTCGTACGATATGGAAAAACTTTTCCGCAATACTCACAAGCTAAATTTTGTGGAGGCATATGAGACTTAACATGCATTTGTAATGAAACTTTGTGATGGTAGCTTTGATCACAATCTGCACATTGGTAGGGTCTGACACCTTTATGTACATTATTGTGTTCAGCAAGATCAAATTTTGATCTAAATCTTTTTGGACACTTGGGACAAGAAATTGGTCTTGGATTTGTATGCGAGCATCGAATATGTTTCATAACGTCAGATTTACAGACAAACTTTGCTTGACACAAAATGCACATATACTGTTTTATACCAAGATGTGTTTTTACATGAACAGTACATTTATCTTTTCGTTCATAAACTTTACGACATAGTTTACAAGCATAACTTACTTGATTGTTAACAATAACTTGCTCAACTTTTTCATCAACATGAATTTCTTCACCATCCATTTTAAAAAGTTCTTCTGGATTCCGTGAACTGTTGGTTATATCTTCAGCATTTTGCAATTTATCAATTAAACTGTGATTTCCATCTTTTGATGCACTGGGATTAACGATATTATTGACAAGATTATTAACTTCCTCATTAGTTCCATCTTCTAGGAATGTAACAATTGATTTATCAACTAAACAAGAACCTTGATCAGGAAAAACCTTTGCTAATACAGTTAAAGAATCAGTTTCTTGTTTTTTACACAATTCAACTGTAAAACTTATATCTTCTGCATCACCATTACGATTTGTGGATTCTTTAACAGAAACACCAATACCAGGTGCGTTAGTTATAGCTGATAATACTTTATTTAAAGTATTTGTAGGAATTTGAATTTTATTATTGTGATCTACTTGGTAATTTTTTTTCCCCACATTTGAATTTAGTATATTTGAATTTGCCTTAGAATTTGTTGTACTATCTACAGTATTATTACGATTTCTTAATTTTTTTTTCATTACAGAAATGCGTTTAGAGTTTTTAGAATTCATTTCTACTTCTGACACTTCTATACTTTGCCTACTTCTAAGTTTTCTTGTTGTTGTTGTTATTTCTGGCTGCTGTATAATTGCTGAAGATATATCTTCAATATTATGAGAAATTTCTAAGTGTAAAGAATCTTTTTTAGAATTGGATTTTATTTGATTATGTTGGCTTCGAAGATTTCTTTGGGATTTTGTAGTATTTCTTGTAGATCGACTTTCATCCTTAATAATTTCATTTGCTGGAGGATTAAGATTTTTATCACTGTTATTATTATTATTATTATTATTATTATTATTATTAATTCTATTATCAATGACACTGTCATTTATATTTTTTCCATTGATATTTCCTTTATCATCTTTTGAATTATTTTCTGTACTTGTTGATGTGCTTGGAGCCAAATCTTCAACTTTGTTTTCCTCCTAAAGAGAGATTAAATTAGATGTTTGAATGGGTACCACTTTTTAAATTTCAAAAATTAAATTCAATATTATTATTAATTATTGTATAATTATTTTATTATTAAACTATTGGTTTAAAATAGTATCTTTATAGAATTGGCAAATGATTAATAATAAATGTTAACTATTATTTAAAATTTTCTATTTCCAGATAAATAATATGATTAATTTTAATATAAATCTCTAATTTATATTAATCCATAACTACATTTATACATAAAATAAAAAATACATGTTTAAAAAGAAAGATTGTTATTGAACTATACAATTTGTTTCAGAGCAGTAGAGCAGTAGATGGATTAAAATACAAACTTACAATATATGACAAAGGTGGATTGTATTGATCATGTAACAGTTGCTGGGTGCGTAGACACTCCTCTTGAAAGTCACAAACAAATTCAAGTTTGCCCAGACATTGAACACAGATCGCCTTGGGCAGAGGATCCCTTTCATCTATCTACGATTTAAAAAGAATATCTAAAATTCTTGGCCAAAATATTTTGGCACATTTTTTAGAAATCCAAATATCACTTTTCTGTATATATTTTCAATTAAAGTAATAAGTTAATTAATTTTTCTATTTCATTTTATCACTGATATATTTGATATCACTTTGTACTACCTGATTAGAAAAATATACTACACACCTACACTACTGCTCTACAAACAGGATTATAAATTAATAGGTACCCATGCAAAACATCCATTAAATCTCAAATTTTTATTTAATATTTAAAAGATATTTGAATATTTATATAAACTATATAAATTAATTTGTTCAATGATGTTTTAAATTAAAACTATAACATATATTTTTATTAAAATCTAAATAGTCAGTTAAAACAAAAGAATATAAAATTTATTAAGTCAGAACAATGATACATTAATTAATGTATTTTCGATAATTTATGAATGTTTTCTTCGATCCTAAAAACATTTTAAGCTAAAAAGTATAAAATTAATAAAATAAAGGTTTGGGAATCAGAAGTTTTGAAAAATATATTTCTCTGTAATAAGAGGCTTCAGAAAAATAGGCTTCTAAGACAAGTGTTGCTTGTTTGTAATGTGTAATCTCAAGCCGGCCATTTTTCTAACCCCCCTCTCAGTAAAATTGTAAACGCGAATAGTTGGTGTTGATACGAATTCCTAGTCTTTTACTCACCAAAATATTAATTTTCGAATGTATCTTGAAACCTAAAAAGCGCTTAGTACCTTCTTCACCAAAAACATCGATATAAATACTCTCACATTGTCCGCAGAGCCTGCAAACTTGTGCTTCGTCTTCTTCGAGCTCCATTTTTGTTTACGCTCAAGCCTGGATAGGCACTCAACTGCTATAAATACACAATTTTTTCCACTGCTAACCGTTTCTCTTTCTCTTTTAGTAAATAATTAAGTACGCGCTTCTTTCTTATGATTTACGGACGAAGTATTCGATGTTTCGAAGATGAAACGTTAGTGCAACAAAAGCTAAGACACAACAAAATGACCATTAATTAGATGCACGAGGTAGAAACTTGCAATTCGGTGAACTGATAATGTACGCTTTTTTATGATGAATGATTTATAGGATTTACTTTGTTCAATTCTGCATAAATTATTTATTCAAGAAGAAAAGCAAATTTATCAAAGAAAAAAGAAAATGCAAATAAAAGCATAATACAAAAACAATTTTACTTTACTTTGCCATAAATCCCACGCGGGATATAATCGCGTTCTGACGGAATCAGATAGGACCACAGTCAGGTTGTATAGCGTTATTGGTCTTGCTATTTGTTGAGCAATACTGCGTCTTGTTTCTTATAGAGTCTTGATTAACCAATCTCCTTAATGTATTTCTTTCGGATTTATTTATTATTTGTTTCGAATTGTATATTATTAACCAATGACGCAATAATATTCATTTCATATTAATTTTGAATTTGTAAATAATTCTTATTTTTATAAACTTCATTTTTACTATATAAATGTTCACCTGCTATTAAAAATTACTATTACTAATTATCAACGTTAAAGGTTCAAAAATTTTAACATAATTAAAAAAATTAATTTAAATCTTATATATCATTAAATTTAAAAAATCTTATATATAAAAATGAAAAATTCAAAATATCTGTAGAAAAATTTATCTCATATTTTTTTAATTTAAATTACATCAGTATTTTATTTTTCAAAATATGTATATAATATTTGTAACAAAATTAATTATACCAAAAAATCGTTATTATAAGTAAATAATATTGTCGAATTATACGATTAAATAGAAAGTTTATTCAGAATATCAATGATAATAGTATAATTAAATATTGGATAGAATTTATTTCCATTTATATTAAAAAATAATAGCGAACAATAATATTTTTAATGTTAACGATGTACCAAATTCTTAAAATACTAATAATTTTTATGAACACATCCATGTTTAATTAACTTATTATAACTTCATTGATATAAATGAAATTATTTTTAAAAACTTATAATTATTTTTTAATTATATCATTTGACATTATTTAAAAATTGTATTAATTTGTATAAAATACATTATATGATAAGCACGCAAAATACGTAATGAATCCTATAATTAAATAATTTCAATAATTCTTTATATATCATAATCTGAAATATGAATTTCATTTTAAAAATGATAAGTCTTTATACAAATGAATAATTAGTTAATTATATTCAAGTCTTAGTATTTCATTGAATTCATTATTTGCATAGAATTTCAATGTATATTTTATAATTTAAATAAACAACTAACAAAAGTAGAATTGTTTGGCTAATACAAACTAGTATACATTAATTTGTAATTGAAAAGAAAAAGGAGAAAAATAAATGGCAACAAAAAAAGAGAGTTCAAATGGTATATTTTATTTCATAATTTTTAGGTAAACTGGGTTATTGGAATATAATATTTCAAGCACTTGTTACGTTGTAAATTATAAGAATCGAAGATAAAAAATTATCCTAATCAAGGAATTCTTGAATCTATAAAAATAATTATTGAATTTGGCACGTTGCATGATATATGAGGGAAGAGGCAAGTAATGTCGTTTTCAACGTGAAAATAAAAATGTATTATCAAATTTTTCTTTCTTGATATCAAAGATTAGTTTTTCAGTTTTAGACAGATTGTGCTATTCTGAATGAGTTTTCGCAATTCTTTTTTTTTATGAGTAATTGACGCAATTTTTATAGTGAATACAAAACAATATGTTCATGAGCGAGAACGGTTAATCCAGAAATTGTATGAATCAGTTAAATGTTTGACATTGAAAAAGATTTCTAATTATTCAATATTTAAAAAATTTTGTAAAGATAAATTCTAACGAGTTCTAACTATTTCAAGCTTGATATTTTGTATTTGTACAATAGAATAATCTGCATTATAAAGAATATGCTGGAGATAGGATAAAAATGCTGAATGCTTAAGAAAAATTAATTTTTAGAATAGAGTTAGTTTTATCACAACTACACATTAATTTTTTACATTTTCTATAAAAAATTAGATAAATTTTGTTTATATAAAATTAATTTCTTTTTGAATTTTTAGTTTTCAGCTGAATGGGATAAATTATAAGTGTTTGATACTATTTAATCTGTTATAAAGCGTATGGATTTAGATTCTTTATAATTTAGCTTTGGTAATCCAAAGTATCCAAAATAAACTTAAGAAATTAAAAACCTGGAAATCTAATCTTAAGTCTTTCCTAGAATAAGCTTTATTGATTGATATAATTGTGTATTAGATAAATAATCTATTGTATTAAATAAATATGATTTTCATGTTAGCTTAATATTATTCCCCTTTAACTTTATTAAATTTATTCGATTTACTTTAAAAGAATAGTGTAATTTTATAAATACGTTATTAAAGTTAAGAATATATGTTATAAATTAAAAATAAATTAAAAATTAAAATTAAAATATACTTATAATATAATACTTTTTAGTTTTGAATTAAAATATTTTTGTAATTTTTTGTTTTCAATTATCGAATGGATCGAGGTGCTCTAAAAAAATTTTTCTCACAAAAATTATATTTTATGTAAATTAAATTAAATTAATTCATTTAATCTAACTGTTTAATTAAAATATGTTTATGGACATTGATTATTATATCTAAATCAATATTAAATCTATATCAATTTTTTTTTTGATCGAAATATGTATTAAAATTTTTGGATGAACGTGTTTTGTTCCCATCTTTAATTGTTAATTGAAAACTAAAATATATTTTTTTTTTTTTTTATTGAATTTTGAAAATTTATTTAATGATATGGAATACTTTTTAAGGAATTTGCAAAATTTTAAATGTAACAAAAATATCTTTACAATGAAATAAAACAGATATGATTAAAAAACTAAATACATTAGTTTTTTATAAAGTGAAATCAAAGTATAAAGGAAAGTTTATTTTAAATAATGTAGATTAGAAAGATATTTATGAAAATATATTTGTTACAAAATTTTATTAAAAAAATATTAATAACAAAATTGTTTTAAATATATTGAACTGTTTATATTCAAAACATAAACAATAATAATTATGTAATTATTAAACCAATAATTTAATATAATAAAAGTCTTTATTCATGAACAATGTATTATACTAAATGAATGGGTAATTTTAATACAACATATACTTAGATATCAATATTTAATTTTGTACAAATTTTGAAGAACTATAATAATTGTACGTAACAGGATTTCCATGCATATATATATAAACCAGAATGACTGTAAATCACAAAAAATCTATTATTTTATAATCGATGTATTTGTTTAATTCTATACTATAATTATTATCATGAGATTAAAATTCTTAAATAATATATAAAAGATTATTTTAATAATAAATGTCATTATATCATTTTTAAATGGAAGCTAATAAAAAAATATTAGAATATAGTTCTGTAACTGTCATGGCGTATGTGTTTGAATTTCAATGATTTAAATTTTATTTAATATAAAAAGCATTTTAATAAATTTATTTTAATCTACAATTTATTATGTATTTTATATTTAATCAAATAATTTAAAAAAAAAGAATTACTTCTCTTTATAATATTTTATTAGATCATTTGTTTAAATCTCTTATTAATACTATAGAAATCTAAACTATTTACTTAAACAATTGAAATAGTAAAAACGTAAACACAGAAATAAAACCTCTTGCTTTAATATGTCTTCTCGTTTTATTTTACAAGGTAATCAACACAATGTATGTATTTTTAACAATAAAATAAACTTATGGTTATTAACCTTGACAAATATTAGTATTTGATCAGTATCAAAAAGCACGAATGCAGTTTGTTCAAACGATAACAGATCTTGCTTCAAAACGTCACAATGCAGAATATTTGGATAATGCTGGTATTTTAAATTTACTTTGCCCTTTATTATGGGATGTTACCCCGTCAATTCAACAGCTTACTACAATTGCTCTTGGACGATTGGCTAATCATAATATGAAAATAGCTGAAGCTATTTTACAAAAAAATATTTTACCTCAGTTGCTGAAACAGATTAATAAAAAAACAGTAGGAAGAATATTTATAAAAAGTTACAATATTTTTATAAGCCTAATAAAAACATTTTTAGGAATTCTATAAAAAGGCCGTTTTATTTCTTTTGCGGTCTTTGGTTAAACATTCTCCTGTAATAGCACTTACAGTAGTATCAGAAGGTGGTTTAGAAGCAATGGCTATATGTTTGGAAGATTTTAATCTTGGAATAAAAGAGGCCGCTGCATGGGCTGTTGGATATATTTCTAAACATAATAAATGTTTAGCACAAGCAGCTGTTGATTGCGGTATCTTTATTATAATAAAATCTTATAAATAAAATATTACTTGAAGAACATAAAATGTATTAAATGGATTTCTAGGAACTGTTCCACTGTTAGTACTTTGTCTTCAAGAATCACAACTGTGTTTGAAACAAGTTAGCACTTCAGCATTATGTGATATTAGTAAACATACTACTGACTTAGCACAAATAGTTGTAGATGCTGGTGCTGTTCCAATTTTAGCAAAAACAATGTTGAATCCAGATATAAAACTAAAAGTAATCTTTGGCATATATTATAAAATAATCCTAATTATTTATTTAATAATTTATTAAATAGCGTCAAGTTTTATCTGCATTTGGATGTATAGCAAAACATTCTATTGAGTTAGCAGAGTCTGTTATGGAGGCACAAGTATTTCCAGAAACTTTTTATTTAATGAGACATGTAGATGACAATATTGCAAAATCTGCAGCAAATTTAACGAAAGAAGTATGTAAACATACTGTTGAGGTAAGTGAATTTCTATATTTCACACTTATTTAACATATATATAAATATATATGTACTCGTATTTGTACTCTTTTTAATTACTTGGAAATTTATATTTGTAACTCAATGACATTAATAATTTAAATACTAATTGTAAATAATTTAAGGTACAAATATTCTTTGTAAATTGATTTAAAAATTTGTTCAAGTTTATAATAATTGTATTGATTTTATTTGAATAATATATGTACATAAAAAGTTAATAATTGAACAAATAAATTATTGTGAATTTGTATTTATATTATTCATAAAATCTATTATTCTTTTTATATGGAACATAAGAATATGAATAATCAAATATATACTTTGAAAAAAATACTTATAATTTGTAAAATTAAATATACGTCCTAATTGTAATGTATATTTTTGTTAGATTTAAAATTTTAATTAATTAATAATATTAAAACAAAATTAAGTAACTTTAAACAATTTAATCATTTTTCTTTCTGAATAAAATTATTTTTATTTAATATATTGTTCTTTAATCTTAAGTTAATAGTTATTTAAATTACATTCTTATACATATCTTATATATAATAATATATACAATATAAGTATGTATATAATACATTTTTAAGATACAGTCAAAAAATAGTTTTTAATTAATAAAATTATAATTTTTTATATATGTTACCATATTTTTATGTATTTTTATTCTATTTTATTATTTATCCTAGTCTTTTATAAGACTTAATTTTTTCCATTTAACTAGCACTGTTTTTCTATTTTTAGTTTTAGCTTATTTTATTTTTTAAATACTCTCCCCCTTTGCACATGTATATTTAAGTGGATAAAAATTATTTATATAACAACATTTTCTTTTTGCTTTTATTCGAATTTTTATTGTGAAAAGATTTAAATTCATAAAATGTTCAAATAATTTCATGCTTGTTTTTATCATGGTATGACTATTAGTTGGTAGATCATTTAATAACTGAAGTTATATATATATATATATATGTACAATAATTTTGATTATTATTATAGTTATAAATTGATGTATGTAATAAATTTTAATTACGATAGCTTTTTACTATAAATTATAAAAATAGAACAGCATTTGCGTAATACTTTTCTGGGAGAGGGTATCACGAAACGTTTCCCTACGCCCTTCAAACGATATTATATTAGCCTACATAAGTAAAATGTTACTATTATAGAAATAAAACGGAGAAATTGTTAAAAATAATTAAATAAAATTGTTTGCTGCGATGAATAGTTATTGAAATTTGAATGATTATTGCAATCATGCCATAAAAATTTTATATATTACAATTTACTATTGGTTTTAATTAAAAATTTATATTTAAAACGTCTATTAAAGTTTATAATATATTTACAAATTTATAATTCTATTCGCCATCTCTGGTCTTTTTGGAAATTGGGATTTCAATACCTAATAATTTAAATATAATTTTTTTTAAAAGAACAAAGGATATAGACAATTTTCTAAAAGAAGTTGTAAATAAGTAACTATCAAAATAAAGTTTAATTATAATATAAACAATTATACTGATATCTAGAATATTTTTTTCATCAATTATTATTTCAAAATTTATCTGATAGTTTATTTAAAAAAAACTTTAAAAGCATGCCTATAAATATATATATATATATATATATATATATACGCATTTAAAGAATGAATTTAAAAATAAAAAAATGTTTTAAAAAAAATTGAAATTCTTATATGTATGCTTTTATATTAAATACACCAAAAACTTTAAATAATATTTAAAGTTCTGGCGAAATTGTAATAGTGATATATGTACCTAATTTTTTTCTTCAAAAATGATGATACATTTACACACAGAATATTTTCTATGATCATTTTCTGTATAATCTATTAATAATTATACCTACTTTTCTGAAAGCTTGCTCAACTTATAACAAATTTGGGAGGTATTGAATTTCTTGTTGAAATGATTGATTGTAAATCCTCTTCAACTAAATTACCTGCTATAATTGCTCTTGGATATATTGCTGGTCATTCAGATCAATTGGCATTAACTGTTATTGAACTGAAGGTATTTATTAATATATAAATAAAATATAAATTTATGATTTAAAAAATTACTATATATACATTAATTTATACATTCTCATTGAATAGAGTATCAATCAATTTGCGGCTATTTTGGAGACGGAACATGAAAATCATATTCTAGCTATTGTAGTATGGGCATTAGGACAAATAGGTAAACATTCAGCCGAGCATGCTCAAGCTGTTGCCACTGCAAATGTATTAACTTTTATAATAGAAGTAAGTTGTGTTTAGTTATATAAATTGTATATTGATAATATTTATGATTTATCATACATTTATATAAATACTTGTTAATATTAATGTTTAGTTATACACAAATTCACGAAACTCTGAAGATTTAAGACTCAAATGCAAGATAACACTAAAACAAGTTTTGCAAAAATGCTTGTATATTGAAGCTTTGGAACCTTTGTTACATGATGCCCCGTCAAATATACTTAAATATATTCTTGGACAATTTAGTAAGGTAATGTTTTATTATCATGTTTATAAAATACATAATAAAAATGAAAGACAAAATTAAAAATGAATCGTTAACAAATTCGATAGTCTAAAATACTGTATTAACTTTGTAAATTATTAATAATTAATGCTAACAAAATCTATTGTAAGTAAATTGTTCACTCTGTGAGTAAATTTTGAAAGTGAGTTTCAAACATAAATTGAACTACTAAATAAGTAAGTAAATAAAATTATATAATCACTAGATATTAATGAATAATATTATGATGATTTAAATATTAAAAAATACTTTAACTTTTTATTTATGAATGACCATCTTTATAAATTTTATAAATAAGCAATTGAAGCAGTAAAAAATTAAAATTTCTCATCAAAAATTAAAAGTTGCACTAAATAGTACTTCTAAATGAATAAGATATTAGTTTTACCAATTGAGTATATCATTTACCAACTTTGCAATGAAGATCCAAAGAAAAATAGCAATTATAATTTATTAATATTGATAATACAAATAATAGTTAGAGTAATGATGTTATAATTTGCTATCAAGTTGCAAACTGGACAATTAAATAAGGTAATATTATTCAATGTAACTCAACAAAAATAGATGTTTGTAGTTTTAGAAATGAAAGAATGTAAAGATCGAAATCAGTGAAAATCCATGCATTTCACAACGCCATTGTGAATTTTTATTTCATCCTAAAGCAAATAGATTTATTTTTATAGTTCCATGTTATAAGTTAAAACAAGTGTGTACAGTGCAGTGATTCTAATTCTTTTTTATTTTATCAAATTGGATTTTTTTATTTATCTTAATTTTATTAAGAATCTTTAACTAATTTCGCGAGGTCTCAAGGTCTCGAGGTTAGAATTGTAGATTAGATATTGTGAGTTCTATTTCTCCTAATAGTACAGCTACCTACATTTAATTGTCATTTAATTTATTAAATATATTGTATTACATATAAATAATTATTTGTAAATAAATAAACAAAACAAGTATGTTTAAGTTTGTATAAGTTTAAAACAACTCTTTATTTTTATATGGTATTATTTTTTAATTTTTATAATTTGTCATATTATATACCTTTTTGAGAAATTTAATGTTTATTATATATTTCTATATCCATTTATAATAACCTGATTATTATAAAATAATTTTTAATTTTTATATACCTTGTTTTATTGTTTTATACTCTACCTGTTCATTCTTCAGTGATACTATTTTTGTTTGTATACGTTGATAATTATTTTTACCTTTATATAGTTTTTAAAATTAATTTAAATTAAATTATATTATTTCTTTATCATTATTTAATCTATACTTTTTTTATTTGTTGCTTTCAATATTTTATATTCTACTATTATTGCAGATACTATTTAATTAAAAAAATTAATTTATAATAATATTTTTATTCTTTTCATTTACTTTTTATATATGTTTTCTTTATATTTAATTTCTTTAGATTTTTATTTTGATATGTTTAAATTTTAATTCATTATGATATATTTTTTTTATATAAATGTTCATTTATAAAAGTATATATAATATATACAAAAGTCATAAGTACTCCATATTTAATTATGTAAAGGTAATTTTCAGTGATACAATGAACCAAATCTGATTTATGTGTTTTCAACTCAAGTTATTTAAATTTATTATTATTCATGTATTTTGTAAAATAGTTCGAGATTTTAGTTTTTGCTTAACTATAAAAATGTTTGTTTGAAAAAGTTAATTAATATATTAGACTAATATAATTCTATCAGTTATTTAAAACTGAATTTTTAACAAAATTTTAAACTGATTAATTTTTTTGTATTAAATGTATGTAATAAAATCTTAATTTATAAATTATTAATTGATTAAAATGTATTGAAATAAGTATATAACTATTTATTTATAGTAGATATATATTTTATAACTAGCATTTCTAATTTATATAAAAATTAATTTTAACAGATTTGCAATATTACATTAATTAATAACAATAGATTAAATTGATTTAGAACATTCATTTTAATGTAATTTAAAATTTTTAAATATTTATAAAATAATATTTGATAAAATACATTATACTGACATAATTCATAATTTAAAAAGTGTAAATTTGCTATTTACATTTCATATATTATTTTGATATTTTTTTAATATTCACAAATCTCCATAAAAATCCTTGGTATCAAAATTTATTAAAAGTAGTATATTTTCAAATTTTTGTATAAAAAACAACTACAGATTAAAAAATAGGATTTTTTTTATGCAAATCCAAAGCAATTTATATAACTTATCATATTTCTCTAATTACAAAAATTTTGTAAAATTATAATTTATTTACATAGTTTTAAGATTATTTTATTTATTAATAGAATAAATAGAAAACTTCTTGTATATGATACATGTAATTACGCATGTAATTTCAGATTAGAATATTGTATACATTTTCTGTAAATTTTGTGGTGAAATTATAGACACAAAATATTTTAAATATCACAATTCAAAATTTATTATCTAAACTATTTATGTTTGTAATACATTTGTTTCATTATAAAGGTCATTAAATTCTATAATTCAAAAATAAATTATAATATAAAGTTCATATCTATTTCTCGGTATAATATGTAAATATGACAAAATAAAATTAAAAAATTATTTTGTTTATTACCAGAATGTTTTCGAAAAGAATTTTGCAATTGTAATATTTTACACCATATTTAGAATATAAATTTTTTTTATAAAATACATTATTTAAGAAATTATATTAAATAATTTATATTTATATGATATTATATATATACGTTGAGATATACCTATACCTCTTAATAAATTAAATTTTTTAAACTAAGTATCTCTAAATAATAACTTTTAATGTCTTTTTTAGTAAATAAATGCAATTTTGATTATTTTATAATAATATATAAAAAAAATTATTAGTAAATTTAACTTGATTTTAGAATTATGAAATAAATGCATTGTTCTATTTACAATTTACAGTTTCCTTCAATTTTATTAATATTTTGTTATCAAGAAAAGGTGTAAATTAAGATATTTGTATTTTTAAATCTATTTTTTTAATTTTGATGTAAAATTTTTAAGAAATTATATATTTATTTAAATCTTATATAATTTAATTCATATTACGAAAGTGTATTGCCTTTAATTTCAGTTTAAAACTATAATTGACTTCAAGAAATCTGAGTAAGTGTAATCAGCAGTTCTAGTAATTTAATTTTTTAATTTCACTTGACAATTTTTTACCATATCAATGTATAAAAATATAGTAGACATTATTGTATATATGGGAGTAAAATACTTTATATTAAACTAAAATGAATATGATATATATTCATAAATATAGTATTTCAAATATTGTAATTTTAAAATGAATAATACTAATTTAAATTTTATACAGGATAAAATGAAAATTTTGTAATTTTATTTTTAAAATAGGTTATAGTTTTTTATATAAATTTATTGTTTAAAAATAAATTTATTAACAAATTATTCATCATTTTCATCATTAGCTTTAATGCTAGCATAATTGTTTATATTCCTATTCATTTTTAACATTTTAAGAAAGCTTCCGAATACCAGAATCGTTTTTCTATGTCTTTTGAAAATGCCTGTATATAAAGCTTCTCTGACATCGCGTCGATCACTAACATCTGAATCAATACTAGGTATAGATACTATTGATGGTTTTGTGGTAGCGGATTGATGAATATTTGTATCTCCTGTACTTAGCATTAATTTTTGCTGATTATTTATCATTTTATAAAACAAATCGAATTTTTTATTACCGTAAATTGCAATAATTTAAAAATGTTCAAAATCAACTCAAATAAAGTGAAATGCAAAACTGCTAATAAATAACTTACTGAAGGCAAACTAATAATTAGATAATTAGCAGTTTTTATAGGATAATTTCCTTATTTTTTATTATTTTGCATATTTAAATTGAAACTGTTATGTATCAATATAATTAAAATATTAATACTTCAACATGGTGCAAAATTATATTTTGAACCACATAATTCAATGATTACTTAGAAAATCATTCTGATTGAAATGCATTAATTTACATAACTATTATCTTCATACATTTATGATTAATGCATATTAATACAAATTATATATATATATATATATATATATATATATATATATATATTTCAAATAACTGCAACTGTAATATGTAACTGTGTTGTTTGTATTCCATGTATCTAATTCGCTAAAACAAAATATAAAATTTTATTATTGAAACCAAAAAAGAATGAAGATAGAAAAATTATAGCATCTGATCAATAGGAGGAAACAGAAACACTGTAGAATAATGATGCAGAAAATAGAAAAGTAAGAATTATATATCTAAATAAAATTAATTATAAAGGGTCCATAATAAATTAATTTATATTTAAAAACAATTATTTGAAATGATTATAATACGATCTTTATATTTATAAATACAATTATGAAAAATTTTATTTTGATTTAAAAGAAATAAAATTAACTCATTTAGATGATCATAAAAATATCACAAATATTTTATTTATATTTTACAGATTTTACCGAATGATGCTAAAGCACGTCGGCTTTTTGTAACAACAGGGAGTTTAAAAAAAATTCAAGAAATTCAAACAGATCCGAATTCAATTTTATCAGAATATATAACAATAATAAACTGTTGTTTCCCTGAAGAAATTGTCAGGTTAATCTTTTTATTATTTTCAAAAACTTTGAAAATGTATTATTAATATAATTAAGTAATCTAAAAAATTATTTATCTTCTATAAACAGTATTAATTATTTTTATCTTATATTATTCAAAAGTATGATTACATACTTTTATTTATGTATCATAGACAATATTTTGAGGTGTACAAATAATTTTATATTTATCAACTATTTATTAATTTAATAGGTTACAACTTATTTTGTATTTAAATATTTATCCCGTAATATATAATATACAAGGAATTAAGATAAAGTATATTATTTATATGTAATAATTTTAACGAGGTTTTTTTAATTTCAATAAAAAATTGTTATATTTGCACTTTAATTGATAATTTATAATTTAAATTTCATTAGAAAAAGTGTACATTGCACTCAAATTTTATTATCATAATATATTTGTAATTGTATTTTTTATCTAATTTAATATCATTTGTTCTTTATTAAAATATTACAGATAAAATATTTTAACAATTATTTTAAAAATACATTAATGTTTAATAATGTAACAAAATAATACAAATACATTATATTGTTTCTAAGGGTACACAAGTTCGATAATTACGAACAATTCTACTTGGCTTATAAAACTTTTATATTGATTAAAATCTTTAAAATACTTACGACATTAATTGCAAGAAAAAAGTATTTAGAATTAAACGATTAAATGTAAAAGTTCTTTTTAGTGTAAAAATAACAAAGTGGCATGTAATGTTTAATTGTTTTATTATTTAGATATAATAATAGCATAACTGATCGTATGCGATTGCCTAGTAACCATTAAATGTTATGTTGGGATTTGTAGAACTAGTGAAATTGCAGTGTTTTTTATTCTGCGCAGATACTAAAATTAGTTATCTTGAGTATGCTCGCTTCAAAGTAAAAAATTTAATTATTTATAATTGAATCTTATTAGTTATCATTCTCTCATTTTGTCTAATTGTTTTTATTATTTAATTACCTATTTAATACAAAATTATTCGTACATTGTAATATACAATGTAATATATGTACGAATATCTTTGCTCACGAATATTATTAACACGCTAAATAAACACATTATTCATTATAATATTAATAATCATTTTATAAAACAAATCGAATTTTTTAATACCGTAAATTACAATAATCTAAAAATTCTCAAAATGAACTCAAATAAAATGAAATGCCAAACTACTAATGAATAACTTATTGAAGGCACATTAACAATTAGATCATCAGCAGTTTTTATAGGATAATTTCCTGATTTTTTTTTATTTTGCATATTTAAATTGAAACTGTTATGTGTCAATATAGTTAAAATATTAATACTTCAACATGGTGCAAAATTATATTTTAACCACGTATTTCAATGATTATTTAGAAAATCATTCTAATTGAAATGCATTAATTTACGTAACTATTATCTACATACGTTTATGATTAATGCATATTAATACAATTTACAATTCTATTTTTGATAAATAATATTATAATAATTTTTTCCTTTAATGTGATGAATTAATTACATCATAATTGGGTTGTTCGAATTTATAATAAAAATTATATATATATTTCAAATAACGTCAATTGTAATATATAACGGATATGTAATATTTTTTAATGAATTTAGAATGTTAAACATTATTAATAATTATTAACAATATTGAATTACTAATAATTCTTTCACTCATTTATATTTTACCATTATATTAAAACATCCAACTATCATTTTTATAAAAATAATTAAAAAGTAATAAAAAGAACATTAAATTGTATAAAATAATCGAATACATTTGCTTTCTCCGAATTCTCGAATAGCTCAAGCTTAGATTCTTGAACCTTCCGCAAGGCGGCTAGCTCCGCATAGCAGCATCTAAATATTGTTGCCAGCTTTAGCTACCGCGCTGATACTTAAGGAACTTAAGTTATCACTCAGCAGTCAGTCAATACACCGTGCCAGTTATTCCTCCGAATCGGTCACTCGTCTTAGCCAATCATCTACGCCCTAGCGACGCCATTAAACGGAGTCTACAGTAGAGAGAGTCACGCAACATACGCTCTCTCGGTGCAGCTATTGCAAGGACTCACGTTCAATTCTCCAGTATGCAACAATTAACAATCACTCAAGGGCTGACTGCAGTATAAGAAAATAGTCAATTACATAAACCAGATATCGAACCCTCCTTCATATGAAGGCATACCAGTAGTCTCTATTGAGGATAACTACCACACAATTAATACCATACTCCCTTTATAAGTTTGGTCGGCTCTCCCCGCTAATCCTTACAACGTTAGCACGTTAATTATAATATCCTTATAACGTTAGTTAATAAATAATACGTTTATTTAGTGATAATAATAAAATAATAATTATTATGATTATCAAAATAAAAACAACAGTCATACGTATTTGTTAGAGAATGTAAGAAAACTTCCAGCTCATTAGACATCTGCAAAATTCGAGATAAGAGTTCCGAAAAAAGCAAACTGTTGACCACCCAAGGAATAAACATTCAAACGCGCCCCGGATTAACTAAATCTAAACAATTCAGCCAACCTTCGAATATCTAAAGAAATATAATTCATAAACACATCTGGTGAGAATAAACAAAAACAAAATAGCAATAACACGTCATAAAACTAATGCGACGAGACATTTGACACGACCACGCCATAAAGCATCTATCGACGACAAGTCATAAAACATCTAGCGTAAACAAGTCATAAAGTTAGTCTGAAAAACACAAGCCAGATGATCCACTCAAAAACCACGCTACACCTAACCTTCACAACACTGACCGACCGCAACGCGCATCATTATAAGAAATGCATGCGACGATAGGGAAAAGCGCGACATCAAGTCCCCCGTCATGGAGAGGAGTTGAGCAAAACCCGGTCTCATTGGAACCTCCATCTTGAAAAGAGTCACTGGTGCGAGACCCTACCACTCAAGAAGCGCCTTGATTAGAAATACCATAAACTAAAGAAGACTTCTGATTGGATACACTAATAAGACTAAATCTCATTGGCGACGCCATAATCGACAAGACAGTTCTGATTGGCAACACCAAAAGAGAGGGAATTCTCACCGACCGCGTGGTTGAGAGAAGGCTTTAAAAAGACGACGCCGACAAGGCACAATCACTTATATTATCTTATCTAATAGAAAAAGAACAAGTCAAATAAACGTAGTCAAATTATCAGAAAATCCAAGCTAATCAAGCAAAGGTTATGCTATTCAACACGAGTGCTAGATAATAAAACATACACAACCAGAAGTAAAAAAGAGAATCGAGAACTAAGAATATCAGTTCGCACAGTATACACAATCAAAGTGCAAGGATCCACTCGAGGCAAATTCAAGAAACAACAAAAAAAGCTAAACACAACGTGCAGAACTACGAGGTAACGTTCAATTCCTAATTAATACATAACTATAACAAGCCATACGCGCTAATCTGCAGATACGTAAAGCTATCTGCAAAACACAAATACAAGCAATTCAAGCAATCGCCACGTGCTCATATACAAAAAAGAGCCAGGATTTACGACCTCGCTCTTCTGTGTGTATTATTCCATCTACACGTGTATTACATATAGAGGAACAGCAAGGCATCATCTTCTTCCTGTATATGCGACGTACGTGATCGCTCAGTGGCAATAACACATATAAATCAAGAACAGCAAGCACTCAATCAACTAAAACTCATTATAATTCAATTAATGTAATTATATAAATAAAACAAAACTAAATAACAAAACTACTTTTTATTGAATACATGTACTATCTTATCCACTAGCCTGCAATCCTCCTATCAACATCTGAGAGCTCACACCTAATCTTAGATACTTGCCCCTCCTCGCCGGATACTCTATTTTTAGACAGTATTATAATAACCAGAACAGTAACACGTACTAAAACAATAACAACAATAATATATAATAATAATTATAAATTCAAATTATATGAATTTGTTCGAGATTGCGAGACCTTTTTTCAATGCAATATAACATCTGGTTAAACATCGTAAAATTTGTGTTTAGATTTCAAAACTTTCTTGCTCGCAACTGTCTAGCAATAGTATCATAAAACATCTGGAAAAACAATACAATAAACACGAAAAAACCCTCTCAGTTAGGCATATGTACGAATTCGCTGCGCTCGGTAATTACTTCAAGCATTATGTGCGAGCGGACCTACGCCCCCTCTTCCCGCTGTCAAGAAGTTGTCATGCTGTCGCCAAATGCGTCAGCAGTAACGAGAGTTCTTGCCATGAAGACCAAGAGACGACTAGGCCCTTAATTAACTATGAAGCCACAAGAGGCGCTGCCCACGCTCTGCAAGGGAGAAGTCTCTGATTGGACGTAAAATAAGGGAAGGGGTTCAAGTGAAGTTCATGGTCAGCAAATGTATTTAAGGGGCGCATTTTTCAATATTCATCACTCTCGATATAGTTCTTATTCAAATAAGTGTCAAGTGGAAGTCCATTAACGCTGTCAAAGGAACTGTGATCACACGTCTTAGAGGCACGACGACATATGCCCTTATGTCCACTAACGCAGTTCAAGAAACCATCGTTACATGTTCAAAAGGAGCGACGACTTCCACTTATCGGATTGTCCATTAACGCTGTCAAGGGAACAGTGCTTACACGTCTTAGAGGAGCGACAACAATCCGTATATCAAAGTCCGGAGACGAGTCAACGATTAGTCTTCGTAAGTAGTATTATTACTACAATAATTGCATACTCTGAGATTCAGAGATTATGAGATTGACTAGCAACTAAGAACAATGAAGTTCTCCCCAGAGCAACAATGTGAAATAGATTCTAGTACGTGTCGCCAAGTTCGCACCCGCTAAAGGGCGTCTTGTCGGCAACCCTCACGTTAGTTCAAGTTCGGACGCTTATGAATTTGAGCAACAAACAGCGCGAGTGTCGACGAATTAAACTTCGCGCCATTCTACGGTCAAATTTAATCATCACGCTCTGTTACGGATTACAACAGTTTTAAGCGGAATACAAAGTGGGAGAGATATGAGCGCGCGAACAATTGTTTTGTAAACACTGGCCAATGGACTCGAAGAATGCTTCTAACCGAAAAACTCGCATATACGACTATAACAAATGAACCCTACAAGGCTGTGCCCTAAAGAACTAATAGCGATGCCACATCTATACCGGCATCCACGCTTCCGTAAGCAACGCAGACGCTCGTTCTTACATTATACCTCTACTCATTGGCTCACGCCCGCACGTAAATACGACACTTCGCTCGTTCTTACGGCTTACTGACCACAGCTCCTGTCAACTACATAAGCAGCAACCACACGAACGTGCACCAATACCACGACTACATCTGATCTCACGTACACAAGCAGTGATATTACACGGACGTTCTTCCACCACTCCGTTCACTACAGCTCTCACCCCACGCCGGCGGCTAAGACGGCACCAACTCGCTGCCCCTACCAGCACAAGTCTCCCACTACAACTACTCAACTCATAATAACATAATAATTGTATTGCCCCTTCTACTTGCCAGCAACCCTTCCATCCACCATCAATGGGAGGGTTTTTAGTCTGTTTCCAGACACAAACCAAGTGTAAAGCATAAAACATTGATAATCCTTACAAAATAAGCATTTTGCTATTATTAGTATAGCACTACCATACTCACTAAAAAGAGTGTGCATAATCAGTTGCTGATTCTAACAAAATGAACAACATCATCGAGAAACATCTCCTGTAGATAAACTATTTACTACCGAATCAGTTCAAGCAATTGAATCCTTGTGATTAGACACAGTATATACACGTCCATCACATAATTCCAACATAACTATAATGTAATTGTGAATAAACTTTTATAATCCATATTAAACGAAGAAGCGCAAATTGTATGATTGGAAACACTTCCCACATGTCTCCTTCCTAAGCATCCGCAAGGGCGGGCGGCAAATCATAATAAGCTATCAAACTTGGCAGTTTGAGTCAGAAAAACACACATTTTCAAATAGATACTAATATTAAAAATTATGCTTAAATGATAATCTTTAAAAATTAAGTAGATAAAATAAAATATAATTTTATATGATAAACGTTTAAAACTGTTTTTACTTATTGCGTCCTACAGTTTATTTAATTTATTTTAAATACTTATTGATATTAATGTTAGATTATACAATTAAAGTAAAAAACTTTATACAAATTTCAATAAAATATGTTAAGCACAATTATTACAAATTATATTTATAGTTACAAATATATAAGGAGAATATTATTATTTTATATTTTTATATTTTTAGTTCTAAAAAAATTACACAAAAATATTTATAAATTATAGAGTAATTATGATTATATTAATTGAAAATTTGTAAATATTTCATAATTAGATTATTATTATATAAGTATGCTTTTATAAAAATAATGTATCAAAAGTCTTAAAGTTGAAGAAACTAGGATTAAACTAATAATTTATTATTTTTAATTTAATGTTAAAGATACGGTCCAATTATTTAATAAAGCACTCTTAGGTATATTTCTTATTACAAATATTTAATCATATAACGTAAAATACAACAGTTATATCACATCTAACTTTGAATGACGCGAAAAATAAGCATAATTCGTATTATAGAATGAAAGGATTAATGATGTAGATTTTTCATCTTTGTTAATAAGTCTTGTTTATAATTTTTTAAAAATGATTTTTTTGAAATTTATTAATTTCAAAATTCGTAGTTGTGAGTTTCTATTTTAGTATTTTTTTATTTATTCTTTTCTTAATTGTATATTTTTTATACTTTTTTTTAATGCTATAATTAATTCCAATTTGATTTCCAATAGGATTTCATTCCTAGAATTCCCGAAACTTCTAAAGCTTTAGTCCCAAAGTCCTGTATAAATCTTCCGCATAGCAAAACCTATCCATTGTTGCCAGCTAACTAAACTGTCGCGTCGATATAAAGCAAGCACGCGTCAAGTCAAGGTTCGTTCTTTTACCTGGGACGCCGCAGTACTTGCTTGAGTTACCTTGGAAGAAACACACTGTATTACAAGACGTCACTACATATTATTTCTCTACTCTGAATCAAGGCGCCACAATTTCTGCACTATATCTGCATCAAGACGTCACTACATTCTATGCTACACCTACATTAAAACACCAACACGTAGCACTACACGAAGAAGTGTCCAGACATTTACGACCTCTCACTTCTCAGTGTAGTAACCCTCCACCAAGCTCGCTACACCAAGAGGATCCGAAGTTTTACAACTTACAACCTCGATTTCCAGTGCATGCTACCTTCACGTGTAAAAAAACCACTAAAGAACAGCAAAATCTCAACGATTCGGATCATCAACGTAAAATCATAATTGTGTATTTGTAAATTAAAACACAATAAACAGCACGAAAAGCAAATGTATCGATTACTGAATTGAAGCATTAACCTCTCCACTTAGCTACACTTTTCATTATTTAAAATTTAAAAATTTCCAAGTGTTGAAATTTAATTTCCACTTTTTATATAAACCAAAAAAAAAATTCTTCAAATTTGTTATCGAACAGTTATATTTAAAAATATTTATAAGCTTATAATTTAAAATTATTACTAAAAATGTATTTTATTATAGTTATACTTCTATATACATATATACATTTCTATACATGCATATATATATATATATATGTAAATATTAATAACAAGTGATTAAGAACACGTATATTAAAGTTTCATAACGTTGATATATAACTTTTATAATACTTTATTTTATAAAGATTTATTATAACTAAAGAATGATTTGAATATAATATTATAAAGATATTTTTTAATTTATTTAAAAAATTTAAAAATATTCAATTATAAAAAAATATGAATAATTATTAAAAATATTATTAACAATATGCCATGGAAAATTTATTATTAATAGTAAATTTACATTAACTGTATCGAAAGCGATTGTTAATAAATTTAAATAAAATGTATGTAAAACAAAAACTTGGAAAACTAACAAATTTTTACATTGTGGCATAAATAAGATAAGGTAATGTAAAGAAATTTAAATGCAATGAGTTTCATTTATTGTTTTATATTAATTATTTACTTTTTTATAAAAGTAATTTATGATACAAGAATCTTCATTTATATTTTTGCGGGTATTAAGAAGTGTACTAGAATCATCTAGCAATATATTTAAAGGTAAAGTAGAATAGTCGAAAATGCTGAGACAGTTTTGTAAATTTTCATTCTCTAAATTAAATTGATGCATTTAAATAATGTTAATTGCTTTTAACTTGTCATTTGATTAAATCACCCCTCTAGGTAGAGTTTTTATTATTCATGAATTAACATAACACCATATCATGTTTACAACTAAATCATTTGATAATTACACTATCATAAGTTTTATATTACTATAATTAATGTACTCATCAACTTTGAATATATAACTGTTGGACATTCAATTGTTTGATACAATCAATTTTTTACATATTTATAAATAGAAATTAGTTAATAATCATTGTTAAACATTTCCTTTAAAAAATTTTAATTAATTGTTTTGTAGATACTACTCCCCTGGGTATCCTGATAGCCTCTTAGAAGCTGTAGATCAGTATCAACCAAACTGTTTATTCAATGAAATAAAATGTAAAAGATTAAATAAACAAAGCGATTCAAGTATATCTATTGATGAAAATAACGAGGAAATTTACATGAAATGAAAATGGAAATAAATTATAATATGAATAACATTTAATGTTATATTTTATTGTCTAAATGAGTAAAATAATAAAAAAATTAAAAATAATTACAATTTGATTTTTTTTATGTTATTAATATAAAATAAGTTATGGAGTATATATATATTATGATTTTTTATGCAAAAAAGATAGCATTTTCCTTTAACCAACTAGACAATATATATATATTTATTTTTTTTTAATTATATTAAGTTTTAATTTTTATTTAATTATATGAAGTTATAATTTTTATTTAATTATATAAGGTTTTAATTTTTATTTATTGCTGTAAATATTTTGCTTTTAAAATTTTTCTCAATTGAAAATTAATTGATCAATTTGTTTCGTAATATTTTCTTCAGTATGTGTGTATGAATTATTATTATATATTTATATATTTTGTGTCTACATATATTTCTGATATCCTTTACATATTTGAGGAGAAGTGGAATCACGCTCCCGACTATCAAGAACACACCTTACAGACTTATCGCCACCAACATTAATTGAAGAAACATTCATCTATTCATTCTATCACACATTCATTAAGCCATTTATAGATCATTGACTATTAATTATTTATTATATTTAATAATAGGAAAGACAATAAACATTAAAGGCAGTATTGCATAATTGCATTGTCCCTTCCACTTGCCAGCAAGCCTCCACCCACCATCATAAGGTTTTTTAGTCTGATCCCAGACACGCTGCATCCATAACCTCAACTACGCACGTAGTCAACCAAACAGCCCGAGTGTCGACGATTCAAACTTCGCGCCATTCTCCGATCAAATTACACCATCACACTTCATAGATGAAAGTACATTAATCCACCATAATAATTATTTCCATAATTAATAATAGTAATACTAGTCAATCTTGTCATCAATAAATAACAGCATATACTTGTGACCTTTTATCGCTACCACACAATACCCGTGGTCTCTGGATTGTCAACGGCATCAATTTGTATTCTTCGAACCGGCCTTGGTAAAAGAAGCTGGAACGGCGAATACATTTTGTACAAAATTCTTTAGCAATGAAATGGGTATATTATCAGTAAGTAGTATTACCAGCAACTATTTGTGCCAATAACCAATTTCATAATTTATAATAATTAATTTGAAGTAATAATTTATTTTTTAGATTTTATATAATATTAATTAATCACGTTAAAATAAACATTAAATTGTTTCATATTTATTTACTTTCAACAATTTAAAAATATATATAGTTGTTGCACGTTGTCATTAAATTACGGATATTTGTTTATGGATATCTTATTTTTTCAATTTGAAGAAATATTTAAGATTCACGATCTCTGTATTGTACTAACAATAATATTGTACTACAACGTAAGAAGTGTATTGTAATTTTTATTATGTCAGTATAATTTTTGCCAGTTTTAAACTGGTTAGCAAATATATTAAGAACTACTCATTTACTTATCGCAGCAATAATTTATGTTTGTTCCTTACTTGCAACATTTTTATATTCAGAATAACTCAATATATTGGATGAAAAACTATGTCAATCCCAATTGACTACAGTATTATCTATTTATACTTATAGACTATATATAAAAGCTATCTTACAAATAAAAAGTAGCTAAGAGGAAGCATGGAAACTTAGATGTTATTTCATCTGATTGACATCTTTTAACTTGAAAGTTTAATAATTAGAGTCCAGTCTTTTGAATATTCTTATAATACGTTTGAGCTTTTTAGTTTAAAAGAGTCAATTTTATATTTACTTTAAAATTTTTTAATTTTTTAAAAATTCTTGCTAGTATTTCAATGAAAGATATATTACATTCGAATAAAAAATATTAGATGCTGTTCGGAATTAGAGCAGTTTCCAAGAATTTAGTCTCTCGGAAATGTATAAGCTCTGTTTAGAATTAGACTGAGTAGCGTTTATCGCATGGTGGGCCTGCCTTAAATACCTATGCAGCTGCTTTATTAGCCGAAGACAAAGGGCTGATTATAGCGCTAGAACAATGAGTTCGATTGTGGCGTGAGAAACAATGGAAGTGATTGTACACTCATTTCGGATGTACCGACTTTTCCGAGGATAATTTTCTTAGAAGTTATGGTCGTTGAATTATTTCCTTGAAATGATAATATTCGAGAGATTCTCTGAATCTCGAATAATCTCTCAAATTTTTGAAACATTCCCATACTCCTTTTATGAGTATGGTCAATTATGCCTGCTAATCTCTGTTACATTAGCACAGACCACATTCCTATACTCCCCTTATGAGTATGGTCGCCTTTTCTTGCTAATATTTACAATGTTAGCATAGACGTCAAACCAAGCCATATAGCCCTTCAGGAAATATACAAAATCCATTGCTGATCCCCATAACGTCATCGACAATATCGTCACCATCACCAAGGAGCAACTACATCATTGTGATAGAACATAATTCACTCTTTGCCACGAGAAGTGAATACCGAACAACAATAGTGTAATTGCCAATAAATCTAAATAAACGATGTCCTAAACGAAGTTACACACACTGTACATATTTACAGCCCTTCCACTCATGTCCTTTCCTAAGCTTCGCTAAGGGGGGCGATAAATAAACTGAACTATTGAACTTGGTAGTTCGACCCAAAAAATTAAATTCATTTGATCCTTCGAATCGGATCAGAATAAACAAACAAATTCGAACAAATGCAAATAATTAAATAATTTTCTATCAATTAATATTTCAAATTTATTATTTTATAACATATATTATACTCAGCAGATATAGTCAAAAGAAACAGAAAGCAATTAATTTTAAAAAGTTGATATCTGTTACGGATTGCAGTAGTTTCTAAGCGAAATAAAAAGTGGGAGAAGTATAAGCGCGCGAGCATTTGTCTTGTAAAAACTGACTAACGAATTCAAAGAATGCTTATAACAGAAAAACTCGAATATACTACTATAATTCCAAAAGTAATTACAAATGAACTCTACGAGGCTATGCCTTGTTTACGTCACGACAAATATCGGCATAGCAACGGCAATCGATGCAATTTCGACGCAGCTTGTTTATACGAGAATATTTAAGGAGCTGCACATGACGCTCTCGTCCTCTTACTAGTTCAATCAAGCAATCATCAAGATCAAATTATTGTTCTACAAGTCAACGCCATTTACACAGAGATCGCCTTCAATTCACACAAATCGCCGTCTTGCAAGTCAAATACTACTTATATAGAGGTCACATTCAATACACAACGATCTATCTCCACACACGTAAGCTACGCTATTACACACGTTCTTACGAATCACTAATACACAGCTCCGTGAACTAAGTAAGCAGCAATACCAAAACCACGGCATCATTGCCATTCCTCAGTGATGTCATACACCAGCGCCCCACTCAGGCCTCTCCAGTGTATCGGTAGCGGCAATCGGTGGCGTCAATCACGCACCATATCACAAGAATACACTTATAAGATTATCATCACTCACATTACCTAAAGAAACTCTCACCCATTCAATCTCATCTTAATAGACCACTGATTATTTATTATATCATTATATTCAATAAAGGGAAAATCAACTCATATAAAGGCAGTATTGAATTATTGCATGTTCATTCCACTTGCTAGCAAGCCTCCCTTCACCATTTCAGGGAAGCGTTTTAGTCTGATCTCAGACAATATCAGTAAAATACCTTATACAGATTCTGACCAATTTAATTAGAATCTGAAGACATAACTATAATGTTTCAGTACTGTTTAAAAAGTATATAAAATATAAATTTTAAATGTATATAACAAAATAAAATTTTATTTCTATTCAAGATACTAAATACATCGCCTATAAATAGTATGTATTACAATTTATTATTTGTATATATATATATATATATATATATATATATTAATGAGACCATATTGTTATTTAGAATAAATATAAAAAAAATATTTAAAAAATTTTTTTATAAATAAAAGAACAAACATATGATTAAAATGAAACATATAATAAAAAAACAGATGATTGTATGAAGAATGATTGAAATGTCGAATTCAATACCCACAAGGAAATTTGTTTTTTGTAGTTCATTGAGTTATAAATGTGTAACATAATATATCCTCTCAATCAGTTATTACAAATGTTTAAGTTTACATTGCTCGTTTAATTACTATTTTTTGGATTTTTAATATTAAGAAAATTAGAGTTAATTAATGTACTTAATGAATTAGTGATAATAGATATAAATAACTATTCGCTATTTAATGATACTATGATTGAAGAAAACTGTACGGAGTTCTTAAACATACGCTGTAAAAGTTAATTTGTAAAATGAACAGTTAGGAAAAAAGTCTAAGTTCGTTTATTGTCGCTGGATGCAAGAGTATAAGATTTTTAACATTTAGTATTGTTCTTCTATATTCGTAACTGTCAAAATGTTGTTTCAGTAGGTTGAATCATATCTTAGATTTATGCACTCAGAATATTAATATTTTAAATTACTTCATATACAAAGATAAATTGTTAGTATAATTTTGATTGTGTGTTTCGATAGAAAACGTTGAGCAACGCGAAGCTCATTGATTAAACCAAACCATTGCTATAGATAAATTTTGTATTACTAGAACTGCAATGCTAAATGAATATACTTATTATATTTAGAATATAATTAATATAAATATATTTAATATATTTACATGAATAATAAATTACGGATGATTACATTATATAGATTATATAACGTTTGTAATAAGAAGTTAAGCTAGTTGCGGGGTGAAAAATAATTGGATAGCTCTATATGCTCCATTCACGAGCAGACCAATATGAATAGGACATAGATGTTATACTGGCGTATTTATTTGAGCGTTGCTGCTTGTTTGTTGGAGTGAGATTTATGTCAAGCATGGAGAAGATATTGGAGAAATAATTAAATCGCTTTTATAGCCGAAGTGTATATGCGCATCCTGGCCGTAGATAACTTTTTTAAGTATATATGTATACGCCGACGAGAGATGTAAGGAAAAGACTCGACGTGTTTACAATCTGGTAATGGAGAGAATAATTTTCTAACATAATCTAATAAAATTGTAGTTATTTCGTAGATATTGTTGGTAACCTTTGATTTTTTAAATTAATATTACATTGCGTTTTTTATTTCTTTGGAACATTATTTTCTAGAAGTAAAGAAATTTGTTTTTAATTAAGTGAATAGAGTTAACTTATTATCATAATCGTTATCTATATTTTTCATAATATAATTAAAATTCTTTTAATTGAATTAATTTAATTTAAGTAAATTTTTAAAACTATACAAATGATTAAGTACTTTTCACATTTTCAAATTTATTTTAAATATTTTCTTTTACTTTAGATTATATCTCAAGATGCAACGAGAAGAAAAACAATTAGATTCTGCTTTAGAAGCTATAATTATGAGAGTTAATGATTTAAAGTCAACAATAGCTGCAATGATATTTAAAGTTGAACATGAATATGAAACATTAAATTGGCCAAACTTCCTTGATAATTTTGCCCTTATATCTGGACATGTAAGGAATAGTTCGATTTTTATAGTCAAATTATCAAATTAATATCGATTTTAATTATATAATAGTTATAATATAATATAACACTATATAAGTATTATTTTTTGTAGCTTACAAGCCTTTCTAAAATTCTTAGTCATGATAAAGCTCCTAATTTACGAAATTTAACCGTACTTCCTTTACATTTAAGTCCAGAAAAAGATGAAGAATTGCTGAGAATGACCGAAGGACGAATATCAACTTTTGCACATGATCTAGTACCAGACTATTTACGAACAAAACCAGATCCTTTAGTTGAACAAAAAATGTTAACATATGAAACAAAAGTGGCTAGTTTAACTTATGATGCATCTCATGTAAGTTATTATACACTGTGTTATTGAGCGATATAAAATGTAAGAAATTAGAATAAATTGTGGTATTTTTATATTTAATCAAAATATATTAGGGTAGTTGGTTTTTTGTTTATAATGTGAAATAGTTAAAAAGATAATTAAAATTTTATAATAGAAATAACTTTTCTTTCTAATGTGCTAACTAAACAACTAGGATTATAATGTAAGCATTTATATAATTTTCCATATAATATTTGCTTTTTGCAGTATTATCAGCACCACAATTTTGAGTTGCTATATAATTTGAATTGATAGATTAATACTTATATAAATTATTATTGATTTCAGAAACAAGTAGCACAATATAATAAAGTAATTAATCATGTATGGGATATTGCCAATAAGGCTAGAGAAGAATGGGAAAGTGAAACAAGTTCTAGAGCAACTCAAGCACAAACTAGTAATTCTGCAGACACACATTTACTTGTTTATGCAGTGGGTAATGGAAAAGGTTTAAAGGTAATTAAATAGTGCAATATTAATAAATTTTTTAAAATATATTTACTTAATATTAGTAATAATAATTTTGAAAATTATAAATTTTTCTTCCTTTTTTTTAGTCCGATACTGTACAAATGGTTCAGGGTGTAGGAAATTCCATTGGAAGTAACATGATGGTTGGAAGAGCAGGAGGACAATCACAAACATCAAGTCAAGGACCTTTAGGTAAACTCAATCTTATTTTTTGACTTGTTTCATAAAATACTTAAAATATTAAATTGGTATTTTGAGTATTAAAGTATTTTTTATTTTCAGCTGGACAAATGACTAAAGCTCCAAGTACTATTAAAACAAATATTAAGGCAGCATCTCAAATTCATCCATACACACGATAGAAAAATAATATCCATATAACATTTTATATTAGTTAATGTAGCCTTAACATATTAAAATAAAATAAAATAAATATTTATTTTCTTCATTTAGCAATTAAATTTTTAGACATTTATGTGTATGTATTTTTTTTGTTGATACTATTGCAAAGCATCTAGGAGATAAACTTTTATCCATAATGGAAAGAATATTTGTTTCATAATTATACTCCTTTAAGAAGCTCAATCTATCAAATAATACTAAAGATTCAATTACTTGCTGTAAAAGTGATTGTAAAGCAGTATATAATTCAACAATTTTTTGTTTTTCCGCATGATTTTTCCATAAAGATATTATATCAATTTTAATTTCATCATTCCAAGGCATGGCATGTGATATAAATGTTTCGTTGCAATAAAATTTTTTCTCATATACATACCTTTGTGTACAATTTTTTAAATAATTTTCAAAATCTAAACATTGAGATTTCATTGTTCCTTTTCTAACAAGCTTTCTTAAAAAAAGTCCATCTTAAAAAAAAAGTTTGCTTTATTAAACAAAATAGTATTTATATATTAAATAAATATATACATACTTTGAGTACCATATAATTCAAGAATAGCTCTTGCAAGAAGATAAAATGAATGCTTATTATGAGTTTCTTCTATCATTGCGAGCCATCTATCTGATGTTTCTTGACAAGCTAGTCTCATGAAGGGTCTTTTAAAAATTTCTCCAATATCAACATTTAAATTATTTATAGCATTTTTTAATGTTAATGATAATGGAAAATTATTAAAATACTCTTTTTTGTTACTATTATTGGTCTTATCTTTAATATTTCTAAGAGTCAGTTTATGATAACAACAAGGTATTAAAATAAGAAGTTGTGCTACATTCATCTCTAAATATATTTTAGATATAACAACACTAAGATCACCACAAGCATGAAGTCCCATTAAACCAATATTTTTAGTATTTTTAAACTCTTGCTGTAAAATTAATTCTATTTTTTTTGCAGAATTTATTGTTATTTCTTTACACATGAATTTAACGGATGATAGGGAATCAGGAAAAAGAGTTTTTTGCCTAACTTTAGCTGTTTCTACATTTTGAAGTTTTGATTCTAATCCTAGTACTTTGTAACCAAATAAATAATTTAATAACTGACAAATATGGCCCTGTAATCAATATTAATATACAATAATTATTTAATTTATATTATCTAATGAAAATTACCTACTTAATTAAATATTTATGCAAAATAATGTATTACATAAAATATTGAACTGAAATTAAAAATAAGTAAATATTTACCAAACCTGCACCAAGATCAACAATTATTGAAATATTTTGTAATGAACATTGTTTATGAACCAATTGTGCTAAATGAAATATTTCATGCTGTTTTTTTATACTTATTTTTTTCATAAATGCTTTGGGTAATTGTATTGAAGATAATGCAATAGTTGGATTTGGTAATTTGTTTAAATATTTACATTTACAAACAAAATTTATTAATGATGTTGGCCAACTTAACTGTAATAAAAATGTTATTTAAAATATTTAACTTTATAAGAAATATTAATATTTTACTTACTTTTACTTTTCCTTTGGAAACAAAATTATTTAATTCATTATATTTTAATTGAATTAAAGTCTCTATCCATTCAATTGGCATTAATTCTAAACAATTTTTAACCATTATTTTTGTTACTGGCACATCATAAATCCATTTAACTTCCTTAAGGAATAAAATTGCTTCTTTAAAATATTGAAATTCAATTTCATCATAACTCATTCTGTAATTATATTAATTATTAATACTAAAATTTTAATTTCTTATATTTATTTAAAACAAAATTAAACACAGTGAAAGATTTTGAAATAAATATATAATAATTTTATTTAATTTTATTGAAATCATTTTATTGAACAAAAAATATTTCTTTATAATACATTAAATCTGTATTATTATTAAATTATCTGTACAACTTAAAAATTTTAGTTTTTAATTTTTTTATGAAATATTTATTGCTTGAGCTTCAATTTGTTCATGATTCAATGTTATCCAATTTTCATCATTTCTTGATTTTAAATCAGAATTGTGAGAACCAATAAATGCTCTGCCAATTTTAAGATTTTTTATATTTGGACTTAAGTATTTTTCAGCTACATCCATAAGTTGTTCTTTTGATACATTCTTTATCTGCTGTCTATGATGTTGAACGTCATCATCTGTTAATCCATATTTGAATTTGGCTAGTCCACGACTGCCAGGTGCAATTGGTGCATCAATTGTCTGAAACATTTCTAGTTTAGCTTCTACAATTTCATTCTCAGTTATATTATGCTTAGATAGAAATTCCCATGTTTTATCAAATATATCAAAAGTACGTGTTGAATTGGGATCTCTATATGAATAATACATAAAGGAACCATCTGATGCTAGTTTAGCACCTCCTCCATATGCTCCTCCTTTTTCTCTGATTTCTGAATGCAAATAAATTGATGAAATTAATTTAGAAAGTACTTGTAATGGTACATGCTCAGGGTGGCAGTATGGAACAGTTAAAATTGCTTTTGATGCATAATTTACTGCATAAGGTAGAATATGATGTACAGCAGCATTATTTAATTTAATAGGGTTGGATGTTGTAAAAATTATATCTTTCTCTATAGGATAACCTTTTAAAACTCCATAGAAAGATTCCATACTACTTAAAATATCATGTTTTGATTCTTTTGTTAAATTAATAGCTGATCTTAAATGTGATTTTTTTAAAACTTGTTTACCAATTTGCTGTAATTGTTCAAGTAATAATGACATATCCTTTGATTGAGCAATTAATTTCATTCTATTAATAAATTCCAAGCCTGATACCTTTTCTTTTAATCGTGCTACAGGTGATACTAAACTGGCAGCAGAACTCATAGCATATAAATGACCTGCTTCTGCAATACCATTAGTTAATTTAGCTGCACTTATTTTTATTAAAGTTTCAAACCTTTGTAGATCTGTCAATTTGAATTGATTAAATAATTCTTCCCATAAATTCCACATTTCCTTTACATTTTGATTAAGACAGTAAGAATGTATAAAGATTCCTTCTTCATATGTATATGCATTATTTTTATTTTCAACTATATGGTTAGAAAAATACAATCCACCGGTTTTTAATTGAACCATCCTGTTCCATGTTCTATAATCATATTTTTCGGTACCCATTTTAATTATAACATCATTAAAAATTGGTAATAAATGTTTTAAATCATCTGCAAGTTGGCTTGTATTTAAGATTCCATAATAATAGCAAACTCCATTTGTTGGTTGTATTGACAATTGAACAGGAACATTAGAGACTTCTATATCACTTATTTCATATCTATCAACATCTGTTTTTAGGTCTTTGATTTTTAGACTTGGTAGAATATTAATATCTTCTTCTTTTTGTTGTTCAGAAAACAAAATTTGTCCTTTCTCATAAATTTCATCTAACTGCTCAGGTATCAAATTTTTTAATTTTAATTCTAATAAATTCTTTTCAGCTTCAATAAATTGTTTTTCAAAATCGTGACATGGAGACATTGTTAATGTAAGTTTGTGATTGTTTTGCAATAAATATTTCTTAACAAGAAATGTTAAATATTTAGGATCTTTTTTAATTATTTCTTTAAAATTTGATATTGCTTCATTGATTTTTAACGACTTAATGATATCACCATCATGATTCCATAAAGGTGATAAGTTAAAAAGTAAATTTAATCCAAAATTAGATGTTTGATGTTTTATTTGTAATTCAATACCATGAATAACTGTATCGATATGTTCTTCATTAAAATCATCTTCTATAACTTTAATTAAAGTTTCTTTATAAATTTGTTCAATTTTTTCAAAATCTTTTTTTTGAACTCCTTGTAAACTTAAAATGAATACTGTATCTTTACATTGAGATTCATATCCTGTCATGGGACCAAAACCAGTACTAATATTAGAATCTATAAAACTTTTATAAAAGGCTGAATTAGGCCCATCCAATAATAGCTGTGATAAAATATAAATATTAAATGTCTCTTGAATATCATTAATATCAGTACAAAGACTAGCTATAGCTATTGAATTTTGTCGATTAGGATTAGCTATCAATGGATCTGGTCTACATGAAATATGTTCTTTTTTTGGTGTAGTCCAACGAATTTCAGATGGAACTTTAGTTGTCGATGTATTAATTTTATTAGATAAAAATAAATATCTATCATTAATAAATTTTAAGTGATCTTCTAATGGAAAATTACCATATGAATAAAAACGAGCATTGGATGGATGATAATATCTGGAATGAAAATCAATCAAATCTTGATATTTCAAATTAGGAATATGTAAAGGATCACCTCCGGAGATTATACCATATGTATGACTAGGTAAAATTAAATTTAACAATCTTACTACAAATATATTTTGATTATTATTAAAAACTCCTTTCATTTCATTATAAACAATGCCTTTAAATATAATAGGAGTTTTTTTATCATTGGGATCAGTATGTTCCATTCTCCAGCCTTCTTGATAAAAATCTATTTCACGAAGTTTGGGTTTAAATACACTATCTAAATAAACAGATTGTAAATTTTTAAAGTCTTGCAAATTTTGTGTTGAAAATGGATATATAGTATAATCAGGTGCAGTCATAGCATTCATGAAGGTTGCTAAAGATTTTCTTTTTATTTTAAAAAATGGATCTCTACATGGAAATCTTTCACTTCCACATAGAGTTAAATGTTCAAGAATGTGCGGTAATCCACTAGAATCCTTAGGAGTTGTTCGAAATCCAATACAAAATACATTATTACTATCATCTCGACTAATATGTAAATATTGGGCTCCGCTATTTAGATGTCCTAATTTAATTGCTGTAAGATTCATTTCTTTAATCAATGTGACTTGTTCAACCATAAACCCTTCAAGTATTTGTCCTTCTTTAATATTAACTACATTAGATAATTTTAAAAAGTTTTTTGAACTTGAAACACTAAAGTTATTCAATTTTAATTGAGTTCTTAATTTTACAGTATTTAGCCGAATAATTTTTGCAAAAATTGAATGATAAAACATTTTATTTTTCTTTTTTATCTGAAATAAATTAATTTAATTACATCATTTATATATTATAAAAAATAATGATAATCATTAATATAGAATGATTATTAAAATAATTAAAAATTGTCACCAGTAATGAATGTAACAAATTAATAATTGCATAATAATTATAGGTAAATAGAAGATTCGTAGTTGTTTTAATATGAAAAAGAAATATTTTTTGTACAATATATATTTTTTATAAGCATATTATTAATGTATTGTCTATAATCTAGTTTTTATATAAACAATATTTTTCACAAATTTATATTTATGAATAAAATTTTCACATCAAAAGAAAGCTATTAAATATGTAATTTTAAGGTTAAATAGTTTATTAAATAATGATGTTTAAATATTAAATAAGATTTTAGTATTTTACCTTATTCTTTATACTTTTTTTTAATAGAACTTTGAAATTACTATTTTTTTATGCAATCTAAATAAAAAATACAAATTAATTTAAGAAAAACATTAATATTAACATTCTATATGTTGCATCATACAAAAGTTTACATGTCACTTCATTTTACAGTTAGAATAGAATAAAAATATAAATATATTATGCTTTTATGCTAAGAACTGGGTTTGCGTGGACTATAATCATTGTAAATAAATAGAAAATAAAATCACTATTAAATATCGAAACAAGTGTATATGCAGAAATGCAAATATATTCATATACATAAATATATATATATATATATATATATATATGTACGCAAGCATGTATAATCCTCGATTATTTTTATTAAAGAAAATATTCTGCTTTTCTATTAATTCAAGTAATTTCTAGAAGAAATTACGTATTAATGTAATTCGAATATAATTTTGACACATTAAAATAATTATTTTCATTTATACATATTTAACTATTTTTAAATTGAAATAAATACTAAAATATTAATACAATTTTGATATATTTGCCTTTCATAAGGTAATCAAATTTAACTAGATAATGACTATAAAAGAAATATTGTTTAATTTAATCATATAGAAAAATGGAAATTTGAAGATTTTTATAATAGTGTTTTAGTTAAACAAAACTTGTTTAATTAGTAAGCTTACATCAGATATCTAACACATTGGAGAATTGAATAAGAAATTGAAGAATGCGAATCAATATTCATTTTACTAAAAGTAAATAAACAACGAAAGAATTAAAACTTAAAAAGTGTGTTTGTAAGTAAAGATAAAAGTGAATTTTGTACCTAATTTTATAATCCAACATTTGTATATTGTAAGATTACAAGGTGTTTTTAAAAAACCCTCGCTTTTCGATTTTAATTGAATTTCATCAACACTCAACCTTAAAGACCACTTGTCGGGATTTCCGCCTATTTGTTCTAAGGTCGTTCGCGCTTGTGCAAATCATCCAAATGTCGTAAAATACGAATACAAAACTTAAAAAGTGATTGGGAGTAAAATAATGACAAAGATTGACACGGTTGAACAAATGCAAGTAGTGAGAGGTAGAACTAGGTGTAATAAATTATAATGATTAAGTAACTTGAATTTTAAAGACCGGATCGTAGCTGTCCTTTAAAAAATTTGTAGATAACAAAGCTTTTTTTAAACAAGATCATATTGGTTATTTTAATAATCTTAATTGCGTATTTAAATCTACAAATACTATTTTGCATCTTAGGTAAATCTAAAATTTTCCATATATAAAAGAAGAACTGACTTAAGCTAGCCCTAATAAAAAAATGAAAAACCAGCCGGCAACGGCATGTAAGATTACTCGCGCGAAAAAATGGCGAGTTTTACTTTTGTGTTACTAAAGAGTACCCGATGTTATAGGCCTACATCTATAGACTTTTGAACCTAAGTGCCATGTGCAATACTCTGAGTGAAGAGTAATAGGAAGGAACCTTGACATTTACACAAAAGTTGCTACTGTGCTTGTAGCAATTTTTATAATTTAACCAAACGTTTTTGACGATGTTAAGGAGTTAGAGTGCATAGTAATTTTTTGGAAAATAGATTTCAAGGATCAGAAAAGATCAATATTCCAAAATTGAAGAAAAACGTAGGGCATAGTTTAAGTAAAGGTCAGAAAATTTAGTAGTGCCTCGGTAAATGGAGCGGTGTCTTCGTCCCTGCGTGTTAAGGCTTGAGGAGGTGGTGAGCTGTCTGCCACCAGCTGACGACTCAATTAGTTTGGATGATATGGTAGGTGAGCTTTACGCCACCATAAGTATTATAGGCTGGCACGTCTGTTGCTAATCTGGAGCTGCTACATAATAGCAGATAGAGGAAAAGAGCACTGGTGCGATGAGTGTAGAAAGTCAGGGCTGGTCAACTCCGACCACTTGTGAACTTGCTAAAGTCAAGAAAGAACAGCTTGAACTACTCACTGATTGCCGGTCTACTTCTGACACTAAGATAGAGTTACAACAGAGGCATCCTCCACCACCATTGCGACTTAATAATGGGTTTTATTCAGGAGATTTAATACAAGACATTCTTAAAGCAAGTAAATTTAATAGTTTTGCTCATCATACCCCTGCTGCCAAACATGAAAAGATACGTCTTATGATTGAAGATAGTATAAGGTCAGTTCTTATATTTTAATATAATTTGTTGCTAATTTATAAGTTTCTGAATAAAATTGATTTATGGCACATTAGCAAATGGCATATTTTAATTTAATTATTAAAACTGCTTGAAATTATTATATCATTTATACAAATATATTAAATTATACAAATGAATAAAATAAAATATAAAAATAAGTTGTTACAATAAAATATATTTTTAATTTTGTTTCTTATTTTATAAATTATAGTGAAGAGTCAAGATCTCGTGTGCAAGAAATTTTTTCTCAAGTTGAGCAATTAAAATTAGAAGAAAAATTGTTGCTATATTTAAAACTTCCTATATCTTTGACAAATACAAATGGTGTAGTAGATCCATTAAAACAACCTTTAAATCCATTAGGAAATCGTTATGAAATTCATCAAACCATTATGTGGATTAAAACACATCTTGAAGAAGATCCAGAAGTTTCTTTACCAAAGCAAGAAGTTTATGATGAATACAAGTAATTTCTAAATTATTTAGTATTTATTACATATACATGCTTAGTTCAAAATTAAGAATGCTTTATAAGAATTTATTTTATAGTATATTTTGCTCAAAAAATTCTATGAAGCCACTTTCCACGGCTGATTTTGGAAAAGTAATGAAGCAAGTATATCCTCGTGTTCGACCTCGTAGACTTGGAACACGTGGTAATTCTCGTTATTGCTATGCTGGAATGCGAAAAAGAATAAAATTAGATCCTCCAATACTGCCTATAACAAGTTGTACAGATATGGTAGGTTTCTGTAATTTTTTCAAATTTATTATATCCTGAAATTTTATAAATAATTTTTTTAATTTTATTTTCATTGATGTTATTATAATTAATTATTTTATGTTAGATTGAAGATATAGAGTATAATGTTACAGAAGATATGCTAGGAGCTGCTTCAACATTGATTAGAGAATGGGCTGAAACCTTATTGGATGTAAAATTTCCAACACTTTGCTCCTTAGGAAAATATCTTGTTAATAACCTCTGTGTTGACAGCCGATCTCTGGCTGCTGTATGTATATTAAGTGCATCAACAGAACCTCAATTTGTGACTAATAAAGGTTTCTTCACTTTTAACACATTTATAATGTTTTTTTTGTTTTTTAAAGATTATGTATAATTATTAAATTTATGTATATTGAAATTCATATAAATGAACAGTTTTTAATAAAATGTTATGATTAATTATAATAATAGTTATATATATATATATATATATATATATATATATATATAATGTATGTATGTGTGTGAATTTTTATAAAATATTATATTACAAATATTATTTGGTAGAATTGCAATAGTGATAATACTAATATTAATATTAAAATTGACTTTCAAAACAAATTGTAATACATGAATTAAGTATATTAATATATTATCTAATTATAATGATTTACTGCGAATTATAATTAATTATATGTAATTTTAGTTACAAGTTCTGGATTACAAGTAATACCTGTGTCAGTAAAAACAGGTAAACTGAGAGAAGCTCAACTACAATTACAGCGTAAACTTCAAGAGCGAGAACATATACGTGATCAGAAACACGAACATCTTAAAAGTATTTTACAGGTAACTATTAATTTTTCTTTTAATTGCTATTTATTATGGAAAATCATACATAATTTTTTTTAACAATTTAGAGCGAAGACAAAGAAAAAATAATTGTTCCAAATATTGAAAGTTTTGGAGTAGGTGAAAAAAAAGCAAAAAAAACTAAAATTAGTCTGAATAATTTGGAACAAGGTACAAATGGATTAAATAAAGTTATTATGACTACTGTTGTCTCAGCTGGACGACAAAAAAAAAATTTGAAAAACAATCGATCCTGCAGTGTCTCCCTGCAGTCTAACTGTGATAATTTAATAGTACAACCAATTCAAGATGAGCAAAATAGTAACACGTCTAAATTAATTAAAAATGATATTGTAATACTGCCAAAAGAAAATAAGTTGAAAACTATCCGAAAGCGTTCAAACTCGAATGTTGTAACTCAAGTGTCTAATTCCAGTCCTGAAAAACAGTTCAAACTTTCGGATGAGAATATGATTTTACGATCTAGACTTTCCTCAACTTCGATTCAGCAATCTACAAAGATATCAGTAATTCTAGCTAATGACATGAAAAACGCTATGAAAAACAACAAATCAAACAATTCTGTTGCTGCTGTTACTAATCATTCTTTAAAAAATTGTAATAAAGAATCACCTGTGTGTTTTAATGATGACTCAAAACTAAATGGTTATTTTAATGGATCTGATTTAACAAATAAAACAAAGACATTGAAAAGTGGAGCTCATCCACTGCAAAAGAGTTCAAATGCTTTCATCAAAGATAAATTTTGTTCTATTGATACTGATGCTTTATATGATTATTTAAATGGAGGCAATAATTCTCAAGAGCAAGAGGAAGAATTGCTCCAGTACTTTCAGCAAAGTAATTCGTCAAGTTCTGACGTGGAACTCAGCATGGTTAGTGATACAGAACAGAATTCAAGGCAAGATAAAGTTTCTCAATTACGAATTATTTTACAAGAAAATTTGAAGGATTCAGTATTATCAGGTAACAAAGTTAAGTTACAAAATATACCCCTTGATAAGCAACAAGTTTTACAAAAACACAATTTAATTTTACCAACTCTCTTAAACCATAATACACTTAATCCTAGACGGCGAGTTAGTTTTGAGACAAATATTATTAATAATAATCAAAATAATAGCAATGGGAACAATAGCAATAATGTTAACATCAATGGCAATGGTAACCACTATATTGGTAGCAACAGCATAAATAGTTTTCACAATAATACAATCCCGCAGAGTCCAAATACTAGACGGAGAATATTCAATTTTACACCAATTTCACCTGGACCTCATTCACCAATTAATGGTCGTGTTTCAAAATCAAGCTCAGCAAATGCAAGTCCTTTCGTTTCTCCTAGAAATACACCGGTTCCGCGTTCAAAGAGTAATTTACAAGGAAGCTATCGGTCTCGAGGTTCACAGAAGATACTTTCACGCTCAATGTCTTGTAACGTTGCTTGCTCCATTAACAGAAACAATACATTTATAGTACCAACCAGTGGATCCGAATTGATTCGGCAAGTTAATTCGCCTTTAATATCTGTTAGTAACAAAGTTTCACAAGCTCCACAGGTGCTACAATTAGTACATACATATGAGGATAAACTCCAAAGGTCGGACAGTTTAGCCTGTGATGCTCCTTTTCTGACTGACCTTGCTCCTCAAGAAGCACAATTGCTTATTAATTATCCAAGTCAAGAGAATCTCCAAGAAATCAAGAATATCTATCAAAAACATCAGCCAACTGATCAAGAAATATCTGATTTGCTACAAAATGAAAAACAGCAGTATTGTAAGGAACAGGTCTTTTACCGTTCGCAATCCGTTCCACTGCACAGAATGGTGAATCCCGCTATCCTATCACCGATTTCAACTCAATTAACGTCCAACATTTTTAGTCATAGTTTTAATCCATCGACAAGCAGTTCCATAGCTCCGACCCCAGTTCCAAGCGAGTTTAATGATTTTAATTCGATAGGGCCGTGTAATGGCTCGAGTTACTTACTTGACGTTAACCCGCTCATGACAAACAATCAACATTTCATAATGGAAGATAAAGAAATTATTCCGGAGAATTTGAGTAATATATTTGAGATGTTGAATGGAGAGGAGCCGGAAATCATATCAGAAGATGCAGTTAATAAAGAAGAAGATTCAAATCCTATAATTATGAGCCCTCTACCGAGCTCGAACCTCAATAATAGTATCCTTCTTGAGGATTCTAGTGCACTTCTAGAAACCTGGACTAATGGAACTAATGTAAACAACGAGACTGCTATAATTAATAATACTCCAAAGTTACTTCATTCGCGATCTTATCCAAATACACCGCTACCCCTACCGAATCACTCTTTTACACTTCAGTATCCCGAGGATAGTAACGGCTCGAGATCTTATCCTACGACTCCTGTGCACAATATGCAACAGGAGAGTTATAGAGAAAATAACGAACCGATGTTATTTAGCCCTACATTAAATACTCTCAGCCTTCATAATCAATCTGCGAATATAAATAGTGCATCCTCGACAAGTGTTGAGTGCAATATGGCTGATTTCCTAGAACCAGACCTGCCAAATGATCAAAATGATGATCTTGGATCTTTGAGCAACTTTGAAGGATTGCAGGACGTCGGTACTCTATCACCTTTGTTTACAGAAGTTGTAGAATCAAATCATTGAAGGTCTGAGGTTTTTAAAGGATACTCCGATAGAGGGTCATTCCTCATAATATATTAGTGAATTTTTAATATTTGACTTTAAATCCAAATATGTAATCTATGAATCAAAATTTATTAATTAATTTATATTATTGTTAAAAGTACTTGTTGATTTGAGAGATGAGGGCAAGCTTTTAATATCAAAATATCATTATATTTCATTTATTTATATTATTTTTTTCAAAGAATTATCTTAATAGTATATGGTATGAAATTAAAAATAGTTAATAATAATTAAATCCAAATGAATAAACATATTGTTGGTTTTAAAAGCTGTGAAAACAAAATTACAACTTATTTTACTTTCATTAATTAATAAATAGTACACTACTTCATCTTTTTAATAACAATTTCAAAAATTGAAAGTATTGCAAGATCATAGATTCTATTATTTTGTAAATAAAGATGGACCAGATGTTTTACATAAAATCTGTTGTAAAGATTTTAATAATATAGTGTTCGCACTCTAAACTATTTGTTTGTTTAATTACCTCATATTTTAGAGTAGTATTAATAGTATTTGCGTCATAAAATTAATTTATTAGTAAAAATTTAAATGTTTGAGAGTAAACATATTTTTAATAGAACATATAGATTTTATTTGTTAAAAGAATTTATACCACTGTACAAAATAAAGTCTTTAAATAAATGTCTTTGAAAAGAAAAAATATGTATTTTTAATTTATTGTATGCATATTTATTGCATTTATTCGAACATCAAATTTTTACTAATAAAATATATTTTTCTTGTTTATGTTATTTTTTTAATGTAAATATTAAAATATTTGTAGCATTTTTAAAATTAAAATAGATTAAATAAATATTATTGATGTAGCTTTCAGAAAATTATATTCGTTATTGCTTACAGTATAACCACAGTAAAATTGTATTTTATATAATTTGAAATTTATATTAAAAGTAATAGAAATTTTTTCTTTGATATTTTCTTTAATTTTTCAAATAATTTTGATGTACTGTAATCATAAGCACTCAACAACTTAGAAAATTAAGAGAAACTTCATTTATAGTAAACAAAATATTTTATTATATCATACAGGAAATTATTTAATAAAATTAAGTCATTTTTTAGAAAGTAAGAAGCTATTCTAAGTAATATTAAATTTATACTTACAAAACGGTACCATTTATTAAAATTATAATGTAAACTAATTGTTTGAAATTGATAGAAAGTTAAATTTAATTAGATAAATATGATTCGAAATAATTATTATCCATATCCATAAATTTTTAATTAGTACAGAAATTTGTTTAAGTAATCCATAATGTGAATAGACAATAAGTTAAATTACAAAAATGAAGAAATTCTAAAACTAATCAACGAATAGAAAAATAAAAATAATGTTTGAAATTTAACTGTATTATGCACATACAATTCTTGATAATTTAAATAAAATATTTTAAAAACCGAAAATTTTATGAAGGACATAAAACAATGATTTTAATTAATGTATTAAAAATAGAGTTTAATAAATTTTTTTAAAAATATAAATAAATTTAGTTTAGAAGAGATTACTTATATAAAAATAAACTAAAAAGAAATAATAGTCGCACACTATTATTGTGCACTTAACAAATTGTACGTTTGCTGTAGTTCAATAACAATGGCTTGTTTTTTTATAGTAGTATAAAATTAATAATAGGAATAAAATAATTTAATGTTTTACAAAAAATATTGAATAATTGAAAAAATATATAGTACACGTCATACAGACAATCACAAATACTATAAAATTTTTAATATTCTATTAACACAACATATATCGTTTAACAGAATTAAAGTATATGACTCATTGTCAATGTTTGAATAGTGAAAGTGATTGACTATCACTTGATTATTTTCCAACTTTTATTTTTTAATATCTTATTATTTATGTTATTATTAAGCATTAGATTATAATATACCTGATTGAAAAAAATTATTCGTTTCGCTTCAAGTAAAAACAACTGTAAATATTAAATTGTAATTGTATAATAATCAAATTATTTGTCATCGTATTGATTTACTAGGCTAAAAAGCATAAAAAATATTAATTATTTTTTATTAATATTAAATATTTTTTATTACGAAAACAAAGCAATAATGGAAACAAAATCAGTATTCATGAAAAATAATTCTTAAAGTATTTTAAATACAAAAGTTCGTTTATTCAAGATCATATGTATCGTGTATATCGGTTTCAATTATAAATATAATGATTTTATTAAAGTGATAAGAACTATCTATATTTATTTTAGAATAAAAAGAGTATTAAATTCGGTTAGTTTTTAATGAAAAACCAATTTTATCTTTTACAAAGTCAACACGCAAAATAAAATCGTCTTAGGCATTTATATACTACAGTAATTTATTATTTTATTGTTTATTTACTAATATATTATTAATTAAAGTATTATAATAAGCATTATTGTTCATGATTTTCATATCAATTTTTAGCAAAATAAAAAATATATATTTAAATTATTCTTTTAAAAGCTTTTTAAGAATATTTGTTAATAAAATGTAATAAAGTAGTATGTTATAAATTTGTCTCAATTTAATTATAAAAAAGCCTTGTCGTGCCTACAACTGTCGATATGATTCTTCAGTATTGATATATATACAATATGCATATAATAGGTTAATAAAAAATGGAGTTATAAAAGAATTTATAAGTAAAATTAAAAAAAAATCATTTACTTATTGTATTTTTAATTTATAAATACTTTTAAACAAATTTTATTAAATGAAAATTATTTATACTACATACTATTTAATTGTCAATCAATTGTAAATTAACACAGATAATTAATAAAGTGATAACATTTGCCATTTATAAAAGATCATAAAAATGATAATTTGTGTAATTGGAAGTCATTTTTCCCGGTAAGTCCATTTTCAAATTAGTACTAAGATTTAGAAATCAAGTTAATTTAGTTATGAAATATAGTTATTAAATTATATGATTATATGAATCTCATATTAAAAACAGAATTGTTTAGGGATGTTTGATTTATTTTAAAAAAAAATTGTTACTAACATATATAAAATGATTATGTGGCTTAGTTTATAGAAAATAAATTATTTTTATAACATAACTTATATACAATTTATACAATTTTAGAGAAATTTTTAATTTGTTTTATGTGATATCATACCTTTAAAAAATAATAAAGTAATAAATTTAATTAAAGTAATTTAGGTTTAGAAATTTATTAAAAATATACATAAATATAATGTTGTGAAAAGAATATATTTTCTTATTAAATTAAAATATGATAAATTTATTGAATTCATATAATTCAAAAGGTTTATAAACACAAAATAATCTTATGAAGTTATTATTAAATGTTTATCGCTATTTGTATTCGTAAGCTACTGATATTTTTTTTATTATAAATTGATGACAAGATACTGATATTTATTACTTATAAAATTAATTTAATACCATTTGGTAGTATTGGCAATGTGAATTCGATATAAAATATGCAGTAAAATAGTTGTTAATATTATTGTTTTTTTTCTTTTTTAAGACCATGATTGTAAGTAATGTACGGTTTATTGAAAAAGCTTTAAAAATATCTGAAACAAATCTGTTCTTTACAGATTTCCTTTCATATTAAAGTAGTATTTTATTAATTATGTTCTTATGTAATGGTATTTTTATATAAACTTAAAAAAAAATTTATGAAAATATTCTTAAATATATCTGAAATAAACAGGTTAAATTTAGTATATAAATAAAAAAAAATTGAATTTTAGTATTCATTTTCACGTATATATATGTTTTGCTAAGTTTTAACTACATGTTATAATTACATTTCAGTGATTAAGAATAATGGGTCTAAAGTATACTTTTAATTTAAAGACAAATTATATTTTCATAATTATATTTGTAAATTAAGGTTTGCTAAAAAATAGCAATAAAGAATTGAAATCATAAAAAATATTATTATTATGAAATAATAAATAAAAATAACTTGGAAATGTCTAATGATCAAAATTTATAAAAATATCGATATTATCAAATTATATTTTAAATATAATCTCAATTTCAAAAAAAAAATCTCAATTTTTATTGATTTACAATTTTTTTTGTTATTAATAAAGTTGTAATTATCATTATAAAAATGATAATTTGATTATATTATAACAATTATATAGCTAACATATTAAATTTTTTTTAGGTTTATTAACTATTAATTTTACGTAAATTTATTTTACATAGAAATCTATTAAATCTTCTTATAATAAAAAATATAATAAAGTCTTCCGTAATTTAAATAGTACTTCAATATGTATTTTAACAATAAAGGCAATTAATTTTTTTATAGAAACAAAAATATTTATAAATATTTACAACAAGAATATTTATAAATATTATTAATATTATAATTCAAATTGAACATTTAAACTGTACTTATTATTTTAGAAATTGTTTAAAACAAACACGCTATAAATGTTTTACAATATAACAATTTTTAATTTATTAAATCAATTTTCATATTTTAATATGTATAAAATATATGAGACAGGCATTTGTTTTATTAATTTCAATGAAAATTAATTTTTATTTCATTTCATTTTTTATTTATAACTATTTCTATCGAGAATATAATTAAATGTGATATGTGCATACATAGTTTAATAAATATGTTAATCATTATAATTTATGAAAATTTTTGTATTTATTTAAAAATGTTTTAATTATATACATATACACCTATGTATACGTCATATTGCATGTACAGTTTGATATAATTATAACTTCTAAATTGCAATTATTTTATGTAAGTTTAACTTTGGATTATGTTAGATTGTTTTTAATAAACTATATATAGAATTCGAAATTTTATTTTTAAAGCTTTCAGTATTAAGCTATGTTTTCAGGTATTAACATGTTTAATATGACCTAGTTTTTCATTCATGTGGTAATTTTTAAATAAATATTTTAATAATCAATATTGAATATATTATTAATGGGTAGTTTGCATAAATAACTAGAGTAATATAATTTTAAATGAATTTTCATAAATGTAGATAGAAAACTTCTATATATATATTTGATACAAATTTGTGTAATATAATTTGGAAATATAAATAAATAGTTAGTATTACATGATTTAAAGTTAAGAATTTAAGTTTTATGAAAAAAAAAAAATAGATATGATTTATTTTAATGTAAAGAAACTATTTATTAAATTTTTACTCTTCTACATAGTTAGTCCAAGATAGGTGACTCAGTATATACAAGTTATTGAAAATCTTTATTGAAATATGATAGTATATGAAACCAATGTATTACAAAGAAAAATTATATAATCAATATAAAAGATACATCACATTTTTTATAATTCGTCATGATTTGTCTTCAAGATATAATAAATTAGTTATTTCATCAACATATTTTAAACATTTCAAAAATGTTTTAGAATTTTAACAAACAGAAATAGTAATTCGTGTGTATAATTTATTGATTATAAAATTAATGTTTTTCAATATTATTTTTATAGATTTTACGATCTTTTTCATTTATATTTGAATATATGCACAGAAGTTTCTGTTGAATTTTAAGATCATGTACTTGCACATACACATGTGCAAACACAGTAAATGTGTAGTGCTTGCATACATAATTTTCCAAGATAAATGTATACAATTTACCTATATTTCAGATTAATCAAAATTTTTATAACATTTATAATTCAAACATCAAATTTATTTTATAAATTGTGAGAAATAAATTTTTTGGAATGTGCTTGACTCGATGTTTTAATTTTCAAATATAAATTTAATTTTTAATCAATCTAGAATATAAAAGCTAATGAAACAAGATGATATTCTCAAAAATAATATATTACATAACATTATTTGGTACGTCTACTACTTTTCGGTTTATATCATTTTTAGTTTCGTATCGTAGTTTATTTCCACTAAGAAGTGTTTTAACATCTTCTACATCCAATGTTTCATATTTTATTAAAGCCTCTGCAATTAGTTTATGTTCTTTACTATGATTTTTTAAAATTGTTTTTGCTCTGTCATAAGATTCCTGAAATTAAAATAGATAAATTACGTCTAAGAAAAATTATATTTAAATTTAGCAAAATTAATAAGTACCTGTAAAAGTCTTTTTATTTCATCATCAACCAACTCATTTGTAGTAGAACTATAATTAATATGTTCTCCGTCAATATCTTTATGTACTCTAAAACCAACTTTTTCTGACATACCATATTTTTTTACCATAGCTTCAGCAATCTCTGTTGCATTCTTAAAAAAATATATAAAGTAATAAGTTTATGATAGTTTAGTTTATTTTATATTTATTTTTTATTAAAATATTTACATTAAAATCATTTGAAGCTCCAGATGTAACTTTATCAATTCCAAATGTAAGTTCTTCTGCAGCGCGACCACCCATACATGTATCCATTTGAGCAAGCATTTGAGCTTTAGTCATATAATGCATATCTTTATTTGGCAAATATGCGGTCTAGCATAAAAATGATCAAATTTTATTATTAAATTATTATTTGTACCACATATTGAACTTACATGTCCCATAGAATGTCCTCTTGGTATTATTGTAACTTTATGCAAAGGAGGAGCTTCTTTTGTAAAATATGAAACTAATACATGACCTCCTTCATGATATGCTGTAAGAATATTTTCTTCGTCATTAATAGCTCTTCTTCTACCTTCAGGTCCCATTATAACTTTATCTCTTGCCTGTTCTATGTGATCCATTGTAACATATTCAGCACCTTCTATAGCAGCTTTCAAAGCTGCTTGATTAATCTAATATTGAAAAATTAATTTAATTTTGCTTTCAATTGTATAGTTTTTGTGTATTATAACAAAATATTATATTATTAATACCATATTTTCTATATCTGCACCAGTAAATCCAATAGTTCGTTTTGCTAACACTTCTGTATTAATATCACGAGCTAATATTCTTGTTAAATATAATTCTAAAATTTCCATGCGTCCAAAATAATCTGGTGCCCGAACAAGAATTTCTGAATCAAATCGACCAGGTCTTAATAATGCTTTATCAAGATCTTGGCGTCTATTTGTTGCTCCTAAAACAATAACTCCTTCATTTCGATGAAAGCTATATAGAAAGATTTTACTTATTAAAATAAATAATCAAATATATGAAAATAAACAATCAATTATCAATTATTTTTACCCATCCATTTCAGAAAGAAGTTGATTAATTGTTTGATTAGCATAAGGATGTATGGCAGAATGCGTACGTTGTCCTCCAACAGAATCAATTTCATCAATAAAAATAACACAAGGAGCTCGCTCTTTCGCAGACTCTGAAAATGTTTTGTATAATACCAATTTACATAGTTTTAATATAACCATTTTAATTTAATACTTACTGAACAATTCTCTTACTCTTCGAGCTCCTTGCCCAACTAATATTTCATCAAATTCAGGGCCAGCTGCATGAAAGAAAGGCACACCAGCTTCGCCAGCTACAGCTCGAGCCAATAATGTTTTTCCTGTTCCAGGTGGACCAACAAGTAATACACCTTTTGGTAATTTTCCACCAAGAGCTGAAAATTTGTTTGGATTTCTCAAAAATTCCACAATATTCAATAACTCTGATTTAGCCTCTTCAACCTAAAAATAATCCTTAATCAGTTTTATAAATTACATTGAATATGTATTTAAGTTTAGTATTCAATTGTAGAATATAAAACTTACACCTTTCACATCATTAAATGTAATTTGAATATCTTCTGGATTCACTTCTACTTTATTACTCATTTGAATTTTGAAAACACCACCCCCTGTCATTGCTAAAAATAAAATTATATTTATAATTATGTTTAAATGAAAAATTCAATATTAAGACGTTTTAAATTAAATAATAAACCATGAGAAAAAAACTCATAAGTTATAAAATGTATAATATACATTTTTTTTGTAAGAAAACTTAAAATTATATCTGTTACAAGCAGGTTCTTTTTTAAATTAATTTATCAATTATACTAATATTCAATATTTTTTTATGCAATGTATTATGATTGTTTAATAAGTATAAGTAATAAAATTATTTTATTATACTATACATTATATACGATATAGATTATATTACATATAAATAAGTTTTTAATATATATTTTTGAAACATTAGTTTTAAGACTAGACTATCAAAAAAAGAAAAAAGAAAAAGGATAATATAATTTTATTATAACGATACTAACATTTATACGCACCCATTAGAACAACTACAAGTACAACAAGTAAAAGAGTTACAAAAATTTGTTGTGTAAATTTTAATGCTTTAAATGTCCATCCATTGTGTTTTTGATCATGTCCTGCTAGATAACCTTCAGCAAAGGCTGCTTTGATATGTTGTAATTCACCAACTTTTATATATTTATCATTTTGAGATTTTCTTAACTTATCTATTTCTACTGGTTTTTTTGAGAATACATTTGTAGTTTTCTGTTTAGATCCATCATCTATTCCATCCTGTATATTATTATAATTGTGATAAATATATGTTTAGGTATTTCGTAATAAAAAAAATGAAACTCACAGATTCCATCCATTTTCGAAATCTTACACTTAATGGAGGATTTCTAATAACATCTTCTTTAATGCTACGATATGTTTTAAAATATTTGACTTGTAAACTATTTGGATATATAACTGATGAACAAAATTTATGAAGAAATCTATACTGAGGTTTAGTGTAAAGATACACAGTTGATAAGTTAATAGTATCTGTTAATTGTGCATAAGAGTTTTTTTTATTTTCATTAAAACTTATTCCTGAAACATATGACTCTTTCCACTTATTTTTTGTTAAACTACCAGAACTTTCTTTTTTCGATAACTGTTCTAAAATTTTCAATATATCATTTTTACTAATTCTTAATGGAGTAGCCAAATTTTGTACATTTAATTTGTCTATACATAATTCTTTACAACTTTTTATAGCCTAGAATTATAATGTGAATATAAAGAAAATATTTATTATTATTGAAAAGCAATCTACTCATAATATTACCTCTAAAAAGCTGCTTTTACATAAAATACTTTCAGTTATTTTATTTCCAGAATCATTTTGTTTTTTTATTGGAATTACAAATGGTGTAGATCTTGGTGAAATAACAGATGTAAATTGGGTCAGGTGATACAAGACCTATTAATTATAAATATATGTACAATATTACAGTAATTTTGTTTTTTAAGACAATTCAATTAATAAAATTTAAAAAAGTTTTTCGAAGATTGGAATATCACACGAATATACATGAATTTTGCAAAATTGAAAATATCTGTTTCATTTTGTGTATATACATATGAATGTGCGTATATATGCATAAGTATGTACGCATGCACGCATGCATATATATACACAGTGTAAGCATGCATGCACGTAGTATCGCAAAGAGAACAAGTAAAAATAGCAAATGGTACTTATATTAAATATCTAATAAAAAAAGATTCAAAAGTATAAAATATATTCAATGTTTATTTCAATATTAAATACAAAATTGAATAAGTAACCTAAAAATAAGTATAAATATATAAATTATTAATGTAATTGTAAAAATAGTATAAAAAATGATAGTAAAAATAAAATAATAAATATATAATAAAAATTTATTAAATTAGATATATATATATATATATATAAATTTAAAAATATATACCTGATTGTGAGATTGTAGAGAAATCATTTCGTTCTTTTATTAAAGATTTCCGTATATAAAAGATCGAACAAAATTTTGCAAAACACTATTTTTTCGAGAATGAAGTTTATACAGTGAACAAAATTTTTTTCATATACATAAAATTTAATTTCATACTATAATTACTTTGAAGTCGTTGACACTCTAGTAACATCGTTCATCGTTTTATCGTTGCTCTGTGAGTGCTTGCCATCACGCAAAGCCAATAAAGTGTAGTCAGTCACTAACACCAGAATGAAGCAAGCTGGTGTCAAGTTAATTTACGTAAACAACTGATGCAGTGAAGTTACTGTAAAACTTCCCTTCATCAACTTCTTTGTGCTTGCTCCATGATTTAAATGTTTGACAAGCTGAGACAATTGAAAAACATTATATAAAAATAGAAAGCGTTTGGTAAAGTAATTTAAAATATAAAAATCACATTCATTCTGTGAAATAGATATAATAATTATTATAACACATTGAAATGACTTATTTACAAATCAATTTTTATAAAATGATGTAATTATATACTTTCAATACATATATATACATATACGCATATATACAAAATATACTTTCTAATGTTGAAATAAATATATGCATTTTTTATTTGTTCCGAAATTTTAATAAAAATTATTGAAAATAAATGAAAATTTTAATAATATTTTTACATATTAGATCGATATATTATAAATTATAATATAAGAATTTTTATATGTATTTTTTCATATTTTCATATTTAAAGGTGACGATTTGTAATTTCTGAAAATGTTTTTTTAATTTAGAATATTTATAAATTGAATATAATATATTCAATTTAAATGATTTAAAAACAGAAAACTATTTTGTTAAGAATGAATAACTTTATATTATCAATTTCTGCATTTTTATGTTGTTAGAAATTTAACATTTTCATTTTATTTATTTTTTCAATTCTTTTTCTATCTTAGACTTATTAATTGATAGTGGAACCGATTTGTAGGATTAGAAAATCAATTAGAACTGTACTCTAGAATTTAATGTATAAATAGTGATATTCTAGACTATCTTTTTGACCGGTTGGTTTAGATAGTATGTAAACACATCCAAATGAAAAATATAAAAAAATTTCACATTGTACAGTTAAGTATAAGTTGAAAAAAATAATACATTATATTTTATGACTTTTATATTTGATCATGTTCAGTTTACAATTTTTATAGTTTGCAACTAGTAATAATAACTAACAAGAATAGAACAGAAATATATTAGTTTACAATAAGCAATTAGTTTATGCCTAGTTTACAAACTGTATAGAATTGAATATCATCATATTATATTACTAATTGAAGATAATTAAATGTAAATATTTTTTTCGTTTATTATTAGGTATTTATCTATATGAAACGTATAATGAATATTAACAAATTAGGCTCCGATTTGAAATGATTTAAAATATTGAATAAATTTAAAATGAAATATGATTTATGTATATTATAAGGATTTCTATTTTTACTCATCATTTGATTCTCATTTCGCTTTGCATATCATTTGTTTTTCAAAAAAATTTAAAAAAACGTTTTAGTGCAAATTCCAACCAAAGCATTACTCTCATTTATTATTTTAAAAATTATAAACATTCTTTTATAATGTACTTGAGTTTTTTGATAATATAATAACATTTATTTGTAATTAATGTTTTATTCTAACCTTAAAATTTGAATACGAATATATCGTACATGTGTTACTATACTGTTCCTTTGGTAGTATATGCACATCTTAAAAACATCGAAGACTTAGTAATGAGACAAATCAGTTGCCACTTACTAATAATATATATAATAAACTTGAATTTACAATAATTTTAAATACTAAATAAATATTTTAGGATAATTCATAAAAATAAACAATATTAAAACAAGAAAAAAGGATTACTTATTTGAAAATTCAACAAATATTCAATTTTCTTAAGAATATTTATAATAAAAATAAATTTGAAAACTGAACTATCCTTATTTTTAATTTTAATCAATAAATTTGAATAATTAAATTACTTATGCATGAAATTTATGATATTCAAACTTGTATATATTATCAAGATTTGTGTATGAAAAGATTTTTCAACATAATATAATTATGATTATATCGGTTCAATATTCGTCAACCAAATTAGTATTTCAGTAAAAAAGAATATTAATTTGTATGGAATATTAAATCATATCCGAATATCAAATACTGTTAAGTTAATTATTTTATTTAAATGAATGTATTGAAAAACTGAAATATTTTACTGCTTTATATATACTTTTAACTATACTAAATATTTGATACAAATTTATAATAGATATGGAAATAACTCGGATGAGAGTGTTTAATATTGAAATATTGAATGGTGATTAATAAAGATCAATTATTTTAGTTTATTGAAAAAAAAGTTAACAATTAAAGTTAAGCAAAAGTTAGCAATTAAAAGTTAACACATAATTGAATCTTTAAAAGTATGACAATAAAATATTCAAACATATGTTTAGAGACTATGTCTATAGTAGATTATGTAATCATGTAAAAATATAATTTGTAAAAGTATTAATATATTGCTCTAGTATTCGATATATATTATATTTATACCATTTAAACAATTCTTATATTTTAAATACCTTAAAATTAGATTGTTATTATAACAGATAATATGTAGTAATTTTCAATATTTTATATTTTCAATATTTTACTTTCATTAACTGACTTAATTTTTCTTCCTAATGTATCAATCAATTAATATATGAAAAAATATGGAACTGAAATTTGTCGTATACTGCATGGAATACATTTATGTTAATTGGAACTAATTACAAAAAGTGTTTCAATTAAAATATTGAATATCATCAATGTATATTAAATAAAAATCTTTTCTTTAAATTTTAGAATAATATACAATTATCTGACAGATATATTGTATTAATAGAATAAAATAATGGAAATTCAAATATGTGTATAAATGAAACAGATAAAATATTAGTTGAAGGTTTACATATAATAACTAATCATAATAGACACATATTTCAACACTATTCCTTAAATTGTAATTAGAAATGGTACAATTTAAAAATGTGTACATATATTATTAATTTTTAAAAATGCAGTAATAGATATGCCTCAATAAAATTAAAATAGGAGTATCTAAAAAACTAAAAATACGTAAAAATAACTTTTAGTAGATTAATTTATTAATATTGTAACAATGTATATAGTACATGTGTGTTTTAAACACAATAATGGTACAGATATTATCAACTCTTTTTTAGTAAGTAAATTTCTATATATAACAAAAATTAATTTCATACGTTTACTTGTACATATACTAAATCAAGTAAGAGTGTTTTAATATAATTTTAATGGTAATAATAGTAATAGTTTTAATATAATTATAATTAAATTAATAACATATTTACGTCTTATTAGTAATGTTTCATTATTATGTATTTATGCTAGATACATATATTACAAAATATAATTGATTGCTTAAATAATATATTTGTTATTAATACATTCTTGTTATATATTTATATTAAATAAAGAAAAAATGCAAATATAATATAAAATTATACATTAGCTAATCGTAAAATATGGCTTATAATGAATTGGAACGAACAAGCAATATATTTATTATAACTTTAAAAAGATTGTATATGAATATTATATTTAATATAGACTTCAATGAAATTATTGCTGAAAGCATATATTATCATTATTTAATGCACAGCAATCATTTTATTATAATTCAATTTCTATCGTTAATCAATTATTTATACATAAAATTATTCTCAATTATTTAAATTATTTTTTAAAACGTTTAATAAAAGCATTTTATATAAAATTTTACATTAATATTATTTAAATTAAAACTTCTTACGTTAATATAAATGTTTCTTTTATAATATACTGAATAATAATATTAAATTCAATAATTATGTACACATATATATGATACATTTTCATATTAGGACGAACATATTTATAATTTTAAGAAGACTTAAAACTTTAATTTAAATATTTGTCTTAAAAAATTAAAATTAGACATTTTATATGCATTTTATAACTTAACATAAATATTTTTTAAATTAACAGAAGGTTTTAAGAATTTTTGGTTTATTTATCAAACAAAACAGTTACTTTATCCAATTGATATTTTGAAATTTTGAAAACGTACTATTTTTTGTATTGGTTGTTATTTACGGAATATTTTTATTTAATTATATTAAAACAATTTTTATGAAATGTTAAAAAACAAAAAAACAGTTAAAAAAACGGAATAGGCTAATTTAAATAAAAATTTAAAGAATATATTGTTTTGTCAATAAACGACATTGAAATATATATATATGACTCAGTTTTTCTTTCAAGAAATAAGACTCGACATAATCATTAAATTGTAATATCATTTATTACTCACGTCAATAAATCTGTTTTCTATAGATGTTAATATGAAAATAGTTAATGGGTTCAAATGATTTGAAAATCGTTGCTATTTTATATTTAATATTCTATTAATATTTTAGAAAATTTTTTTTTATTTTAATATATACATTGACATAGAAATGTAATTTGATATTCACATATATAAGTTTTATTTATTTATTTATTTATTCATTTAAAAAAAAAAGAAACATAATATATATTATAATAAGATAAGGTATGGACATGATTTTAATTTAAATATAGATGATTTAGTAAAATTTTTGTAGTAGCTAATTATTTAATTATATTTATTTTAATGTATCAACAAAAGTAAATTATATTTAGTAAAAAGTAAATTGTCGATAAAATTATATAGAACTTAGTATAAAGTGACTTTTTTTTTTAACTTTATTTAGCAATGCTCTAAACAATGACTCTCTCCCAGTTAACTTCTCTCAGTAAAGACGATATGGCACGAAACACGGTCTGTCTTGGCATCTATCAGCCGAACCGCCACGGAACGAATACGCCTTCAGTTTCGTGTGCGTATTCAACAGGCTTGTAGGCTCCTTGTATTTACATCATTTAGTCAAACTTTACAGCTATTAGGTAGTTTCTCTGCTACGTCGATACAGTGAAGCCATTATATTCAATACACGTTCAATTCTCAAGTGCACAATAATTGAAAGCAGTCAAGAGTGCTGATTGCATTACAAGAACGAACACCACTACAAGAAGCGCAATATTTAGGCACTCATCACAGGATCTAGTAACATAAATACATTTCTGTGAATAAATTATTGGATCGCGAAGCTCCCGCGAAAGGCTGGAAGTGTACAAAAAGACACCAGCCCCAAGGGCATTATTGGATTGCGAAGCTCCCGCAAACGGCTGGAAGTGTACGAAAAGGCACCGGCCACAAGGGGCATTTCCATCACGTGGCAAATACACGAAGAAGTACTAGAGATTTACGACCTCTTACTTTCAATCGAACTATTTACCACCAAGATATCAGGTATCAAGAAGATCCGGATTTTTACCTCATACCTCGACACGTAGTGCATGCTAACACCACGTGGCATCTACCACTGAACTGCAAGATCTCACTGATTCTCAACACAATCATCATTATGTGTAGTCTGTAAAATAAAGGGCAATCAACAGAACGATAAGCAAATAAATTTAATTATTGAACAAATGCGCTAACCCTTCCATTTGCCGCAATCCTCCCACCAAACATCTGGGAGTTTAGTCTAATTCTAGACAATTGGGTTTTTAGCTTTGGTTTGAGTTAAAAAATATTATAATAATGTATTAATTTTATATTTGATACTTATATAATATCTAAATTTAAAAAATTTAATGTTATACTTTTTAGATAGTTAAATAACATGGAATAATTTAAACAGTAATTTTAAATGAAAAATATTGTATTTATTAATATTTATTTTACACTTTAAATATTTTTTGTATTTACATTGTATTTTTATTGAGTATCGAAAATATTATTACTTATTAATGATCTAAAGACATGAAAAAATTGAATAGATCTAAAATTCTTAATTTTATACAAATTTATATATAGATATTAATATAATGAGTGAAATTAACTCAATGTATCTATTTGCTGATATTTTCAAACTGAAGTAATAATTTTTTTTAAGACTGAATAATTCAAAATTTTTAGTATCTAGACATGTTATTTTGATGTATTTTTACTGTTGACTAACATTGTGAATTCTCCAAGTACCACCACATGGACAACCTTTTGCCCATCGTTGTTCCCATGCTCTTATTGCAGCAGTTCTAGTTGTATTTTGAATTTGCGATTTAGCACCACATCTAGAATAATATAATTTTATCAACTAATAGATTTTATATTTTAATAATTTTCTAATTTTATTAATATACTTTATGTAATTGTTCCATACCTTGTACACTGTTTTACAAAAGAAGGTTGCTTTCCTAAATAGACATGTCTTACTATATCTACTATTTGACCATTGTGCATACATCCTTCAACTGGATTTAACTCTGGTATAAAAGTTAAATCAGGTTCAGTTCCATATTCCAACTAAAATTAAGTTTTTAAATGAAATAATATTTTATTTATTTATAAACAATTTTTATGAATCAAGTTAATTTTTGTAAATGTAGGTAACTTTACTTGTAAGGGAAAACTTTGATAAAATAAAATAGGTGTTGCTATAGCAGTAATGCTATTAGCTTGATGAACTTGAGGAATCATTATTTGATTTGGTATAAGACAGCAGTCATCTGAAAAATATATATTATTAATATAATCTTGTATGATTTCAAATGTAGAAATATAATTTTGATAAATAATTATATAATAATAAATTTGAATATAAATCAATGAAAAAATTTTATTACTATGAATAATGTTCTAAATTAAAATTGTCATTACCCATTAGTTGATCATCAATTTGTGGTTCACCATTAGGTTGAACTAATTTAGAAAGGAGCTGAAATAGTAAACCCAATACATCTATATTATCTGCACTTTTGAGAAATACTGGTAAACAAGATGGTCGAAGTAATCCCCAAATACGTATTATCACAAGAAGCTCCCTCAAAATGTTGAGTGCTTTATGATCTTTTATAAGTTCATACTAAAAAATTATAAAAATTATTCATTGAACCATAGTAATGTCAATAGTATGTATTTTTTTTTCTTACACCGCTAGATTTAATTTGCATTCTTTGTTCAGGAAGTTTAATTAACAAATTTAAAGCTAGATTAGCTATCCATTGTATGAGTTGTTGCAAAGATTGTAAAGTAATAGGTTCTACAGTGAATTCTTTTGGTTCTATATGTAATAATACCTAAAATAATAATTATCAAAATTATATTAACAGGGAAAAATTAATAAACAAAAAGAAAATAGTACCTTATCAACGTCAGTAATTATATTATCTGTTATTACTGATGGTAAACGGTCAGCAGCTACTTTATCATGAAATGTATCAGATGGTCTTAATAAAGATTTAAATGTTGTAGCAATAGCATGTACCATAAATAGCGAAGATAAATCTGCAGCTTTACTTTGTCCGCTTACTAACATTCTACATGTTTATATTGATAAAAACTAAATTATTGATTTTGAATATAAAATATTTTTGTGCAAATACAATGAGTTACCTATAAAGAGAAATTTTAATGCATAAGAACTGCATAAAATGATATTGCTGGACTATTAAAGATTGTCTATTAAAAGATGCATCAAAACGTTCACATAGTGCTTCAATCATCGAAGATCTAAGACATAAAATTAAATCAAGCCAGTCTAATCCTGTTTGTAAACAGTATTCTAATAAAGTACATGCATAACCCAATGTTAATGATAAACCTATAACATATATTTTAAAGTTTATAGTCACATAGTAATATCATTAAATTTGGACATATAAATAAATACTACCTTCTAAATATAATTTATAGATATATAAAACTCCATGTGTATCCACAAGTAAAAATACACATCCTAACCATGACATATCAATATGCGAAATTAATGTAGAAGTTTTCAAATATTTATTTATTAGTTCATCTTGACGCCAACTACTATTTAAAGATGAAACAGTAATTTCTTTTAAACCATCATGACTAAGACATCGTATAGAAGAGTCTGATAGTGCAACTAAAATATAACTAATAGGTGTGACTATAGATAATTTTGTTGATGTAATTGCTGTTATAGAATAATGACATCGATATAATGCTTGATGTTGCCATACCTAAAATAAAGATAAAAATTAAAAATAAAATACAACTTATATGTTTTTATTAAAAAATTATTTCTTTATTTACAACTGTTTTAAATGGATCACAAGTTTTTGACTGGAACAACTTATGTATTGGTTGAATTTTTTCACTTAATTCCCATACTTCAATAAATCCACTACCGTTATTATTTGCAGCTACTATTAAGGAATCTCCTGTTTCTGACACAGCAAATTTGAGATGAGTTATAATTGTATTAGCTATAAAAAGTAACTCATTTTTATAAAACTTTTTCTCATGTTAATAGATTGATATATAAATACATACAGGAATCATCTTTTGGTGCACCATCATGTAAAAAAAAACTAGGCAAAGCCTGGGAAGTTATATTACATCTTTCATCTATTTTTCTGACTGAAACTCGAAAACATCTAATTGGTAGTGCAAAATTGCCACTACTTACAGCAACTAAAAATTGTCCATCTGCCATTTAAAAATTAAATATATTTAATAAAATTATTTATAATAATATATACACAATACTAAGAATAAATTACTTTTTGCATAACTAATATCAACAGCAGTAATTCTTTGACGTATACTTCCTATACTTTCGGTAGCAAAACAAACAGGATTTTGTTTATCTTGAGTAATCATTACTGCTCCTAATAATCCAGTGTTTGATACAGTAAAAACTCCTTGAGCTGCACGACCACCAAACTGTTTAACTGACGGTGCATAAGGTAAATGGGAAAATTTTTCATTATATTGAGTACTATCTTTTTTCTCAGCAACTAAAGTAGTCTAAAAAAAATATGTATAATTTAAACAATATTTATAATACAAAAACTTAATTTTAATACCCTTTTTCCATTATGAAACCATGCTACTTCTAAAAGATGTTCACCAGGAAAATAATGAGTACCAATAATGATCCAATCATTTAAAACATTATCTTTAAATGTCCATAACTGTATAAGTCCAGTTGAATCAGCAATAACCAGCTTTTCTCCTGGTAAATCCCATTTTAAAGCAGTAATAGTGTCTTTATTTGTTAAAATTCTAAAAAAACATTCTTTATTTACAATAATTATATATACTTAAAATAATAAAATAAAATTGGTAATTACTTATAAGTATGCCATGGCATATTTAAATCACAAACATAAATATGACAACCCCATGTTTTACTATTATTATCATCTAATTCGGTACTTGCAGTAAATGCTGCAATATTGCGACTTGATAATGAACACAATGAATGTTGGTTATACGAGCTGAGAACATTTAACAATTATAAATATAACAATAGGTCTGAAGATAAATATTTAATAAATTATTATTTTTTAAGCTTCAGAAATGATAACATTTATATATTATACCTTAAAAAATTTTTATTGTTACTATTTATCTAAATTATAATAAATTGCTTATTTTTATAAAAATATTCATATGTATATATATATAATATAAATTCAAATAAACCATCTAATGCTCTTAAGAGTATATTAACATGTACGCATATACATATGCATATATAATACTTCAATTTATAAATGTACCTCTCATGATTAAAAGTTGCTTTTGAAAATCTTTTTCTATTAACTGTATATAATAAATCCATATTTTTAAATTGTATATAGAGTTTAAATCTTATGAAACATAATTTTTACTAATGTGTTTGTATAATTAATCCTACAAAAGTATTATATATAGTGTACATAGTTGTATATAGACATTTTTGTTATTTCGAATTTGCAAATATAAAGTGTACAAAAGCATAGATATTGTGCCTTTTGAGGCATGCGCAATAGGTAGTTATTCGCAGGTAGAAAAAAGTTTTAATTAAACTTATATGAATCTGAGAAATTTAAATTTGATGCTTTAATGGATATTAAAATAAATATCAAGAATAGAGTAGTATCTTTTTATATTAATTGAAGAAAAAATTATAAAATATCTTTTTATTGAAATGTAATTAAAGTATTATTATTACCAGTACTTATATATTTATATATAATCATTATTACAAGAATACGCAAGATAATTTTTTATATAAATACTTTTTAATTAGTTTTTATATTATCAATAAATTTTCAAAACAGAAATAGTTTGTGGCTATTATTTTATAAATCCTACAAACGTACAGAATATGGAATTATTTCATTGGTGGTTATAAAAAACAACTTATAAATTATACATATTCAAATATTGTAATATTAAAAAAAATATATATTATTTCTATCATTTTTATATTATAAAATGGAATATAAAATATTTAAAAACAATAAAATAAACATTTTTATGCAAAACAAATCGAATATACAATATTAATATAATATTAAAATAATAAAATATTTTAAGAAATTTTAGTTAAACGCTGATAAATCAATTGAAAATTGAAATAATTATGTTTAGAATATATTTTACTTTTTTGTATTGTATACAAATTTTTACTTTAGGTTTTAGATCATTTTATATTACATTTTACATTGAAAAAAATACTGAAAACTAAATTATTATTTAATAAAATAATAATATAATAAAATGATATTATTCATTAGATAAATATTTTGGATTACTATAAATTTCAAATGTAAATATTTCTTTAATATATATAGTTTAAAAATTATATTTATATCATGAAAAGTGAATTGTAATAGATTTTAATTATTTTATATATAATGTAAGAGAATATGTATAAATATATTTTTGATGAAAAAATATTATTATTAAAATATTAAATTATTTAGTAATACTTAAATCTTAATATTATCAATATACTTAAGGCTTACGACTGGTACTTATATATTTTTTAATATTAATAAAACAATTCCATCTCGATATTAATTCTTTACTGATTTTGTTGATTATTATTTTTAATTTATCAATAAAATATATTATTTTTCTTTTAGTTTTATTCAAATAGAAAACTAAAATTATTTTCAATAGTTTATTAATCAATTCTTGATTTTTTAGATATTTATTATTTAATTAATTATATATTACGAGATTCTTATGTAATCAATAAATTAAAAATAATTAATAATAAATAGTTTTAAATTTAAATATATTTGATACTTATGAAAATTATTTTTGTATATAAAAAAAAAATTGATTCTCTTGTATGATATATATATTTTTTATATGTAAATTTATTATTTGTATAATGAACCGCCTAATACTTTTGATATAAATTCATTGAAATTTTCATAGCGCTTGTAATTTTATAAATTATTGCATTTTAATTTGTATCAAATGCATCAGTATGGATTACTATTTGAATTTTAATTCAACTTAAATACATTCAGTTTCAATTTTTAAAATGAATGTTTAATATACAAAATTTTCTTTTTACATAATTTTAGTTACCCTTATTATTTATTATATAATTTTAACAGTAACATAAAAGGTTGTGTTTTATATTTTTTCGTCCTATTCTATGTTGTACTTATTTTTCTACAAATATTAGATTGTTAACAATTATTTTTCAGTATTTAACGTTGTAAAAGTTAAATTGTATATTTAGCAAAATAATATAGAATTAACTCCACTGATGTAAACAAAGAAAAATAAATAAAAATCAATCGACTCAAAACTATGTAGGTATTTTTTGTCATACGATTTTTTACAAAGTCAGTGGTTTGTTTTAATTGTACAGCATGTATAGAGTTCTATTAATTCTTGAGCTTTTTATTTTACTTGGTAAATTTATAAAAATTTATCTTGGTTTTATATAACTAGATTTTATACAAAACATAAGATATTTATTAATTTTTTATCAAAAGAACGGTTATAAAATCTGATTCTCATAAAGAATGACCGCAAAATGTAATGGATATTTATGGAATAGTAGGTAAGGAAATCGAAGATTTGTAACCGATTAAAAATTTATTTTTATTATTTATTCATTATGAAAATGTAGTTTGCATTCAATTAGTAAGTTTTTGTATTGCTTTTTTTTACTGTTGTTTTTGCAAATTTTGATTCGACTAATAATAACAAAGAAAAATACGACTATTTTACTGTATTAGAAATAAATTTTATATATTTTGATGTCATAGTATCAAAAACAAAATCTTTTACCATTAATAAAATAAATTAACTAAAAAAAAATATTACACTATTATACTACAAAATAATATGATACATCAGGATTACGTAAAATATTTGTAAAATATATATGTTCAATTCTTAGTTATATTTATTTTACGTTTTTAATTATCAGCATATTAGCAAATACTTTCATATTTAGTTATAACAATGTAATTGTAATATATTCGTCTTATAATTTGTGTAAAATTAAAACAAATATAACCAAAATTTGCTTTGAATAAATTAGAAAAGTAAATCTGCGATGCAAGTCATAACTTTATTATCACTTTTACATATAATATATGTATCCATAAACATATCTTAAATTTTTAGCAGAAGAATAAATTAAGATTACTTGAAATTTATGGCTAACAACTCCACATAAAATTATGCATTGCTTTAAAATATTTATTATGCTTCTGTCGAAAGGATAATTTTTATGAATTTTATTAATATTAATATATAATTAATATATTATTAATATTAAATAACAATGACTATGTTAAAAATATTATTTACTCCTGCTTAAGCCCTTAAAATTAAAATTAATTTTATACTTATAATATAGTCAGTAAAACGATTAACATAATAACACAACATATGGATAGTGAAAAAATATTATTATTAAAATATTAAATTATTAATAAATGGATTCTATGTTAATTAATTATAAAGTATTTTAATAATTTTGTATTCAGTATAAAGAGTATCTTGGATGTGCAACTAAAAATGGTATGCAAGGAATTTGTATATAGAAAAAGACTTTTGCTTTATATATGAATTTAATAGTTATCTTCAATTTAATACAGTTAAAAGGTAATATCATTTATCTTTAATATTTTGTATTACTTTACTCTCTATAATTTTTTTAATATTCTCTTCCATCTAAATCCAAACAAAAATACTGGTGTTACTAAATATACTAGATTAAAGGATTTATTACTAAACATTTTAGGGTATGACAATATTAAGGAAAATCAGTAGTGAAAACTATGAAAACACTATTCTTATCCAAATTTTTATATTTTGTACAAGTTCATTTAAGTTTCATAACAGCATTATGGACTTACGTTGCATGCACATGTAGTACTTATGTATTATTATGTCACAAAAGTAAAATCAAGATTACTAAAATATTCAATATTTATTGAAGAAAATATATCAGTTACATTTTTCGAATTGTTACTGTTTGAATATTATATAAGTATTCATTATTCTTAATAATCCATTTTATTTGTATTGCTTATTAAATTGTTTAATATTGAAGTTCTAATCTTTATTTTATTATATTTAAAGTTATTTGGAATATGAAATATTGTCTATAGTAATAATCTCTATACTCTTATATTAAAATTTTATTCAAAAACTATTATTATTCATAATTTATAAATTGGAACCAAATATAAAATAAATTATTTATTCTTGTACAAATATTATGATTTGAAAAAATGAATAATTTGACTAAAACCATTAATATTCGGTGAATATTAAAAGTCGTTTGAAATATCTTTGAAAATTTTATATAATTAATGGCTTTTTAAGTAAAATTATATATTTTTTCTTCTATTTATCAATCAAAATTAATATTTATAAAATAAATTTGTAACTTTCTGTAAAATGAATAATGTAAATATAGATAAATATTTAAATAAGACATCTAGATACATTAAAAAATTTTATTTAGATTAGAAGTAAAAATTTTGCTTGGTTTTAAAGATTTTCTTTTTATATGATATAAATACAGTTGCTTTACAGTCTTTTTGCTTTTGAATTAAATTGTACACTATACTATTTTGTATTATTTGTATCTTTAGAAAGGTGATTAGAGTTACTTGGCTTTTTGAATTTAAAATCTTTTATACCTAGTACCCCATTGATTGAATGATGTAGAAAAAATCCTTTTTTCAATTAGATGATATACAAATAAATTTTCTAATTGTAAAAATGTAGAAAAAAATTTTCTTGTGAAAACGAAAAATTATTCACTACTAATATTTAAGTATGTACGGTAATAATAGTAATAAGTTGTAGATATTAATAATAAATTTACATTCCATATTTAAAATTTTTTATTTGGAAACAATCTTATTCTCGAATTATGGTACCATGTCCTGTTTGCAAAGAATAACCGGAATTCACGTCCTTAGACAAAGTGTGAATTATTTCTATATGCACATATTCAAACACAAGTTAACACATTTTTTATGTTCTATGTATCTTTGTATATTATATTTCTATAAGATATAAATATTGTCCATTTTTTGTAATATTTTTCTATTATTTTTTATATCTTATTTTTTAGAGTACATTATGTGAATGAAGATAACTTTATATACTTAAGCATAAAATGTATAGTCAATAAATATAAAAATTTATATTGAAATTCCTTTTATTTATTCTTTAGTCATTATATATATAAATATAATTTTAATTTTAATTAAATATTACAATTTTATTAATACAACATATTAAATACAAAAATTGAATTTGTATGTTATATGTAATATTTTTTTTTCTCACTAATAATACCTGTAATTTATATTTTAATTTTTTTTTACTTTTTATATTTATGAACAATAACTATAAATTGAAAAAATTTACTTTATAATTAATTCCATCTTGATTATTTAATGCTATAGGAGCAATATTGTAAGGCATGATAAAATCAAGTCATATTTTAGCAGTATACAAGATTTGCGTATATTATATAATGAGAACAATATAAATTTTTCTTTGTTTAAATTTTTGTCATTATTAAATATTGTTTATATTCAATTTAAGTTAAGCTTTTTAACAATTATTTGTAACAGAATCATTTAATAGAAAAATTGCCTTGTAGTCTTACTAATAAGATATAATATAAATAAGTGAAAATATTCTCGGCGTTTAATTGTATTCGGGAACAGTGCAAGATAAAAGGGGAAAAGATTCGATATATTTGCGGCATCTTATTTTCAGAATGCACTTTACTGAACTTTCATGTGTTTTAAGAGAACTTAATTATAAACCTATGTGTGTTTTTCATAGCCATCCGTCTCTTTCTTTTTAATTACAGTAATGACGTTGATAGAACGAGTTAGAGGCTCACTTCTATAAATATTTAAACAAACTAGAATTCTTGAAGGTAATATGGTAATAGAAAAATTCATTAAAGTTGTTTAATATTATAAATAAATTATCTTATTAAAATATTTGCGACCGCTTTCATGACATAAAAATAATATAATTATAGTATTTATATTAATATTATTTAATTACATCATTTTCAAACTATTTTTTATGCGGTAATAATATTTATTTACTTAATATTTATTTATACAGTAGCATCAATTTAACGATGAGATAATGATTTAATAGTAATAACGTATTTATAAAATTTTATAAAGTTATACAAGGTGTTACTTAATGTTTGTATTAAACTATTATTAAAATAAATTCCAATAAATTTACAATAAATTAATTTATTATAAATTTAATATACAAATAGATTAAAAATATTTAATATTTTGGATAAATGGTATAATTCAAATTTATAGATGATACACAATTTTAAATTAAAAAAAATTTTTGTTACTAAAGCTATTTTAAATATGTTAGAATTGAATATATATTAACTACTTAATATCTAAAGAAGAATTTAAATAAAATAAAAAAAAGAAAGTATAAGAAGATATAAGAAGAGAAAGTTGACCGACAACTTTCTCCAATAAATTACATTATCTGCTTGATATTACCAAGTACGACTAGTTTTAAACAGCACGTCTTTTATTAAAATTCATACTTTACTCACCTGAATTATTTAAGGAAATTTTCTTTCAGGTATAAAAAGCAGTATGTAACTGTAAAAATATCAAAGTATCTAAAACCATATAAGTGTTACCGTGTAGGTGTATATTAAACCTTATAACAGATTAGAAAACAAGTATACAAAAATAAAAGAAAAGTAACATATAGTAAAATATGAACTTGGAATTACCAAAATATCAATTATTGGATATTAAAAAAACAAAAGAAATGCTTAAATATTTTAAAGGAGAAAGAACTGGTTGGGTTCAAGTAGGTGATAAAAAATGGTTTTTTCCATATAAATATACAGAACAAGGTGAAGGTTTTTATAAATTTGTCAGCAGATCATCAGATACATGGGTTTTGTCTTATCCGCGTTCAGGTAAAACATGTAATATTTAAAATAATAGTTTGCTAAATTTGAAATTTTATAATAAAATTTTTAATTTTACAATTTTCTAAGTAAAAGATAACTTGACGTTGAAAATTTCGACAACATTATTATATTTCACTTATTTAGATAAAAATTATATAAATTATATAAATTATTTAAATAAATTATTTAAATAAATTATATAAATTATATAAATAATATAAAAATTTTAAATAATTTTATTTAAAACTTGACGGTATGATTCTAGTTAAACAATTAATATTTTACTATTAATGAGAATTACTAAATAAGTAAATGATTTGTCATAAATGATTTTCAAAGTATAAGTTTTTGTTCATGGATTTTAAATTTAATTGTGTTTAAACATGCATACAAAATGTAAATACATTTACTGCTTATATATTATATGATAATATAAATATAATGTTAATAATTCTTGCGTCACTATATTATCATAAAAAAAGACTTACCGTTATACATAAGAAATATAAACTTGATCAAAAGATTGTATTCTGAAAAATGTCAAGATGATGTCCATAAATGTACAACTGGCTATATATTTTGAATTATAATAGTAATCAATTATTAATATAAGAAAAAAATTGTTACAGAATTTATTATCGTCAAAAATAATGCTTCTTTCTTGCCAATACATTAAATATAGTAATTATGATATTATTTAAATAATACGAATTATTTTATTATGGTATACAATTTTATTTCTAATGTTTTTCATTTTTAAATTAAAAAATCATAGTCTATAATATTTTTATTAAATTATTAATCGGTTAATAACTGAATATATTATATTTACAAATAAATTAGAAATACGAATTCAAGTTCAGAATTTTTTTAAATATTTAAAACTAAATATAATTAAGAAAAACATTTTTATCTCTAATTTTAGGTACTACTTGGGTACAAGAACTTGTGTGGCTTATAGCAAATAATATGGATTTTGATACAGCTAATACACGTTTGCTTAGCGAAAGATTTCCGTTTCTAGAGTAACGCTATAAATATTACATTGATCTAAATCATAGACATGAAATAAATTTTAATGATTGTACTTTTAGGTTTAGTATGTTTAATCATGAAGAATTGACAAAAGAATTTATAGAATTTAATAAAAACGATCCAAAAAAACAGGAGTTTTGTAAAGAACTTGCAAAGCCTGGCTATGAAGTTCTTGCTAATTATCCATCTCCGAGATTTATTAAATCTCACTTTCCTTTAAGTTTGCTACCAAATATTTTGAAAAGTAAATGTAAGGTAGTTATTACTTTATATTTTATTAATATTAGAAATTAAAAAATATTTTAGCCTTATGACAGTCATACACTTAGCTAGTATATACATATTGTGTGATTATAGATTGTTTATGTAAGTAGAAATCCAAAAGATGTAGCTGTGTCATGGTTTAAATTAAATCAAGCTTTCAAAACACAAGGTTATGAAGGAGATTTTATGAAATTTTGGAGTTATTTTCGAAATGATCTTAGTAAGTAAAAAAATAATTTTTTCTTTTTTTAATATTACAGAAAATTTGTAAATTTAATAACTAGTTAACTGTTTTCAATGTGTTGTTCTACGCATTACATTTTTATTAATAGATATAAATTAGTTAAATTTTACACATTTGAAAATTTTAAAGAATATTTTCGCTGTATGAATGAATCTTAATATAAAGAAAATGTATTGTGTAATATTTGTACATAAATATTTTGAATTAATATTTCATACATACAATTTTTCATTATTGTATATAAACTTTTGATTATTGTAAATACAATATTTATTAATATTAATATTAACTTTTTAAATGTATAATAGTTGTATGTAATATTACGTAATAATATGTAATAATAGTTAATTGAATATTAGTTTATGATATTCATAGTTATATGTTTCAAGTTTAAAATTAAAATTAATACAATTTAAATGTGGTTAAAAAATTTTTATAAAAAATGATTGTACATAATACAATTTATTTAATTTTACTTATAAATAATATATAATAAAATTACTAAATCTATGCTAGAACTATACTAAATACACTAAATCTCAATTTAATTTTAGCTGCATGGAGTCCTTATTGGGAACATTTGAAAGAAGCATGGGATCATAGAAAAGATAACAATTTTTTATTTTTATTTTATGAAGAACTACAACAGGTATATTAAACTATTTATAATAATGAGAAGAAAAGATTGTTATTGATTAATTATTTGATCAATGATTGATTTTTGTTCATTATTGATTAATAATTGATTATTTTTTATTTTTATAGTTAAATTTACAGCAAATTATTATTATATAATAATATATTATGATATAAATATATTTATTGTTTTTATTTTTTAGAATTTATCATCAGTATTACTAAGAGTTGCAAATTTTTTTGAAAAAAGTTATACTCCTGAACAAATGATTAAATTGGAAAATCATTTAAACATAAAGAATTTTCGGGATAATTGTATGGTTAATTTACAAGAGCTTAAGGATTGTGGTATTATAAATCAAGGAGCAGATTTTGTAAGAAAGGGGACGAATGGCGAATGGAGGAATTATTTTAATAAAGAACTTGCAGAAGAAGCTAATGAATGGATAAACGAAAATGTAATAGACATTGATCTTCGATACTCGCTTACAAACAATAATTGCTTGTAACAATACTAGTGTATGTTATTTTCGGTTTATTTTTATAATTATTAAATATAATTATTTATTATATAAGCTTATAATTTCTAATAATGACTGTAAAATATTGATATTGTGTATAATAACAAATTAGTAAAAATAATTATATTTTGAAAAATTAATCTTTAATATTCATAGAAAATAGAATAATTACAAATATAAATACTTTATTAATTATTATAATTGATAAATATAACATTGGAATTAATTGTATGTATATCTTTTTTATACTATAAACCAATCATTTCTATATTGAAATAATTAGTTTTATATCTTATATTATGTAATAAAATCATGTTTTTTACTTGTTGAAAGACGCTTAAAATCTAAATTAAATTTTATATTTGAAAAATTATCAATAATTGAATTAATTAATTGGATAAGATAATGGAATATTTTAGTTTTATTAGTAATATTATTAATAATATATTTTAATTTTTTTTATATTTTATTCTATGATTATATAAATTAATTAAAATTTTCAAAACAATATTCTTTAATATATATTTTTTTATGTAATAAGAGTTCAGTATGACATTAATTATATCTCTAACGCAATAAATAAACTAATATATTTAATTTTGTAAGTAGAATGTGATGTATATGAGTTATAAATAGAAATTAATTTGTCAAACAACTGCCTTGATTGCGTATAGAACATAATCAACTAATATACCGATGAATCAGACATACCGATATTTATTTTTGTTTAGCTTCAGTTTTTTTTATTCTCAATATATATTCATATCTTTGTGAAGTATATAATCCAAAATTGTCAATTGGAATTAATTTAATTGTTATAATCCCTTGTAATTAAAATTAAAATTGTTGTTAAGAAATTAGTATTAAAAGATCGTGTTTTTATTCAATGAATATTTTCATTTTTATGTAAAGTTATTATGATAGTCACATCAATATTTGCATCCAGCATCAAATAGTATTACTATGGATTTTACGAACTATTGCAATATTGGAACTAATTAAATTTGATTATTCTGAAGGCATTGCTGTGCATGCCTCAACTTTTCTTTCATTATGTAATTATTAAGCGAGTTAAAATATATATTTAATATACTTTTACTAGTGAAAGTTAGATATTAGTATAGATTTTTCAGAGTTATAACTAAAAATATTTAATGCTGTAAGAACTTCAACTAAACAAGTAATGGGTAAAAAATACAAAATAAATCATGATTATATGAAACAAGGTTTAAATAATTATAAAAATTGCGTATGATTTATTAATAGAAAATTGAATAAAATTGAATTAAAATATTAATAGAAAATTGAAATTTGAACGAACGAATCAGTATTATTCAAGTGTTTTTATTTCGTAAATAGATGTAATGAAGTATAATATATCTAAGTCATATATTGATTAAAAAAAATTAGTATGTTACTGAATGTGATTGCTAGTGAATAAATGATATACACTTACTTTTTCAATAACGAAGTTAATTTAGAAAATATAGTTTGAACAAAAAGAGATTTAAAACTGAAGATAACCAAAATACTATAAAAATGAAAGTTATGTGTTAACACTGGACTAAAGAGCTGGAATCTAATCCTTAAGTCATATTATAATACCTAGTATTTTTTGGGGATAACATCTGTGATCATACTGCAATCAACATATTTTCCATTAGGTTTAAATATTGTATTAATCGCTTGTTAATTAAAATTTGTATATTTTTATATCTTATTCATTAATAAGTTAAATATATGTTATTAATTATAATTGAACTAATTATAGAATAATTAGTTATCAGGGTTTAAATGTTATAGAAAAATATAAAAGTGTAATTTTATTGTTCATTTCATTATATTTATTCCATTATATCATAAAAATAGAATTATCTTTTTGTTTATTTTCAAAAATTATTTGTAATTTATCAATTTGTACATGATTTTATGTAATTAAAATTATTTTATATTGTAGAAAAATCATAACATACATTATTGATTTATAAAATAATCATATTAATATTATTTTAATATTTATCTTGCTTTAAATTTATATTATTGACATTAAATATTCTAATAGTTTAATATATGAAAAATTCCTTTATTGAAATTAAGGATGTTTCTAGTTTTTTGTAAATGTATATATTGTTGATCAAAGGTTTATAAGTGTCAGGCTAAGATATATAAACTGCTAATTTACAAACTGTTTCAGAAAGTTTTTCTTACAGGTCTAACCTTTTATTACATATTGAATTGTATTATTTAATTGGACTTAGCATCTCTATTCTAAATGAGCTTATAAGTACTGTACTCTAGTTGCATTCGATTGTACCATATTGTTTCGTATAATAGAATCATTTTTAATCTTATAATATAGACAATGCATAATATAATTACTTATATTTTATTAACCTTCAAGATTAATTTGATTATATAATAATGATTTATTTATCAATAGATAGAAATCTGGACATGAGAAAATTTTTTTTAAACAGTGTGTGTAAAAATAAAGAAGTATTCTGTAAGCACAATATATTAGTATTATACATAATTGTTCGGGATTGGAGCAACTTTGAAGAATTTAAAGTTGGAAAAAGTACAAGCTCTCGGACGCTCATGTTTTTAAACATTGATTCTGGGAATTCATAAATAGTCGACGTCTTATTTTCTAGTGTCCTACAATATTTTCGCATAGCAACGTCGATGAAAATTTTCGAACCTTCCAAGGCAGTGTCCTCCTGTACTTCTCGAATATTAGTAGTAACAAGCCCAAGTGCTGTTGCCAGTGCTGTAAACTGAGACTCACTATAATTTTACCAATCGTTTACTCATTTGTTATTGCTTACAGTTTTTTTTCAATCAATCAGTTATCAGTTATTACTCACACAGACACTAAACTCCGCCGCATACTTGTCAATCAGTATAGAATATTCAAGCACATAATTCTGCCAGACTCTGCAATAAAAGCTAGTAAGTTGACAGTGAAGCCATAATAATTATAACTATTTAAGTGTGCCAAGTTAAACAGTCATTCAGTACGCAGTGACGGTAGTTCAAAAAGTGCCACTATTCAATTATTCGTCAAAACCAGTCATCTACGCCCTAATTACACCATCAGTGTAAATCATGGGGAAAGTGGCGCAATACTCTCTCTCAGTGTAGTCATTGCAGGGAACGTTCTTTCACTTCTCCAGTGTGACTAAACAACAATCCGTGAAGAGCAGACTGCCGTCCTACAAATAGTCGTCTATAAAACTCATGATATCAAGTCCTTCCGCTCTCGAAGGTATATCATTTATCTTTCTTGCAAATAACTAGCACACTAATACTCTCGTATTCCCCTTGGAGTATGGTAGATTCTCCATGTTAACTACCACAGAGCATTAACATACTCCCCCTTTTGAGTATCGTTAATTCTTCCTGTTAAACACTGCGAACTACCATTATCATCTTTCGTGGTCGACTGTTCTTGCTGATCCTTACAACGTCATATAGGATCCAATAATCAACATCCATTGCTAATCCCCATAACATCATTAACGACATCGCCACCATTACGAAGAAGCAACCTCACCATTGCAATAGAATAATTTCCTCTCTCTCGCTAGAAGTAAGTAAGAAATGCTAAAAGCCACATTACACTATGCTACATGAAGCGTTCATAGGTGAAGCTACTCACGATAATAGCTCAGCCACATCAGGCAGCTGAGATGATGGTGCAATCGTCGAATACAGTTATACCACCTCTTCATTACTAGTCACAGTCTCACAGAAATATAACAGCACAAGCTTGCCCTTTAATTGATACAGGCTCTGAACTTTCATTCGTCAACAGAAAACTCGTAAGAAATCTCAACATTCCTCAAAAAGTTTTTATCATCCACATTCATGGGATTGGGGGAGCTCAGTCAACCAAGACAGAATGTGTCGTATCAGTAACGCTCCATTCAATTCATTCGAACTCTATTGTCACAATACATGCTCACATCCTCAAGATATTAACTACAGTAATTCCTCCTTCCGATCCAACGTCACATGACTGCCTACACTTGAAAAACTTACCATTAGCTGATCCACAGTATTTTATACATCAAGTATTAGACATTATTCTTGGAACAGATATGTATGGGTAAATCATTAAACCCCAAGTCATCACCTGTTCCCCATCTATGCCAATGGTACAGCTGTCCAATTTTAGATGGCTGTGCTGCGACCGGTAACCTCTAAGGGAAATTCAATGGCACGATGACGAAGATGCACTACAAGAATTACTGACGAAATTTTGGGTTCAGGAAGAAGTACATTCAGGCAACGTTAATAAGTACGCATCAGAAGAACAGCAATGCGAGGAACATTTCAAGAATGCTGACTCACGTAATTCAAGCAGAAGGTATATAGTTCGACTCCCGCTAATTTCACCCGCTAGCTGTCTTGGAAACACTTGCAACACCACGCGCTGCTTCCTACAGAGCTTATTGAACAAATTCTCAAAGGAAAGGAAATATCAGCAACAATATCAACAGTTTATGATGGAATATGAGGATCTTGATCACATGATAAGGGCTCATTCAACTTCCAATCATCAAATTCAATACTATTTGCCACATTACGGTGTGCTAAAAACCAGACAACATTACGACCAAATTAAGAGTGGTATTCAATGGCTTCAGCAAGTCGACGTCAGATCTCTCACTCAACGACATTATACACACTGTACCCAACCTGAATCCTAACAGATCAGACGTCTTAATTTGGATCAGAAGACAACGATATTTGTTTGCAACCGACATTACAAAAATGTACAGACAAATAAGGGTTCATAAAGATGACCGGGATCTTCAAAGAATCTTGTAGATTGACAAAAATCAAGCAGAAGTCTCTTATCAATTAAAAACTGTTACCTACGGAATACGAGCTGCACCGTTTTTGGCAATCAGAACACGACTGCAACTAGTGGAAGATGAGGGAAGTAGGTACTCTTTTGTTGTTCCTTTCATCATTCATGGAAGATATGTTGACGATATTTTCGGGAGTATAGACACGCTAGAACAATGATTATACATATCCGATTATATAATCAGGGTCGTACTCCAATTAAAGGACCTCTGTATGCCGGGTGGTTTTCCGCTTGCAAAATGGTATGCAACACATAGGGATGTTATCACCGCAGTCAACGCGGATCGCAACCAACAAACATCAGTTTCATTCGACGATTGTATTACTAAAATTCTTAGTATAAGGTGGTCTTCTCAATAAGATACGTTCACGACCATACAGATGCCGAAGCAAGACAGCAAATTCACTAAGCGCTTTATATTTCCTGAGGTTGCAAAGTTATTTGACCCATTAGGTTTTGTCTCACCTCTCGTGATCAAGGCAAAAATCTTCATGCAGGAGCTTCGGCTACACAAACTACATTGGGATGAAACACTGCCCTCACAATTTTTCTCACAATGGCTGATCATGAGAAAGGATCTCGCCGAGTTAACAAAATTAATTATACTACGTTGGCTTAACATTACAGACACATCACACCTAGAGCTTTTCTGATGAATTTTACAGCTGGTTTTTCCGATGAATCTCAACGAGCAATTTCTGTAGTCATATACATAGCAGTGCACGAATCAAATAGCACTATGACTACACTGGTGGTTCCAAGACGAAGGTGGCTTCCCTTAAGAAAATCACAATACCATCACAGTACGCCATCACGTAGAGTGTATATCACAGAGAAAGTGACGCAATACGCTTTCTCAGCACAACATTGCAAGGAACGTTCGTTCATTTCTCTACATAAAGGAAAAAGTGGCGCAATACACTCTCTCAGTGCAGTAATTGCAGGAAACGTTCGTTCACTTATCTAGAGTGAATAAACAATAATCCGTCAAGAGCAGACTGCCATTCTACAAATAGTCGACTATAAAACTCATGATATCAAGTCCTTCCCCTCTCGAAGGTATATATCATTTATCTTTCTTGCGCATATCTAGCACGCTAATACTCCGCCTTAAGAGTATGGTTAATTCTCCCTGCTAAGCACTGCTAACTACCATTATCATCTTTCGTCGTCAACTGTTCTTGCTGATCCATACGTCAGCATAGAACCCAATAATCAACATCCATTGCTAATTCCCGTAAAATCATCAACGACATCGCCATCATTACGCAGAAACAACCTCACAATTTCAATAGAATAATTCCCTCTCTCTTTCACTAGTCACTTGTTAATAAAACAGAACAAACGATGTCTTAAATCAAAGTTACATACTGTACATATTGTCAGCCCTTCCACATGTGTTTTTCCTACACATCGTTACGGCGGGAGACTAATAAACTGACTATTGAATTTGGCAGTTCGAGCCAAAAAATAAACCTTTGTTTTCAAATAATAATGAAATTTCATATTAATTTAAAAAAAGATTTCAAACCTTTTGTAAGATTAGTAATTGCATACATTTAATTGTAAATTATTATCAAAAGTTTTGTAATGAGATCAATTTAGAATTTTTGTTAAAATAATTTAATTAAATTATATTAATTGTAAATATAAAATTTTTTTGAATTATTCGTATAATTATTTTAAGATTACATTCATTAATACAGAATTTTAGTTATTTTACAAACTGCTAATAATTTTGTAAAAAAGATTTTGCTTTAAAATGATAATTGATTCAATTTAATATTTGTACAAAACAATTGTATATTCAATTTTATGGTTTTGAAATTTTTTTATGGATAACTAAAAATATTGCAAGTTGCCATTGATTTCCACAAAATATTTTTTTTACTATTCTTAAAGTATTAGATATATAAATATAAATAATAAAAAATGATTCAACAATTAATTTTATAATATTGATATAAATAAGGTTTTAAATGGAAATATGAAATCAGAAATGAATTTAAATATAAGGGTTAAAATAATTAAAAATAATAACAAAGTAAAAAGTTTAATATCGTTAAATACTTCAGTAGCTAAAATAGTAATATATTGTAAGGATATTTATTATTTTGTGTATAAATTTTGTCAAATGGATTGTACATTTAATAAATCGTATAAAGGTAAAAATTATGTGAACAAAATTATGAATTTTCTGATACAATTGGATATTGTATTTATAAGTTAAATTGAATTGATAAATTGGATATTGTATTGTATGTAAGTATATATATATATATATATATATATTTATATTGTTTAATTAATTCAAAATTGTTATTTAATATTGGCTTCAAATGGTTGCTTTTTGGCAGTTAATATTAAGAGCAAGGGAATAAAAAACTTTAGACATAAATTAAATAGTTAAATATGTAGTACAGAAACTTTTATATTTCGTGACTAATCACAATAAGACCTTAATAAATTGTATTTATATTTTATTATAGGTAAAGAATATTTTCTATTAGAAGATAAGTGAAATTTTTTTAATTCGTTAAATATTTTTATTTTTGCAATAATTTTCACAATATTTTATCTTTAACAATGAACTAAATAAATTTATTATAAAATTCTTTTTATGTTTTAATTTCATACTTATTTTAATAGCGATTTATGTATAGAATTAATAAGATTTTTTTTAATTAAAAAATTTACTAAAATACATTATGTTATACTATAATTAATTTTATAAATGATAAAAAAAAAATGAAGCGCATTTTTAAGTGATTGGTGGCTTTATTGTTTGAAGAACCACTTAGTAGTTCTACACTCAAGGTTCTCACGGAAAATGATATCTATAACAAAAATAAATCAGGAAAGTTTTCTGATATAGCTATTACAACTCTTGAACTTTATAGTCGCAAAAAATAGATGTACCAGTCTTACATAATAAGAATAAAAATCGAGTTTCTTTGGAGATCATGTTGACCCTATAACATTCTTTTTTTTGTTAGTTGGAACTCATAAAATTATTAGAATAGCAAGATGAGATAGAAATTAGTCTCAAGATAGATCAAGAACAATTGTAGATGATAGATTCATAATCGATGTACACAGTAATATACAGATAAACACATAGTTGATGAGTATTTAAAATCCATTTACTTTCTTCATTTTAAAAATTTCTTGTTCCCTAGGTTTCAATGTATACCTAATAATTTTTAAATTTCCAAATTATATTTCGTTTATAATAAAGATTTTTTAGAAGTAATACTTCATATTTAAAAATTATACAGTAGAAATTTACAGACCGTGTTTTTCTACTTTAATTTTTTCTTTAAAATGTACGATAATTTTCAATCTTACAGATGTTTGAAATATTTTACACATTGTTTGTTCAGCTTGCTGGGCAATTAATTTTATTCGTTCTCCTTGTTTACCTATTACAATTCGTGAAATTCTTGTAGAAGGGCAACTCACATTAACAACTATATTTAAACTACCATCATTGTTTTTTTCAATATGTTCAGCAAATGTATTTAATAAATATGGTATTTCTTGAGGTAAATTATTTAAAAGATTTGCTTTTACGGTTTGTTGAATAATAATTTGAAATGACTGATCTGTGAATGTATACTTATTATAGTTCCACGGTTTTAATTTTGCCGAATCCAAAAAGTAATTCTGAAATTATTAATATTAAATATTAGTTAAATATATTGTTGGGATAATTATTTTAAGTAGATCATATTAATTATAACTTACCCTTAAATCATCAACTCCATCTCCTTTTAAAGCAGAAATCATGAATACATCAGAAAAATATAGCCAATTTGTTTTTAAGAGTTTATTTGTAATTTCTAAAAGCATTTTTTTATTTTTTAAAGTATCTATTTTATTTAAAATAAGTATGAATTTTGTGTCTACTTTAGAAAACTCAAATAATTTAATTATTTTATTACTAATTAATTCCCTTCCTTGTATTTTACTAACATCTTGAACTATTCCAATAATATCGGCTTCCTTTATAGAATTTTGAACATCATTTATAAAACTATTTTCTAATTTATACTTTTTACATTCTTTTTTAGATACCAATCCAGGTGTATCTAAAAATATCAATTGAGTTTCATTTATGCAAAATATTGCTACAGCTTTTTTACGAGTAGTATGTATTTTTGAAGAAATTGCGCATATCTATTTAGAAAATATTATAGATATTAATATTTATAAAATTTTATGGTAGAAGGATATTTATAAATTTTTATGTATTTACCGGCTTTTCAATTAGAAAATTAATCAGTGTACTTTTGCCTGCATTAGGAAGTCCTAATATTGCAATTTTTAAAGATTTAAAATTTTCATTATCTGGACCATTTATTAATATTTGTTTTGCTTGTAAAGTATTCTCTCCAAAATTGTTAATAAAATTTGAAAATTGTGTAACAATTTGAGCACTTACTCGTAGTATTTTTTTATTTATATGAATCCACATTGTAGAAATAAAATGTTCCTGTACATTATTTAACTTTTGTGTAGGTAAATATTTATTCTATAAAAATTGATTTTCGTAATAAAAATATTGAAGGTTATGTTATTGTTATAGGGCTTTTAAAATGATTATTAACAGTAGTAATGGAATAAGTAAAATCTGATATCTATATTACACGTTCAATTTAAGATTAAAAAATATTATATATATCATTTATATAAAATTACCAGAAATTTTATCTTAATTTAAGAAAAATTTATTATTAATTATATATAAATTACAAAATTGATCAGGACTATACGCATGCGCTAAGATCATTTGTTTTATAATTATCATATTAAACAGAAAAATTGAATAAAATGACAGTAGTGTAAAGATTTATTTATGTGAAATATTATTTCATTTTATACTATGAATAAAACATAATCTTTAATTGTTAATAGTTAAGTACACATTATACTGTGAAGACGACTTACAAGTATTAATCCTAATATTCATGATTGCATTTCCAATTGAATATGCATATGCAATAGGGTATAACAATACGTCTATATTTCTAAGTTTACCTATATTCACAGTCTGTTCCATGATAGTTGTATAAAATTGAATATTAACATGTAACTAGTAGTATAAACAACTTCATGCTACGTTCTAATTTTAAGTCCAATCATATATTGAAACACTGTGTACAGATTATATCTATATACACTATCATGGTGGCATAATCAATCATATAAGAATAGTAAAAAATAAATATTAAGATAATTATACAGAAATTCAAACTTGATATAAATAATTAACAAAAACAAGTCAAACGTACCTAGTCTTTTTTACAACTCAAAGTGTACATAAATTAGTGTTAAAAAGTAGTGAGTGAATTAGGTACTAATTTATAAATTGTTTGGATCATTATTTTATATCATTTATTTAGATAAATTACCGACCATGCTTGTTTTCTGAAAAGTGATTTAATAATAGTTTCATGTTTTAAGATTTTTATTTTATGTAATTCAATATGAAAGAAATAAAAATAATCGAATGCTTAGATTTGAAGTACAAAATTGATTGTACTGATTTAAAAGGTATTTATTTTTATTGAATCATATCTTTTAAATTATTAATGTTTTAAATGTACAAACCATTATTTTATATTCTAGCAGATTCTTTTAAAAATTTTTATTCAATATAATGTTAAAAAAGAAATTATTATATTCTTTTGAAATATAACAACTAAAAAGAAAATTAAAATACAATATTTTCATCTTCAAAGACATACTTTTTTATTAAGAAATAATGCATTTCTGGATTGATAAACCTACAGGACGATGTTATGGATTTAATGGACGACATTATCCTACTATGTCTTTTTCCAAAGTAAATTTTGGTAAGATACTTCAAATATTTTAGTATAATTGTTTTTACAATATATTTATGTCATATAGGTCAACATCGTAGGTGTGATTTAGATGTAACAAGATTACAGATGTTAACACCAGTACATAGATTTCAAGCTATTAGCAATATTGGAAATTCTGCTGGATCTAGTAATCATAATTTAACCAGATCTATAAGATTTAATACACAAACTAATGAACATAGAAATAATTCAATACATAATGAAATACAACTTGGACAAAATATCAGCAAGTAATTACACATTGATTTTCAATTTACAATAGTTATAAAAAGTTTTGTCAATGTACAGTTAAAGTATAAAATTGTTAATGTTTATTTTTGGCTGTTCTATTTTTAAGTTAAAATTCATTGAATACATTAATGTTACATTACAATTCAAGTTTTCGCAAACATAAAAAAAATTAAAAATTGTCTTTCATACTTTTCCTAATATTAGTACAAATACTACTGGTAATAATCTACATGTACCACAATCAACAAGTAATTCAAGTAGTAGAGGACTTCTCAATTTTTCTGAATTAAATGATGCAGTAATGGCAGGATACAGACTTCGTTGCAGTGTATGGATTATTTTTGTACTAGCTACAGGTTTTGTAGCTGCAGCTAAATTTTACTTTGATCATCAGGTAATTGATATAAATGAATTTTTTAAAAATGTATCTGAAATAATAACTGATATTGGACAATGAACTAAAATAATAAGTAATATAAGTATTAAATCGATAACTGTAATAATAGTTAAAGAAAAAATCCTTTTTAAAATTTGAATTATATTCAATACAAATTTTTTATACATCGAATTTAAAATAATTAATTTGTAAATATTAGAAAATACTTAATAATTCAATGGATAAATTATTTACTTCATAAAATAAGAAATAAGTTTATGTAACTTTCTATTTGTTACTATTTATTATTTTTAATTAATTTAAACAATGTTTTTTATATTTCGAAATTAGATACAGAATTTTTTAATAGTTCAATTATGTTGTGCAAAAAAGTTTAAATTATTGAAAAAAGTAATCATATTGTTAAATTATTATTTAATTACTAATTTAATTTTACCTGCTTATGATTACATATATATTTTGTAATTAGCAGGGAGCTGGTTTAGAAGTACTTGTATTTTGTGGACTATTAGTAATTCTTTTACTGTCTGGGTGTTTCTACTCAATTATTTGTCGACGTGCACAAAACAATCATCATCAAGAAATCGAAGTAGAACCTATCGCAACTGTTGCTGTTTCAAATACAATTTCCAATGATAATATTAGACAAGTTTCTATGCCTATTAGACAAAATCCACCTCCACCATATCATATAGCAATTCTTATACCTCCTCCTATATCATCTGATGAAACACCTCCCCCAGCTTATGATAAGATTGTTCAATAAATTTTATTTAATCTAGTTTTATATATAAATTCAATATGTTTAATATTGTTGAATTATAGATATTGCTACTTTTGATATATCCTTGCAATTGTGTTTTAGTATAATCAAAAAAGTTGAAGGCATTTATTATACAGATGTTTAAATTGTGATATTTAATTGGCCAAAAAAGAATTATGAAATTTAATGAAAAAATATCGTGGATAATTTGTTAAACGTGATTTATATATTTTCGTATATCTTTGCTCTAAATAGGAAAAGTGTATATATGAGTTTACGTAGGCTTATCTTATTTATAATAAATTCTTCACATGTATAATTTAACTAATATTGTATGAAAAACGACTCTTCAAATTTAGAGTTATTAATTACATTTAAGAAAATTATTTGTAGAAATTCGTAGATATTAAATTAACTTTTATAAATATACTTAAGGAATGTATACAATAATCCAGACAAAATGTGTATGCATTATACAATTATATTATTTTATATATTTTATAATGAAGCAGTGAATAGTAATATTGAGATACAAGTGTATTAATAAGAAGAGTTTATTTTATATTATACATTTAAGTTAATCAAATTATTAAAGACTTAAAAGGATAATATAACGAATTTTAATTTGTAATACTATTAAGCATATTAAACATTTTTATGTATTTCATAAATGTCTTATCAATAAATATAAAAATATTTTATTTTAATACTCCAAATAATTAATATATTAATTTTATTTTTTAAGTAGATTAATTATGTGTTGTATAATTTTTTACGGAAATTAATATATATATATATATATATATAAGGTGTATATATCATATACAATCATGCATGCACAAGCTATGATGACATACTGAAAATATAAACTTATATTTTATCAAATATATTAAAAGAAAATAAATATTTAAATGTAATACTCAATATTTTGTTTTACTATAAGTACACAAAAAGTATTAAAGTACATGAAGTATAAGAATTTATGTTTATTTACCATTTAGCTTGGTTTATAACATGAAATTGAAAAAAAATCTCGTGCAAAATCACTATCTTTACCTTACATAAATCAAATAAGAGACATTTTTCATTGATTTATCATATTTAAACATGTCAAATTAAATGATTATAAATCTACAATTTATTTAGTTAATAATTAAAATATAAATTATTTTCAATATTAATGATTAAAAAAGGATTAGGTCAAAATATCTTTAAACTCTTTGAATTTCAAAAAGTTTAACGTCCGTAGCATACCAAATAGGTGGTTCAATGTTTCGTAGATAAATAACACCCCACATATAAGTTCTAAACCATGCTGTTGTGCCAGTATTTGCTTGATATCTGCGAATGAGTATAGGATGCGGTACAGGTAATAGTCCTACAAGTGTCCCATGTTGTAAAAATTTCAAAATTTCACTTTCATCTGTTAATCCCCTAAAAAAGATAAATCAAATTTTTAATAAATTTCTTAATTTAGAATTTATATAATATTTATTAGCGTATAATATACAAACTTATCAATACAAATTTTTTCTACTTGAGGTACTAAAACTTGTAGTAATCGCATAATAGTTTGTAAAGGCAGTTTACTTTTCCATTGATATACCCACTCAGCTGAAGGTATCCAATGATCTATGATATTTATATAGTTTGAATGTTCAGCTATGCGAATTCCCCCTTTCTATTAATAAATTAAAAATTGATACATAATAATTGTACATCCAATTTATGAATTATTGTATATCATTTATATTATAAAATTATAAATAATTTTGGCTATTCCTGCTAATAGATTTCTAATTACCAAAGTCATAAAGAAATTACTTCGTATATTTAATCTTAATCATATGTATTATTATTTCATTAAAAATAATTCTGAATTTACACAATTTATGCAACGATTGTTATTAATAGTTAAAATACATTTTAAATATTGACTTGTATTTATATCCTATAATTAAAAATTTTTTTTTATAATGATAACGTTTTTATAATTTTTTGTAATTACCAATTTTTGTAATTTCTAATATATAAATTTAATATTTGGTAATAAAAATGAAAAGTATATATTCATTTTTAAATATAAAAGGTAAATTTCTTACACATAAATTAAGTATAGCTCGAAAAATATTTAAGTTAAATTTTAATTTAATTTCTTTACTTTTCAATAAGTATAATAATAAGTATGAGTAAGTAAATTGTTGTTTATAAATAAAATGATGTGCCTAATATAAATAATAATTCTTTCAGTCATTTAATTATTAATTACAAATTTTTATTATTTTTATAATTATTTATAATTATTTTATAATAAACAAATAAAAAGATCATTGATAAATTTTTAGATACCAAACTGTGTGATATATCTAATTAAGTTCTTACTAACCGGTACAATAGATTCAAGCTTTGTTTGAGAACGTTGATCATTAGAAACAACTTCTAATTTCGTAATCGTTTTATTCACATCCACATCAGGAGAACTTAATGGATGAGCAGATTCTTTTTCTGTCATATTTTCAATATCAGGGATATCAAGTAACGATGCTTTAAGAGTACCAGGTTCTGCAGGCTGTGCTGGATGTGAACCTTCCATTGTAGTCTCATTTACATTTTCATTCAATCTATTGGATGGCATATGTTTTTTCTGTCTTTTATTAAGAGATTTTGTGATGGTATTACAATCACTTGGCAAATTAGCCAAAGTGTGAAAAACTTGTCTTTTTCTAATAATTGTATAAACTAAATTACTATTACCATCAAACTGATACTAAAATATAAAATTTTGTTATATAATAAATTTAATAAAAATCTTGAAAATATAGGTTGATCGGAAAGTAATTTATTTATAAACAAAATTGTATTGATTTGAAATTTTTTATATAAAAAATGAAAAATATAAAGCAGTTTTCATATATATTTTTTTATTATCATAATGCTTTTTTTATTTACGAAACATTCAAATTAATGTTCAAGTAAAATAGCTTTCATAATCTATATTCAATAATTAAACTATTATTCAATTTTATGTAAATGAATAAAAAATATAAAAATAAAATTATTTTTCATTCAACCTAATATTTATTTTTAATATTTAATATTTAAAAACGCACTTGAATTATATTATTAAATATTTCAAGCAAAAAAAACACTAAATGATGGTTTGTTGGAGCAGAAAATAAAAACCATGAAGTACTGAAAGCTTCCAATAAATGCAGAAGTTTAGTACTAGCAACCATTGATAATGTTTTTAAATATGGTGAAACATTGACTAGAATGGTTAATAAACAATCAAAAAGAGGTTGCAACCTTTGGTGACCTGTTGTAATAATCTTATGAAAAACTGTAACTAGAAGATCTGCGTGTGTACCTATAAATGATGAATGTAATAAAATAATTAAAGCATAATTTTATTGAAGTGATATTTAACATTTCTTATTTAATTCAAATATTAATTAACCTGTAAATACTGGGATATCCATTGGTACTGTTGCAGTATACGGCTTATTTAATCTGACACCAAAATTACGTTCTCCACTTAATAAAAGAAGAATAAATACTCCAATGTGCATTAAACCAACTCTTGCTATTATGTCAATAAAATACCAACTATTATGTTAATTAAATATCTATATTTTATATAAAAGAAAAATAATATTTATAAAAATAAATACTTTTACCTACATTGATCAGCTCTGGAATCATTTAAGTGGTATAATATTGGAACTAGAACTTCCAATACATCTGAACTTTTTAATACAAAATATAAAAATTTTTTATTATAATCACATAATTTCCAAAAGAATACAAGCAATTCCTGATGAAAATGCACCTTTTTTGTAGAGTTTGGTAAATAAGTTTGCATTAATGGATTGTTTAATAATCTTGTAATACCTTTTAAAACAAACTGAAAATCTAGAAATAAACAAACGTTTTATTGATATATAAAAAGAAAATATAGAAAATAATATAGAAAAATACCTTCATCTCGGTGTATACGACTTAAATAATTAATAAAGAGATTATCTCCAACTACAACTTCATCTTCATTTACCCCACTATTTGTATCATGATCTAATGTTACAATCAGTATTTGTAAAGCTACATCAACTAAGGGTTCTAAAGAATCAGTGAATAACAAATGATTATATGGAACTCCAAAGCCTACAGGATCGTATGCACATACTGTATTTAATAGTGAAGTAAACATCGGTAAGGCATGTCTATAAGAAAGTAAATTAAATTTTTTTTGGCATAAGTTTATTTATAAAAAATAAAAACTTTTACCTATTTTCTGAACTAGTTAAATATTGAATCCACTTATTCGGTGTAACTGAAAGATTAGTAGAAGAGTTATACATTGTTTCACTAAAGCATGTTAATAGTAATTTTAATAATTCTGTTCTGTTAGAATCTAAAACAGGATGTCTAGGTTGCGACTGTGCAAAACCTACACCAGCTTCCCAAATATATTCACAACTATCTATAGATTGCAATTCCTCTGCTTTATCCTATAAATACAATTTATTAAATATAAAAGATTTGATAAACTTCTAAATAAAAATATGTAATATACATACTGGACCAGGTTTTTTATTTGTAACTACAGTAAAATCTGGACAGAACAATAAATCCTGAAAATTTATAATTTTTTACAATTATGTATAATTAAATATACTGCATAACTAAAATTATGTATTGAATATACATTGAAAATAAAATTATAATATATGTTATATTATAAATAATTTATTTTAAGAGATTTATAATATATACATACACATATTGCATTTAATAAAGAATGTGCTAGAGGGATATTGTCTTGATTTTCTTTTCCAGGCAAACTAGACCAAAAAAATCCTTTCCAATCTGAATCCTCAAAAATATAAGGCAAAAGTCTTATCAACAATCGACAACAATTTAAAACTGTTTGTTGTTCATTTTGTGTTCTGCAACTACTATCAACTGCTTTAACTAGCTTTTCCACTGCTTTATAACAAAATGTAGCAAGATTTGAAGGAGCATCTTCCCGTAGAATACGAATTTCTGAAGCTGGTATCAAAGTAAAAATATCTTGTATGTTGCAAACATTTTCTGACCAAAATTGATCCCAAAAGATATCATCAGATACATCTATTACCTACAAGAATATTCACAAGTAGACTTCATTCTTAAATATAAAATTATTGAAAAAAAATAATATAAAAATAAAGTAACTTATAAGATATTAAATAATTTGACTAATAATATATTTTTAAATTTTGATAAATTTTATTTTACTAACTTGCGTTTTAGATGTTAACTGTACAACAGCTTTTCGAAAATTAAGTTTAGTATCTACATTTCCCATATTCTTTTAATTAAAATTTTAATGATTATACATTAACAATCAAATTGAAAACATTCAATTTACAAACTTATATATAATAAATAACTGTAGTAGTGTAATTGCCACTTTACATGCATGATTTTACGATCCCTTTCTAAAGCTGATATTTAACAGGGTTAATATTAATTACATATATTAAAATAATTACTGTTGAACTATAGAAAATATGAATAATGATTAACCATTAACTTAAAAAAGGAATTAGAAAAATATGATTGTATGTATCAATATGCTTAAAGTCATTGATTTGCCGCATGCGCAGTCAGCAAAAAATTGTAAATTATTTGAACCAGGTAGTTTTATTTTTGAAAACATATTTATTCTAAAATTTATTTAATTTTTATCACATAACAATACAATAATAGGTCATGTAACTATATTTTATTATAATATGAAGTATTTACGATTATGATCACAAATAAAATTTTGCATTTTTATTTTTTTCAAGTTATAAAAAAAAATATTGTAAGACTTCAAATCATTTTCAATCAATTATTTAAAGTTATTATTATGAAAAATAGCAGATTAGAGAAAATTTACGTAGTTGTCTTATTGCCTAATTTAAAGAAACTAAAATCAAAAATATTTCAATTATTAATTCATTTAAATACATAAATAATATATTTACATTATTTAGTTTAATTCTATGATTCTTAAATAAATGCGATATAAAATAAGTTTATATAATACAACAAATATGCCTGTTAGTTTTATTATAATCTGTCATTTGAATTGTAATATTATTTATTAAATTGCCATTACTGAAATATTATTCTGCAAAATTTTTTTGTAGGGAGATTTATTAGTTTTACTTTTTGTGGAGCTGCTAACGTTGATTTTTTTCGTTTTTTTTTCAGTAAAATATCTTTGTATATTAGTTTATAGATTTTTTGTGTTTAATTAATTAAATAAATTTTATATTGTAATATAAAAAATAGAAGTATTAAAGCAATATTATAGAATTTTTTTATAATATATGATATAAATGCATTATGTTTATAAATAATATTTATTTTTAACAACTGTCCTACATTTTATGGTTTTACGATTTTTTGTATAATATTAATATTAATATGCACCTTTGGTATTTTTTTGAAGTTTGATATATTTTGCTTCATAATAAGTTTTATAAAAGACTACAATGAATTTATAATTTATTTTTTATTTTTTTTATTAAATACGATTATATGAAAATTTATCAGTTTAGAACAATAGATGTTGATTACAAGTTATCTTATGTCTGCACTTCATATTTTGTGTTATTGATTATTAATTTTATATTTGCAGAATGCTTATTATCGGTAAGGATTTTGCTATTATTTCACTTTTATCAGTGTTTTAAAAATTAATAGATATTTTATATATTTTTCTATAGGCTAATTTGTTTATCTTATTTTTTCAAGTTTATATTCAAATAAAGTAATATCCAATATATGAAATGTCGACATTAGAAATTTGTTAGTAATGAATCTTAAATATTTAATAATTTTTAAAAACTCACAATAGTGATACGCTAACTTAAAACCAGTTAATAGAACTAATTAAAATAATAAAATTAAAATAACTAAATTAAAATAAAATCATGCATTATATTTATTATACAATTATATAGCGATTAAGCCGCTATGGAAAGCAGCTAGTATGCTGTGTTGACATGCGCAATTATGGTTTAAGCATATTGGCATTCAATGATCATTAAGTATAAAATTCAAGCATTAAATATATGCTCATAGATAATGTTACTAATTTTCTACAATATTTAATTAAATGATAGTAATATGTAAAATAATTTGTTGGGATAAAGTTTTTTTTTATTTTTAATTTTATATAGTTTTATTAACAAATTATAATAGAAATACTATATTTAAAATATTTATAATGAATAATATATTATTCTATTAATGTTTGAATAAAATGGATAAATATAATTAGTAAAAAAAATTAACTGATTTAATATTAATCAATAAATACTATATATATAGAATTTTAAAGTATCTTTTAAGTAAGTAATTGCTTTTATATTAAAGAAAATTTTATTTTTTTTAAAGAACCAATAGCTCTATTTTGCATTTATTTGAGCAATCTGTACGAATTCATATTGAAATTGCGCGCATTTAAAATAGCCAATAAGTTTAAACATTTATTGCACGTGATTCAAGTTCACGCATTATATAAGCTTTCTCGGAGTATTGTCACGTCCCCTGCCTTAAATTTCATCCATGCAATTAATTCCACCAAAAAACCATTTCTACGTAATTCAATAACATTACGAAAGGAATAGTAAACGTTAGATAAATATGAAAGTTTTAATCATTACAATAAAAAGATAAACTCCATATTTAAAATTGTACAGTAACTATTCCTCTACTTGAAAAAATTTATTTGTTATTGATTTGCTAAATCTTTTCTACATTTGGTGTAGTGTAGCAACTATATATTAATAGCAATTTTTTATTTCTAAAGCAGTGTATACAAAACTTTGTTGTTGCTATTTATTACTTATTAGTGATTTTTGATTATAATCTACTGTTAATTCATATGTTACAAGTTTCTTAATTGGCAGTTCAAAATACGATGGCTGATTCGTCTTATGAGAAGGGTCTTACTGAATTGGCAAAAATGAAAGTTTGTATTTTTCGATATTTTTTTCTCAATTTTATCCTATTTATATGTGTATATTTTATTATTATGTTTTAAAAAACGGTATCAATTTATTAGTTGTTCAGTTCCTTCATTTTATCTGTAATTGAATTTCATAAATGTTACAACATTTTTGTATTTTTTTTTATATAAAAATTTTATTTATTAAACCTAATTGCAGTTGATCATTAATATAAACTTATAATCAAATTTTATTATTTTTTTATATTAAATTTAATTGATATAAATCTATAATGATAATAAATTTAAATTTAATCACTAGAGAATAATAAGTTCAATATTATATAGTTAAAAAATTGCATAAATAAGTTATTACCAAAATTGTTTATTATTAGGTTGCAGATTTAAGGGCTGAATTGAAGCAAAGGGGATTATCAATTACAGGAAATAAAAATGAGCTAGTGGAACGTCTGCAACTAGCAATTCATGGTAAAAATTATATTATTTTTTAAGTTAACATTGAATTTAAAACGTAAGTAAAATTAATATATTTTAGATTCTTCACTATCATTGGATGAAGCTAATGATGAAATTCTTGATGAAGATGCAGTATTGGGTGTAAGTATATCAATAATTAAAATATTAATAATGGGTGTAAGAATTATAGATGTATATAAGTAAATAATTGATTTTCATTATATTTCATTTTTAGGATGAAGAGATAGAAGAAACTGAAGAGTTAAGTACCAAAATTGTTCCTCCAGAAGAATGTGATAAAAGAAAATCTAATGATGAAAATAATATTGGTACAAAAAAAATTATTCTTAATAGAAAAAATATAATAGAAGAAGTTAAAATTGATATAGTTGAAAATAAAGAAGCAGCTAACGATAAAACTTTAGAATCTGAACCCGAAAAAAAAGTTATTAAATTATCTGAATTAAATACTAATGAGGTAACTACAATATTATAATAATAATAGATGCTTTTAAAAAATTATTGTAATAGTTTATTTTAAATGAAATTAATTTAATTGTATATAATGATGTATTCAATTTTATTTGATTTACCTTTATCTACATTAATTTTATATTAATTTTATATAGTAACAAAAAAATAAAATAAAATAAAATGCATTTACTTTCAAATATAAATTGTGTTTTACATGTTAATATGTAAGATAAAATTAGATATGTGATAAACTATTAAATTCTATACATTTATTGTAATTTTATAGCGACTAGAAATGAGAGCAAAAAAATTTGGCGTTATATTATCAGAAAATGCGAAAAAAGAAGCTCGAGCTGCTAGATTTAAAATGGCTTCTAATAACACTGCCAATTTGATAAATACCAAATCTGCAGCCTCAATTAAAAGTACTCCGGTTGTAAGTTACTTTTACATATTAATTTATGATATATAAAATATTCTATTTTATTATATAAATTACAGCACACAACTTATGATGTTTTAAAAAAGAGAGCAGAAAGATTTGGAAGTAATGTTTCAAGTTTAATGGAAAAGGTACCTTTTCAAATAAAATTATATTCAGTTTTTAAAACAATTATATCAATTCTTCAAAATTATTATTTTTTTATTTTTATTCACTTTCAATTTTTTTTATAAAAATTATAAAATTGACTAAAACATGAATATATATATATCACTTCACAATAGAAATTATTTTGAAAATTGTTAATAATTCATTTGCATCTAAGTAGTTTTATAATTTAAAAAGTACATTTTTCACAAATTCCATGATTTTTATTGTTTTAGGCTGAATTAGAAGATAAAATAGAAAAACGTAAAGCTCGATTTGGAGAAGTTAAAGCTATAGATAAAGTAGTTCCAACTAAAATTAAACTTGTTAAATGATGTCCATTTATATCTTTTATATTAAGCTGTTCATTTTTTCAATAAATTGATAATTAACATGTAAATATTACAATTTCTTATGTAAAAGACCAAAAACAAAATTAAATGCAAGATATATTATGTAGAAGAAATATTTTATATTACAATGTTTGGTAAATATTTGTTTTTAAGTATTTAAAAAATATATATATATATGCATATAAGTGCTTACAATATTTATTGTATTAATTTGTGCGAAGTATTAGTTTATTCTAATAATCGAAAAGAAAGTGATGAAATTAAAAATAAAATTATTTTAAATTTAAATATTATGTTTTCAAATACTTAAAAATTAGACGTAATTTGTAAAAAATATTTAAATTCAAAATAAAATTTTAGCAGAATGTTACATTTAAATAATAAGAATATTAGTTGTAATAAATTTCAAATCATTCAAATTTTTTTTATAAGTACTTTGGAAAATATTATGTCTGATTTTTTAAATTTTCATTTTTTTCTTAATATTCGAACATACTATTTAAAAAAGCAAAATATTTACTGCATTAAAAAGCTTATTTTTTGAATGTTTATTAATTTTTATCATTGAAAAGGTTATTTTTGAATTTTGATTGATTGAATGCATATTGTATTTTCATTCTGAAAGATTTGTAAAATTTCAAAAAATTAATAAAACATGAAATTTTTAATTTAATATTTGTTTTTTATAAAATTGTAACTAGTAGATTACAATTGCTTTAAGAAATTTAGGAGGATAAAGTAATTGCTATAAAGATTTTAGGGAGGATCAAGTTTATCAAAATTATTTAATGTTTTTTTTTTTAAACATAATTCAGATTATTAATTCAAGGGGATTTTTTTATGTAGATTTTTTATACTATTATTAGTAAATTGCCCTAATGTATGTGAAAGCTTATGAAATTAGACAATTAGTACTTTTTAAATATAAAAAGAAATAATTTATTATGTTACAACCTAGAAATCTTTAAATTTAAACTTTATTAAATCAATCATGAGAATTAATCTTTTATTATGAAACTATTTTTACAATAAATTTTTGAGTCTGTTAGAAAAAAATAATTAAGAATAGTTGTACAAAATTTTCAAATAATTGACTTTTCAGCAAAACATAGTAATATATAAAATTATTAAATTTAATTATTTTGGTCTCAGACCACTGATAGGTGTGGAAAGAGTAAAATTTATTGCTGAAATAGCTGATGGATTTGGCGTTGAAAGTGGAATGTCGCTGGTATTACTAGCTTCACTCTTGTATCGTATATTTGTATATTCTCGTCCTAATTGAAGTGATTTCTAAAATACAATAAAATAAACAATTAAAATATAAAACGCATATAATTTCAAATATATATTTTTTTTAATACACAAAAATCATAAAGCCAATAACTTCAATTCAATTAAAAAATCAAATTGTAAAATAAAAATAAAACCTTGAAGTTTTAATTCTTTAATAATTTACATGTTACAGTATTTATAATTTAAATCGTTTAATTAATTAAAATGAAATAAAAATAAATGACACACATTATTATTGAATTTAAAAATATTTAGGGGAATAACCTTCTCTGCTTGCATTCTTTGTGACACAGTTTCAATATAATGCAAAACAGCTAAATATACAAATTTATATTGTGCTTCAGTTTGAACCATTCCCGATCTTTGTGATCGCACCCTTTGGATTGTTCTTTGAATATCAATTTCACAGTCCAAACCTTAAAATAAAACTCAGTAAATATTTTAACATAAATTTATGTTTAAAATATTAATATTGATCAAATAGTATACCGTGTCTTTTAATCTGATCTAAGATCATATCAACAACAATAAATGTACCAGTTCGACCAATACCAGCACTACAATGGACAAGTATAGGGCCGATGTTAGACGAATTTTGATCACCTACTGAAGTGCTTCCAGAAATAGATTCTTGCCTTGCATTAACATCATGGAGAAAATTTAGAACACACCCTGGATCAGCAG